CAGATCAGTACTAGCAAGCAAGTACAACCAGGGCTCTTGCTAGGATTTGAGGACGTCTGATTTATCAGACGGGTCCCCCGGGCATTAGACATGGTTTTGTCTGATCCTGTTTGCCAAATCAGATGAATCCAAAAAAGTGGGTCTGAAAATCAGACCATCAGACCAAATTAGTCTGATAACGAGAGCCCGGAGTACAACGCCCTATACATGAGTACAATGGAATACGGAACGTACTATGTAGTCATTTGCTCTATGTGGTACATTCCCATCTCCCGTGTTTCATTCCGAACCGTGCAGCGAGTACAGCTATGGTTAGATGATAAACCAAAGGTGTTGCTGTTGTAGTGCGTTGCAAATGTACCCAGCATTTCATCTACATATTGGTGCACCACGTGCTGTGTTTAGGAGATTATTGTAACCAGTATAAACCGGGGTAGGTTCGCACACTTCTAATATTGTGACGGGTGGCACAAATCCTACTTAGCTGTGTGAGGTTAATTGTTTCAGAGGAGACGACTACAAACTAGTACAACGCCCTTGACAAGAGTCCAATGGAATACGGAACGTTCTATATAGGCATATCCTCTAATTGGTACATTCCCTTGTACCAATTCATTCCCTTGTACCAATTCATTCCCAACCGTGCAGCGAGTAGAGAACCCTAAGTGTTACCGCCCGAACCCTCCCGCCATCAGCTGCCTGATGCCGTCTGCTACGACGGTCCAGTGCCATCTCACCCCTATGACGTTACGGTCCAACTCTGACTCTTCCCCATCGTTCGCTATACCGCACGCATTTCTTTTAGCTGCTGTCCCAACCCCACTATGGCGCATATTGGCCCCTGTTGCTTTCAGACTTCTATAGAACTAAGAAGTCCAGACTTGCGGGGTGTACTTAAGTTTGTTGAACACATGGCGCACATATATTAATATAGGGAGTTTTACAACAGGGATCCCGACATGTGCATTCAGTGCACATCTCCATTGCAGGCTAGGAAAACGATCCCCTTATAGTGCACACAGCTGGATATCGGGTCAATATTCTTTCGTACACCAGCGAATGAGCGTTGGTAGCTAGATGAATCCTACACACGTGATAGTATTTGGGATTTGTAACATTATTCTAGTGGACTGTTTAGAACGATGCAGATGTAATGGTATGCAAAGTGTGGGCCTACCCCCACCAACTACACCAACGCCTTCAAGATGGAAACAAGGCTGAACAACATCTAGAGAAGTCTTGTTGTTGACGGTGCTCGATGTCGTCCAGTTTAGCGGTAAGAAACACCTGTAGGTCCTCTGTTTTTTTACGGATGCTTGCAATGCCAGCACGAAGCATCTGAACCTCCCGCGTAAGCCTACATATCTCTACTCGCTGCGCTAGGTCTTGTCGAATGATGGGAGCTTCCGCCTCCACGGTTATGGACCCCGCCTCGTGACGCCGACGGTATGACCCTTGCGATGGCAGTATGACCCCCTCCGCCTGTAGTTGCAGCGTCAGTGCACCATGTAGAAGTGACGATAACTCGGATTGTAAAATTACCCGATAGTCCGCAGGGTCCATCTCAAAAAACAGAGGCCCTTCAAGGTTTTGAAAATCATGGATCACAAGGGTGCGGAGAAACATGCATGTGTATATACCACAGTCTTCACTCCCTCGAGGTTGCTGTGGGATCTCCGAAGCCTGCATAAGCAACAGAGCGGCGGCGTTTTAAAATCATAGAGGTGCAAAGAGCGTGTAACACTGTGTCGCGAGTGGCGAGATGGTACCTGTAATATGCGCCATTCTACCTGCTCCACCCTGGCCTGGCTAGCTTGTAGACATTGTCCTGGATGGACACGATGGATCTCCGCGGCGACCAGCCTGTACAATGCGTTGACAAATGTGAGTAACTAATAGGTGAAACGCGGGCAGATCGGCAATGACCTCAAGCTTATGTAATCGCGTTACCTTTCAATCACATCCCATTCCATTCCCGTATCGCAATGCACGCCCGCGGAGTCAAAGTGGTAGAATTTCGGAGGGTATGTCGCCCGTAGTGGGTCTGGATTTGCGAGTAGGACGTTTGCGTTGGCGACAATCACCAGGCTGAAATGGAACCTGCACAGCACTTTCTATTGGCGTTTAGGACGGAAAGTGGGTTAGTTAGCGGTGCTTTATGACGACCGAGTGGCACGGTTCTTACCTTCCAGTGACCACGATCGCCACGTTGTCGAAGTCGAGAAACGACCGTTTAGCCGGGCAACATGAAATGAGCTTGCCATGTTTCGACATATACTCGAATGCCTTGGAGTCGAGAGCGATCCAGGTTTGTCCGTTTCCAAGGCGTGGGTGCCGAATGTCGAGCAAGCTGTCAGGTATGTACGAGAAAGCGTTAACGAGCTGGCAGGTACATACGAGAAACTGTTAACGTCATCCTTGTGGGCAAACTGGAATAGTGGCACCCGCATGATGTGCTTACATGTTGTGTAAGTCGACAATGTTGTCGTTCACGGCCATGTACGAGGACAGGCGAGATAGGTCTGCTCCGGAGACCGAAATTCCAAACGAGTGCCAATTGTTGATAGTGCTTGTCTTCCCCTCCACCTCGGTGTTGAGAGCATAAGGAGTGCCGTTCACCCGACCGTCCTTTGCGTCGTGGTTGAAAACAGTCGACGAGGCACTGCTGCCATCCAGTGCACTTTTAGAGGGTACTTCAACATGAGGGCCGTATAGAGTATTGCTCATGCTACGTCTGTTATTATCCTTGGTGATGGTGGAAGTTTTATCTTCCCTTGTCTCGTGCTTCGTGCGTCTGGTAATGTGTCATGGTGCTATGTCTGATTGTGGTTTTTATAATAATTCTATCGGATGTGAGAGCAGTTGCTTTCGCGCGCTTTTCAAAGGTTACACGTGTCAAAATTTCGATTGGATCAAACGTGCAATGCTATTCGTTTCTTACAATGCGCGTTTCTGACCAGCGCGGTGCACGTTCCGAATCACAGCGCCGTCGCGTTCATTTGCGACGCACGCCGGCGTAAGCCAAGTGTGTCTGTGTTTTCCAACGTGGGCCAGTGGTGGACACGACGATTCTTAACGCGCCGCGTTTTGACCGTTAATTAACAGACACAATACGGAACGTCGTCTGCACCGTGTCGGTTTGTTGCCAGGTTGCGTCAAGACTTCTTAGTGTTGAGGCTGATCTGGATCGGTGGTGATGGTCCGTTAATTAACAGATGCGAGGTTGTATCGCACTGGGGCGTCAAATAGTAGCTAAAAATCTAAATACAGAGCAATTAGAATTGTCGGACACTAAGACGGTTATGTCCGCACAACAACCAAAGCATCTCTGTGGTGTTATTTGTACCATGTGTTACCTATGTCAAGGAAACCTGGTTAAGCTGCAAACAAAAAGATGCAAGTTATACCGCGGAAACCAGCGCTGGTTTGTGACTACGCGTCTTGCCGTAGTAATATCAAAATCTTGCACCATAAATCTGTTACCGAAACACACAGTAAAACAAGGTCAAAAACAGACATGAAATGGTGGACATAGCAAAAATCTAAAACGTTGTCAGAACTAGCAGTAGAAAGTAAGAATGAAGAAAGGAGGAGGTTCACTAGCAAGCAGTTGAGTACATATAGGAAACCCTAGATTGGGCTGTACTCGCTATAGAGTACCCCACTGCAGGCTAGACAAATACAACATTCTGACACACCCCCATAGCCAAAGTGGGGTGTAATCAGCACAATGAGCAGGTATAGCAGGAGTTCACAATAAGAAGCAAAGCTAGAGGTAATCACAGCGGGCAAGTGAGGAGGAGGAGGGACTGTGAGAGGAGAGAAGATGAGAGACGGCAGCTGAAGCTGCAGACACACGGGCAACAGGAGCTGCTGGCACAGTGGCTACCGGGACAGTGCGCCCCGGACTACTGGAGTAACTTGCTCACGGGCTACGACGAGCTACAGGAGCAACGGACCCTCGGGCGACAGGCGCAGCAGACTCTCTGGGCTACCAGGACAGTGCGCCCCGGACTACAGGTGCTGCGGACGACAAGACAGCAGCCTCCGCTCAACCTCCTCCAACTGTCCCACACACCCCCCACACACCCACTGCTTCACTCCTAACTCCACTTGCACGTCACCCCCCTAGTACCACTCCTTCGGCTCCCACACACCCACCCCCCTCAACGGCAGCTGCAGCACTGGGAGACGGAGGAGGAGGAGGAGTAGGGGACGACGCACAGAAACTGCACCCCCATACCCCTCACCCCCAAACCCTAATTCAGGAGAACGGGCAGCAGCAGGGGTGGGGCGCCGTCAGAAGCACGGGGGACAGCGGGCAGCGCAGGGGCAGAGAAAACAGGGCGCCCACGGGCCTGGCGCAGCCCGTACGAACTGCGTGCGGGCGGCCTGAGGCGCGCCCTGGCCTGGCGCAGTCCGTATGGGCCGCGCGCGGGCCTGGCGCTGCCCGTACGGGCCGCGCGCGGGCCTGGCGCAGCCCGTACGGGCCGCGCGCGGGCCTGGCGCAGCCCGTACGGGCCGCGCGCAGGCTGTACGGGCCTCGCGCGGGCCCTACGCAGGTCGCGCAGGCCGCGACGGGCGACGGGGGGCGACGCGCGGGTCCCCGTCGCCCGTCGCAGCGCCTCCCGGGAGCGACGCGCGGAGTGACGGGGCAGAAAGCCGCCGCGCGCCTCGGGGCGCACGGCGGGCAGAAAACCGCCGCACGCTCCGAGCGCGCGGCGGGATGAAAAATCCGTCGCACGCCACGGGGCGTGCAACACACAGAGTAGCAGTAGCAGCGGAAGCAGTGAGGTGGTGGGCCCACCCACAGGATCGACCCAAGGGGATCGACCTGCTCTGATAGCATGTCAGAACTAGCAGTAGAAAGTAAGAATGAAGAAAGGAGGAGGTTCACTAGCAAGCAGTTGAGTACATATAGGAAACCCTAGATTGGGCTGTACTCGCTATAGAGTACCCCACTGCAGGCTAGACAAATACAACATTCTGACAAACGTACCTCAATTGAAGTGCTGGTGCTCATCCAAATATTGCTGCTGACCACATTGTGCTCGAGAGTGGCCCATGCCCGGAGGCTGTGTTGCCTGGCTGCTGCTCGGCTGTGCTTGCGTGCGCGGAGGCAGCATGGTGGGGGCGTGAGGAACATGTAGCAGCGGAGCCGGCGGCAGCTCCTGCATGAGCTGCCGCCATTCGCGCCACCTTTGCCAGAGGCCACGCTCGGCTAGGCTTGCCACGTGCTGCCTGGTGCACCCGGTCAGCAGCTGCTGCTCCGACAGGGTCAGTTCAATACTGCGCTGGATGCGATAACCCTGTGGACGTACGACCACTGCGGCAGCCTTGTAACCCTTAGCTGCCTCCTCCTCGCTCGGGAAAGGGCCCATGCGTATGGGGTTTTGAGGGGCCACCATCAACAGCTTGGCGTACCAAACATCTCCCCCCCCGGTAACACCCGCGTACTTGGACTTTGGACGTCCACCGTTGAAGGTCTCGGTTGCAGCTCCAGCTACACCTGCCTCGCCACAGGCGTCGCGCATCCATTCCCCGCCGCCTTCACCCGCGCCACTCATACTCGGGATGGCGGGCGGTGCGAACGACTGCTGCGGGTGGGGTGCGGGCTGCTGGGGACCTCCTTGCCAGTAAAACGGCATATCGGGCGGGGGAGCATAAGGTGGCCCGGTAGCGAAGCCTGGGTATATGGGAGCGGGCGGGCGAGGCGTAGATGGGATTGGAGCGACCGGTCGCTGCGGCGGGGCAGGGCGGGATGTGCCCGGCTGATAGTATACCGCGTCCCGGCCCGGTGGCACGCTAGGCTGATGAGGCTGTGCAGTAGCGGGGGCGGTTGACGGCGATGCAGGTGCGTAGTGTGGTGCACGGTGGTGCTGGTGCGGCGGCGCTGCCTCTTCGTTGGGCCCAATCCGCGAGGCCTGCCGAAATCCTGCAAGGGGGGAGGCCGCGGTGTCTCTGAGACCCGGGTCGGGACTGGAGTCCACCCGCTTGGATGGAGAGGCCACGTCACCGTGAACAGGGGCACCCAACACGCCCTCTTTGTTCGCGGTGTCCCGTGCCTTCTCCATTGCCCCCACGCGCTCAAACAACTGCTGGCTCACGCTGGTGAACTTCGACTGCAGCTCGGCATAATCTGCGCGCAGAGCAGCGACCTCCTTCTTCAGGGTCTGCACTTCGGAGCTCGTCTCCCGGACGACACCGCTCATCTCTGACACGTCTCCACCGGTAGGCACGGCACCTGCACGTGTGAGCTTCTGGGGGGGAAGAGTGAGGCCGGCAGTTTGAAGGGCAGATAGCAGATTGCCAGAGATATGGGCGCACATGTCTGCCTGCCAGTCGCGACGGTATCGCAGGGGTGCAGTTGTGAATGCGATTGGACCGCCGAGGAGTTGGAAGTTGGTTGTCACGTGCAAGTGGAGGTACATGGCTGCGTAGACCCCACAGTCGAGACTCTTCTCGGGCTGCCGCGGTATCTCGTATTGGACCTGTGAATAACAACCGTTTGACGTTAGTAAAGATATCCCTGAGATCTGAAGATCGGAAACTCAAGTATAGTGTTCAGTGTTTAGGGCTCGAAAACTCACATCGAGAGCGCGATACAGGATGGAGCCAATCCGGGACTCGACCACCGCTCGGGAAAGTTCGGGGTAGACACGGTTAAGCTCCGAGGCGAGAATCCTGCCATAGCACATGGAAAGAAGTTAGCAGGCTTGCGCCAAACCGGTTACAAGCTCACTCTCCACTAGACTTACAGGCGGACATTTGTGACGACGGCAGTGTTGGCTGCATGATGACCGGTCGAATCATATAGCCACAGCTTGGGGGGGGGCGGCTCCTCACCACCGTCGGAAGATGTGACAAGCGTGCTAGCGTTCTCCAGAACAAACAGGCTGAAGTGAAACCTGAACGAAACACGGCGGTAGTGGTTAGTGTGCCGTAGCCATCAGAACAAATCAGGGCGGGTGATTGCATCACATACTCAGCCGCGGCAAAAATTGCCACGTAGTCGAATCGTAAAAAGGTGTCCGTGTCGTCGCAGCATGCGATGAGCTTCATTTGTGACGCCCAGTAGTCGTAAGCTTTCACATCGAGCGCGATCCATGTTTTTCCGTTGTCCAATTTCGGATGGCGTATGTCCAAGATGCTGCACGGGTACAGGCAGGGGGGTTGAAGCGCGCAGGAAAGTAGGAATCGGTGCGGGTGTTTATGTCATGCGAGTTCCGATTTACCGTTCGATAACCTCTCCACAGCGATGGAGGGACTTACATGTTGTGGAAGTCCAACGCGGTGTCGGTGATCGGTGCATTGTCCTGCATGTGGAGTGCGTCAGCAACGTTCAACGTAGTGCCGAACCCATGCCAGTTTGAAACCAGCTTCGTGGGCCAGTTGCCACTCTTGACCGATGGTTCTTTCTTAGCTCGGCACGCTGGGGTAATGCCCGGGAGGTGCTTCATGCTCCGTGCCATGTCGGCTATGAGATCCTGTGCCGGTGGTAGCGATTTCTGTGGTGGAGGCGGTGGTTGGAAGGAATACGGTTCGTCCGTGGCCCGAGCACGGTGCGCCCTAGTAGTAGGGCCTGTGGTTTGTTGCTGTTCTGCGCCAGACGTCCTTTGCCGTTTCTGGTGCGGGCCGCCCCTAGTACGCGGGCGGCGGCCACTGGGGGCTTTCGTGGCATCTTCTCCACCCGTGTTGCCGTGATCCGACTCGCCCTCTAACTCTACTAAGTCGTCATCCTCCTCGTCTCCTACGTTCACAGGGTCGTCCGGCCGGCCCGTTGGCATTTCTATGAGATAGTGGTGAAAGATGGTGAGCGGTACAGTAACGGCACTGGAGGAGTTAAGCGTACTGTCTTCGCGGCCGTCAAGGTCAGAATCTTGTGAACAATGGGTAGAGGTACTGCTAATGCGAGGTGGTTCGAAACGGACTGGTGAAAAGTACAACTGCGAAAGCAGGACGGTCGGTATTACACATCAGGTAATGAGCAAGACTGGCAATCAAAACGAGAGCGGGTGAACGGGGTTCTCGAATCACGAGCAAGAGCTGCCCTCGCTTTTGAGATTGGCGTGCTGAACACGGCGAGCACTGAATGGCTGGATGTCGCGCTGCGAACTTTGTGTAATCTTGTTGGGGACCACACAGACTGTGCTGGCGTATCCTCGTTCGCTCATGCTCGCGGTCTGTTTTTTAACATGTCGAGCGTGAACACTCCGACAAGCATGCTAGAGCAAACCGTCATGGGTGACCCTGGAACGCGAGAATCACACGTGGCGTGCAGCTGGCACGCACATGAACGTTGTCGATAAAAAGCGGATCGGACTTGCTGCGTTGTAATTACCACTTAGGTAGTTTGACGCATCGTGTTACTGAGCACCTCTAGTACCCGGGCCAACATACCACGTGTGCAAATGTGTTCATGAACGGATGGCTGCGATTGGTGCTGGTTTTCTAGTTCAGAAATGTCAGGACACATTCAACGTATCCACGTTTACGTCAGACTGGTGCATGCATGCCGTTCGGCGGGAATGTTGTCTGTCGTTGGATCGGCGGGGAAGAAGAAACGAAAATCAAGCCACGTGAACAGGTTCGCGCATCGTCACAACACTTATCCCTATTGGTCCGCGTTCGCGCTGCGCATCGAAATTGCTTATGAACCTGCCGTTTGAATGAATGTCATTTGGCGCACACAGGGTTGGCAGTTTGAATGTCGCATTATCGAGCCTAACCTACGAAATGTCACACGTAGGCTTGGCAACCCAGAAGTACGCTGGTTTGGCTCCAACAAAGTTGGGGGCTCTCGGTTGGGTTCCTGGAAAAACGTTTCGACATGACCGTACACTAACATGTACACTACCACTTTGAAGTACAAATCTGGGGAGCGCGTACCGCTCGCTATGGAAGGTGGATGGTGTGTCTTTCGGGTTGTGTAAAAATTAGAGCGCGATGAAAAAAAATCACGAAGGCAAAGCCCGCGCCGCGGCAATTCTCTCCTCATTCTGCACCTATAAAACATTTTCCGTGCCTCTGGAACTCTCAAGTTCATTCGTGGCTCTCTCGCCTTGACTCAACTGAACTGCCTCTGATCAATTTTACTTTCCCTCGTGATCGAAGCCACTCACTCGCTTCAGATTCGCCACCCACACCTCCACATTATCGCCTTCCAGACCTTCTCTTCGCACGAAACTGTTTCCTCCTCTACGGTCGTGCAATTTTCTCCCAAATATGGCCAGTTCAAGGCACCTCTCTTTCCTAGGGCTGCTCTGCATCGTGCTGTGCTTCGCGAACGCGCACGCCCAGGCGCCGGCGAAGCCCACCAAGGCGCAAATAAAAGCGGAGCTTCAGAACATGGCGAACGCCATTACGCAGAAGTTTCCGCAATACTCGAAATATGCCAAGGACATCAACAAGTACATCGGCCTCGCACGTGAGAGCTCTCTTTCACTTTTTTTTGCTTCTGAATCAGCAGTGCCGAAACGTCGAAATCTCATGCTAGCCTATCTCGCAGTCTTCTTCCAAGCGGCAAACAGTCCCCGCTTCTCTATGCACGTCGACGCAGTACCTCTTCGTTCCGCGGTCCTGTTTTGATTCCGTCGATTAGCGCAGAACCTTGTCTCCCTCCTCGCCTCCCCTTGTAAGCTATAGATTCTGGCCAGCCATCGAACCATTCCTGATTCTCTGTTCCCGCTCTCTCTCTGCCTCTTCCTCTCCCCCACCCGTCTCCAGTGAACTCCAAGTACGATTTCACAGCACTCAGCGACGCAACCCTGCTCCTCCCCAGCGACACGGAGGCGGAGGCCCTCGCTAAGAAGGTCCCCGTTAACAAAGCCAACATCCCCAGAATCTACAACATCACGGCGTACCACATTATTCGCAAGAAGTACACCGTTCCCGCGCTCAAGGTGCTCAAGAAGTCGCAGCCGCTCGGCACGCAGTTGAAGCAAGCGATGTACAAGGTTTCGCAGCAGAACGGTAACACGGTTTCTTTCGCCAAGACGCCCAACGCCCCCCCTGCCGCCTGGACTACGATCAAGATCGTTCGGCTGTACGCCGGTCCGTACTTCATCGCTCACGGCGTGGATAAAGTCCTGATTCCCACGAACACCAAGGTGTAAATCCTTGAGCGTGGCGAACAGCCCAAATTGAAGGATTACTTACAGGATTAGGTTATTCGTTCCCAGTTGACAGTCAGTCATGCTACGGGTTCAACCTCTGAACTAGAGATGACTGGCCGTCAACTAGGCACACAGCAGGTTTCTGTGTCTTGTGGCTTATTCTTGAAGAAAAAAGGAAGTGTTCAAACACGATTTTCTACTGGTATGTATCCGGCAAGTGAGCAAGTGGATGGAAACGTCCCTTGAGATGGACGGGGAACATGCCGTATGTAGCCTGTCACTTCATGAACCAGCACTGACGCACCAAAGTAATACATCAGATATGAAACCTACATTAGAACTAATAACAATAACAAGTCGCTTCAGACATGCTACTCCTTGTCATCTCTGGAAACATGTGGTTTATAAAGAGCGATGGCTGTTCACGTGTTCAGTATGGATACGTTTGAGGGTGTGTTTCTTGAGTGGAATAACCCGTTCAGTCAGTAACTACTTGGAGAAAACAGTGTACCTACCATAAATGGTCTATGGAAGAACACCCGCCTGCCCGTGCTTCCCCAAGTTCTTGCCTATCCAGGAATAATCAGCACATTAATGTGGAACGACACTAATGATCAAGGGCCTGATCAACAAATATCTCATCAAGGCAGAGCAACAAGTTGTTACATGCATAAAGTTGCTACTTGGTTGTTAAAAAGGGGCTAAAATAATCAGCTGAACTCTGACCTCAAAACCTGCTGGGTGGGAGGCTACAGTGAAAGACGGACCCTGAAGCCACGCCTCTCCTGAATCATCGCAACAGTGTGAATCACGTTCTGCATTATGAAAAACAGCGACGAGTCCCTCCCATGAAGCCCGGCCCGCCCCGCCGGGCTGTCCGCAGGCTGTCGGTTGTTCCCCGTGAAGTTGTTGCAGGGGCTGCCGCCGATTATCAGATCGAACGGTCCGTATTTATCCACCAATCCCTCCACATTCTTCATGTTCAGCTTCGTAACATAATGGTACACTTGGGATAGCTTCCCTACCAGCCTGCCCCCGCCCCTGACCGGCGCCTCTGCAGCGTTTTTCCACCACCGCGCCTCTGCTTCCCGGCAGGTGCTATCAGCCTCGATGCTCACGGCACGGATGACGGGGACTTGCGCCATGTGCAGCGCCACTAGCGCGCCGCCGATGCCTGAGAAGAGCGAGAGCACTCGGATGGGGCGGTTGAGGCGGCGCAGCACTGAGAGGTGCAGCGCGACTGTGGGCACATGGAAGGTGTTGCCTGGGGGCATGGGGGGATGGGAGATGGAGGGAGTGAGGGATGAGTTGGAAACACGATAAACCTTTGCGTCAACTCAGAAGTCTTGTTGAGACGGCGCAGCACTGAGAGGTGGAGCGCAACGGTGGGGACGTGGAAGGTGTTGCCTGGGGGAATGGAGAAATGGAGAGATGGAGGAACAGGGAATGGGGGTAGGGGAATGGGGGATGGGGGATGGGGGATGGGGGGATGGGGAAAAGGTGTGTGTAGGTGTATAGTGGAGGACTGTGGGATATGGACTAGAAGGTTGAGTGAGGAAGGAGGATGCAGACAAGGAGGAGGCAGACAAGGAGGAGGAAAGGATGTTGTCAGAAAAGGACAGCAACGCTGAGAAGTAAAAGGAGGACTATGTGAGCGAGTTGAGATTCTATTGTTCATTGTTTCTTACCGAGCATCTTGTAACGGCTGGTTTTGTTGGCGGTAACCGTAGAGACGTGCCCTTCAGGGTACCCCATCAAGTCCTCTAGCTGATCCACCTCCAGTGGCGCGAGCCGGTCCCTCTCAATCCACAGCAAGTTGAACCTGCGAGGATGGGGGGGGGAGGGGGATTGGGTAAGATGGGAGGTTGTGGGGAAGAGGTTGGTATGGGATAAGGTTGCAGCAGGGGGACCTGCCTCCATCACTTCCTCCAACTGATCCACCTCCAGTGGGGCGAGGCGGTCCCTCTCAATCCACAGCAGGTTGAACCTGCGAGGATGGTTGGGGGGGGCATTGGTTGGAACGAGAGTACAACGAGCCAGAGAGACATACCATTGCTTGGAATGAGAAACGTTATGAAGGGCCAAGTCCCACAGCAAGTGAGGACACTGAAAAGAGAGGGCAGTGGAACCGTCCCCACCTTCTCCCCCCCTCCCCCCCCTTCCCCCCCCCCTCCCCTCCCCCCCCCCCCCCCCCTCCCTCTCGCTCTACAAGCTTACTTCCTGACGTATGTCAGCAGCTCCTGTTGCCTCTTCGGGGAGAGCCCCTCTGCTCCGTGAATCTGCAGCTCCACGTTCCATTGATGGAGCTTCGACGCCACTCCAAACGCCTGAGTGTTGATCACGTTGAGCTTCGTCCTTTTGTCCCACAAAGGCCATACCGGCGGTCTTGTGTGGGGAAACGCCTCGAAGATTGTTTTTGGGCGGTTTAGAACCCAATCGGGCAGCCACCGGTCGTTTACGGGCAGATTGTGGAGGTACCTGGGGGGTGAGGGAGTAGATATGGAGGGAGGGAGGAGGAGGAAGGTGTGTAAGTTGGTAGGTGGATAAGAGGGTTAATGATGAGGAGAGTGATGATAAGGGAAATGAAATGAGAAGTGGGTAATGATGAGGGGAGGTGGATGCAGGAATGAAAACTAAGAGACACACACACGCGCGCGTGCGCACATACGCGCGCGCGTGCGCGCACACACATGCATGACATATGTTCACTTAACAAGCACTCGCGCTCTCTGCCTGCAGCACACCCCCAGGTAGGCACAATTCACAAACTCCACCGGGAGCGAGAACAGCGCGTCTGACATGCACACAGGCATACCCACACAGGCATACCCACACAGGCATACCCACACAGGCATACCCACACAGGCATACCCACACAGGCATACCCACACAGGCATACCCACACAGGCATACCCACACAGGCATACCCACACAGGCATACCCACACAGGCATACCCACACAGGCATACCCACACAGGCATACCCACACAGGCATACCCACACAGGCATACCCACACAGGCGTACCCACACAGGCATACCCACACAGGCGTACCCACACAGGCATACCCACACAGACATACCCACACAGGCATACCCACACAGGCATACCCACACAGGCATACCCACACAGGCATACCCACACAGGCATACCCACACAGGCATAACCACACAGGCATACCCACACAGGCATACCCACACAGGCATACCCACACAGGCATACCCACACAGGCATACCCACACAGACATACCCACACAGACATACCCACCCACACGCACGCCCACATGCATACCCAATTACATTCTGCTCACCCCCCACTCACCCTCTCTGCCTGCGGCACACCCCCAAATAGGCACAATTCACAAACTCCACCGGGAGCGGCAGTCATTGATACACTATGGGCATGCACACACACATACATGCATGCACCCCACACTCACCCTCTCTTCCTGCTGCACTCACCCTCTCTGCCTGCGGCACACCCCCAGGAGGGCACTATCCACAAACTCCACCGGGAGCGAGTACAGCATCCCCGACATCCGACCCCACTCAGCACTCTTGATGTTCTCCACGTATATGAACACGCCCTTGGGGTCGGTTACATCAGCAGCGTTTCGCCTGTACGGCTCGAATCCGGGAATCCCACCAAACCCGCACATGAGCGGGAAGTTGGAGGGATTGCAGTAATCGGGGGTTCCAGGTGTGTCGGGTTGAGTGAGGTTGATGACCCGAGTGCTGCGATAGGAGTGCTCGAAGGAGGGAGCAGGCAGAGCGTTTCGTTTCTGCAGGTGGGAGGGAGGGTGGGAGGGTGGGAGGGTGGGAGAGGGGGAGGAGGTAAGGAGGAGGCAAGGAGGCACAGAGTGTTGTGTTAGCATCATCACAGCTGTCAGCCGGGTTTCGCCTGTATGGCTTGACGCGTACGGCTCGACACCGGGAATCCCACCAAACCCGCACATGAGCGGGAAGTTGGAGAAATTGCAGTAATCGGGCGTTTCAGGTGCGTCGGGTTGAGTGAGGTTGATCACTCGGGTGCTGCGATAGGAGTGCTCGAAGGAGGGAGCAGGCAGAGGGTTTCGTTTCTGGAAGGAAAGAGATTAGGATCGACCGGGATAAAGAAAGGGAGGAAGGAAGGAAAGGGAGGCAGGAAGAAAGGGTGGGGGGAAAGAAAGGGCGGGAGAGGGGCAGAAACTGTTAGAACAGATCATATCGGGGCAGGAACAGATCACTGTCGGGGGTTTCAACAGTGACAAGCTGAGTGGGGTGGATCACTCCAGTGCCGCGAGATGAATGCATGAAAGGAGGGAGCAGGCGGAGGGTTTTGCTTCAAGATAACTGATGAATTGCCTTGGAAGCAGTTCCCCTCCCACCACTTGCTCTGCGCTTCTGACCAACTGCTGCCCCACTCACACCACCACCACCAAATGTAGCACCTGCAGCACCCACCCCAGCCAATACGGTTGTAACATATTCAAACACTTGCCTTGGCAGCATTGCCCCTTGCACCACTCGCCCTGCGCTTCTGACCCGCTGCTGTTCCACTCACACCACCACCACCACCACCAAATGTAGCACCTGCAGCACCCACAGCACCAACCCCATAGTCCCGCTCACCCTCCTCCTCCCACTCCCACTCCTCCTCCTGCTCCTCGTCCCACAAATTGCCATTACCCGCACCAACAGCAGCACCACCACCAAAACCACCGTTACCACCATTCCACTCCCCTCCTCCCTCCGCCTCTTCTTCCTCCTCTTCCATCTCTTCCTCCTCCTCATCCAACCAGTTTCCCTCCTCTTTGCATTTCCCCAATCCCATTCCACCGCCACCACCCTTCACTCCCCCCCTCCTCTCCCTCCTCCCACTCCCCCTCCTCCGAATCCTCTCCATCCCCCTACCCCTCCCCCGCCCACTCCCTCCCACCCCTCCTCCTTCACACCCCCTGCCACGCTGTCACGCTGAGTCAGCATCCGTGCCAGCTGTCGCTCTACCCCTCCCTTACCAAACCCCCCTGCCCCCACCGCCCCCATACCACCACCTCTGGCTGCATTGTTCCCCCACCGCTCACCACCGCATCCAACCCCGCTTCCCCACCCCTCACCACCTCCTTTCGCTGCATTGTTCCTCCACCGCTCACCACCGCATCCAACCCCGCTTCCCCACCCCTCACCACTGCCTCTGGCGGTGTTGTTCCCCCACCGTTCATCACCGCATCCAACCCTGCTGGGCCCTGCCCGACCGCTGGGTATAAACGCGCCAGCTCTGGGTGCTGGGGAGTGCGGCGGGGCGCGGGAGACAGCAGAGGTGGTGGGGGGACGGGTGAGACCCGAACGACCTAAGCCTGGGAGGGATGAGGGGAAAGGGGGGAAGGGAACAGGGCAAGGGGCAGGGGAACAGGGGAAACATAAGCAGGGAAAAGGTGAAAGAACTCCTCCAATTTCGCGACCACTAGAGTGTAAACTGCTGCTGCTCTGGGTGCTGGGGAGTGCGGCGGGGCGCGGGAGACAGCAGAGGTGGTGGGGGGACGGGTGAGACTGGAACCACCTACGCGTGGATGGGTAAGGAGAAGCGGGGAGGGAAGGGAACTGGGGAAACACAAAGTGAGGAAAAAGCAGAGGTGGTGGGCTGGCTGGGCGGACGGGTGAGACCCGATGCACCTAAGCCTGGATGTGATAAAAAGCCACAGGAGAGGCGAAGGGGGAGAAGAAAAGGAAACGTGGAACAGAAGACAGAAAACAGCAGCAGCAGCAGCAGCAGCACCCAACAAAGGCAGAGCAGCAGCACTCACCAAAGCTGGATGCCCCATCCTCATCTTCATGCAACCAGCCTCCCATGCCCTCCCATGCCCCTCCCATACGCCTCAAACCTGCCCTCCCACCAGCCACACCATCAGAAGTGCTAACACCCAAGGAAGGCAGAGCAAACAGCACTCACCAAAGCTGGATGCCCCATCCTCATCTTCATTCAACCAGCCTCCCATGCCCCTTCCACCTGCCCTCCCTTCTCCACCAGCAGCAGCAGCAGCAACCCCACGAGCAGCAGCAGCACCACCACCACCACGAGCACGACCGCTCCCGCGAGCAGCAGCACCAGAATAAGCACCTCTGTCACCTCCAAAGCCACCACCGCCAAATTTACCACCCCCGAAACCACCACTGCCAACACCAATACCACCAGCAGCACGACCCCATCCTTCCCCGTACTTCCCTGCTTCATCCTCACCATCACCTCCAAAACCACCAACCCCAATACCGCCACCGCCAATACTGCTACCAGCGCCAGCACGACCCCATCCTTCTCCATACTTCCCTGCTTCATCCTCACCATCAACTCCCTCCTCCTTCTCATCCTCCTCCTCTTCCTCCTCTCCCCCTCCCTCCTCCTCCTCTTTCTCCTGTTCCTCCACCATTCTCTCGTGCACCTCAGCAGCAGCAGCGAAGTCAACAGCCTCTGCCACCCACCTCTCCAGCTCCCACCCCCCATTCCTCGCGTCCTTCCTTGTCCTCTCTACAATCTTCCTCGCTTTCCTCTCTTGCATCCCCATCGTGCCTATCAACCATTCCGCCACTGACTCACCAGTGCTCTCATCGAACTTACTCTTTTGATCCCTTTGATCACTCTCACCACCAAACCCGCCCCTTTGCTCATTCTCAAAACCAAACCCACCCCTTTGCTCGCTCCGATCAGCAATCCCAGAATCAAAGCCGTTCTTCCCAAACTCAGCTGCCCCCCTCCCTCTCCCGTCCACGTCCCCGCTTCCCGCTCCCCTTATCCCTCTCCCGTCCCCTTCTTCTCTTCCCACTCCCCATCCCCCTCCCCCCACTCCTTGGGCTAACCCTCCTCCTCCCTCTCCCCATACCCCTCCTACTGCTCCTCCCCCTTCCCCTCCCCCTCCAACTCCAAATCCTGCTCCTGCTCTCTCTTCTGTTCCCACTCCACCGAATCTCACCCCACCATTTCGCACCCCACCGCCTCCCACCGCACCACCTCCCACCGCACCACCTCCCACTGCACCACTTCCCTCCCCACTCTCCATCCTCTCCTTCTTCACCTCTACCACATCACCATCCCCATCCCCATCACCATCACTGTCACTCTCAGACTCGTGCTCATCCTCCCCATCAACCTTGTATTCGCTATCACTGCCATCATCACTACCATCATCACTGGCATCGCTATCATGACTATCACTATCAGCTTCCTCCACCTCATTATCCTTCCCCAATCTCGCCCCACACTTCCTTCTCTGCCTCTTATTCTCCTTCTCACCCTCTCCTCTCTCGTTCTTCTCCTCTCCCTCCCCCTCCCCTTCCTCCTCTCCCTCCTCCATATCCCCCTCCCGCACCTCCCCCTCCTCTCTCTCCTCAGCAATTGCTGCTGCAATCTCTTCTGTTCCTCCTTCCGCCACCTTCCCCTCCTTCCCCATCCTCCCCACCTGCCCCAACCCCCCCACATCCCTCTCTCTCCCCCCCATCACCACATCATCTAGTGGTTCCTCCTTAACTCTCACCTGCAAACCACTCACTCTCTCTCCCTCGTTCACTCTCCCCTTCACAACATTCCCCCCTTCCCGCTGCTTTGCAGGAGTCTCAGGGCCCTTAGCTCCTCCTACCCCTCGTCCCTCTCCCACTATCAACCCCTCTCTCTCCTTCGGCACCTCCCTCTCCTTCAACCCCTCTTTCACTTTCAATCCCTCGTTACCTTTCACTCCCTCTCCAGCTTTCCCTCTCAGTTGAGCGCCGCTCGCGCCCACACTCCCCTCGTCCTCTAGCCACTCGTTCACCGCACCAGCGTAAGCACCCACAGGAGCAGTAGCACCACCATCAGCACCACCGCCACCACCACCACCAGCAGCAGCACCAGCATTAACAGCAGCAGCAGCACCACCACCAGCACCCCTACCAGTAACCATTCCTCCTGCCTCCTCCCGCCTCCCTCCCTCCTCCCCGCCGCTAGTCACCCATATCAGCGGGGTAAAACCATTTCTTCCCCTTGTACCCACCCGACCACCAAAACCCGCATCCTTGATCGTACCAGTCTTCCCCTTCTGAGGCCTTGCCCCACTCAAGGGAATGAACCCATCCCCCCCATCATCATCATCCCCATCCCCATCACTCCCATCACCATCACCATCACCACCACCATCACCACCACCATCACCACCACCACCACCATCACCACCACCATCACCACCACCATCACCACCACCATCACCACCACCATCACCACCACCATCACCACCACCATCACCACCACCATCACCACCACCATCACCACCACCATCACCACCACCATCACCACCACCATCACCACCACCATCACCACCACCATCACCACCACCATCACCACCACCATCACCACCACCATCACCACCACCATCACCACCACCATGACCACCACCATCACCACCACCATGACCACCACCATCACCACCACCATGACCACCACCATCACCACCACCATCACCACCACCATGACCACCACCATCACCACCACCATGACCACCACCATCACCACCACCATCACCACCACCATCACCACCACCATCACCACCACCATCACCACCACCATCACCACCACCATCACCACCACCATGACCCTTTTCCCCTCCATAACCCCTTTCATCACCCCTAGCAGCAGCAGTACCTCCATTTCTTCCATTAACACCCTTCCCCTCGCCTCCTTTCCCATCCCATTGCTGCACTTCCCGATACTCCTCCCCGCCTTCCCCGCACTTAACCAAACCATTCCTCCCGTTCCAAACCCCCCTCTTCCTGGCGACAACAAGCCCTCTCTCACCTCCTCCACCACCCATCTCCTCCTCCCTAACTCTCCTCCCTCTCTCCTTTCCACGCTCTCGCCCTGCCTCCTCCCCTTCCTCTTCCTCCTTGTCCTTCCCATCCTCTTCATCCTCCTCTCCTACCAACAGCCTCCCTCCCCTCCGCGCCCCTCCCTCATCCCCCAATCCCCACCTCTTAACTCTCTCTTCCTTCCCCTTCCCCACTCTCTCTAGCACTCTCCTCAACTCACCAACAGCACCTATCAGCCCATCACACCCCTCCCTCCCACACCACACACACCCTCCACTCCCCCTCCCCACACCCTCCTCCTCATCTCCCTCCTCCCCCTCACCCAATCCCTCTCCTCTCTCTCCTCCTCTCCATCCCTGCACAGCCCCTTCCAAAAGACCACACACCGCCTCTCTCTCACTCGCCAGCTCTTCACCCATGGCCCTCCGCCATATAAAGCAAAGCCCCTTCACTTTCCTCCCACTCATTCTCCCCACCACATCCCCAATGTGTGTGCTTCTCCTGCTACTGCTGCTCCTGCTGCTGCTGCTGCTGCTCCTGCTGTATCTACTGTATCTGCTCTGCATGCTGTGCCGCTGCCACTGATGCCAACACATCCCTTCTCTCCTTTCCCCCACTCCTGCTTCCGGAACCACCTCTTTTCCTTTCCGCTTGTCTCTTCCCTCTACCCCTCCCTTCCCACACACAACATCCAAGCCTGTCTCTCCATTTCTCCTGCCGCTCTCCCCTTTTTTTTCACAATAGTCCCACATCCGGGCAACCCACTTCTCTACCAAGTCCGTCGCTTGCCACCGCACTCCACCCCACCCCACACCTTCGCCCCCCTCCCCCCCATCCTCACCTTCCCCCATCCTCCCGCTCCCACTCCTCCTCCCACACATAAATCCACGCAACGCCGCCCCAATACCGCCCAACCCACCTGACCCACCTGCCCCGCCTCTCCATCCTCCTGTCCCCGCCTGCCCTCCTCCCTCCTCCTCTCCCTCTGCTCCTCCCCCGTTCACACTCACACCAGGCAGCAACAACCCATGCAGCACGGCCCAAGAAAGGAGAGGGGTGGAAAGGAGGCGAGGAACAAAACTCTCATACTCTAAGTCTGGTGTCTGGCAGACATAGGGCGCACGAGGAGAGTGTAGGATCAGAGTTGGCGGCGCATCTGGGTCGCAAATCGGCGAAACGTGGAAGCCTATAACGGATATGGGCTCGTGAACCTTCACCAGAATCACATCCTCAGGACCCGCAACCCCACCCGAGCCTCTACCCCCGTTTTTGTCACATTCTGGTGAATCTGCGCCTTGCAGCTGAACCTGGGAAATGATCCCCCATACAGCAAGCCTCCCTTGCTGTATAGCATGCATGGACAGCTCGCATGCTCTAGACGGGTCAATTAAGTTGACCACTTTAAATTTGTTCAAAGCACGAATCGGCTTGCGATCAGAAAGAGAGGGGAAAGGTTTCGGAGGGGACTGGGAGGAGGATGGGATAGGTCCTAGTGCTGCTGCTGCTGCTCCTGCTCCTGCTGCCCCTGCTGCTCCTGCTGCCCCTGCTGCCCCTGCTGCCCCTGCTGTCCCGACTGCCCCGGCTGCCCCTGCTGCTCCTCCGAGAGGAAACAGGGCCTCAAACAAACCCTCCTCCGCCCCTTCTGCTTCACCCCCTGTGAGCGCCAGCGCCATTTCCTCATCTGGTACTCCCACCACCTCTCCCTCCGCCTCTGCTGCCGCTGCTGCCGCTCCTGCTGCTGCTGCTGCCGCTGCCACTCCTCTTCCTCCTGCTGCTGCTGGTGGAGCTGCCGTTGCTGCTGTCGCTCCTGCAGCCATTTTTGTGGGTGCTGCTGCTGCCGATCGTGCCATGCCTGTGAAATCGTGAAAACGAAGGGCGTGGGGGAGGGGAAAGGAAAGGCGGAGAGAGGGAACACAGGTATAAAATGCCCATCCTATTGAGGTGCATCGAGAGTGCTGCTGCCACTCCTGTGCAGGAAGGGAAGAAGCCGCCCAAACCAGCCAAGGGTGGAGCACACAAAGCATCCAGTGGAAGCTTACTAGCCAGGGACTAGCCAGATGTGTGTGTCATTAGCATCACACACACCTGACTAGTAAGCTTCCACTGGATGGTCTGTGTGCTCCACCTTTGGCTGGTTTGGGCGGTTTCTTCCCTTCCTGCATCAGCCGCTTGACCCCTGCTCCTGCTCCACTGCCCCCGCTGGCGGGGAGCAGGACGGGACAGGGCGGGCGGCAGGGAGCAGGAGAGGACAAGGCAGGGCAGGGCAAGGCAAGGCAGCAATGAAGGGGAACAGGGAGAGGGGGGAAACCGGACGCACGAGAATATTTGTCTGTTTGTCTGTCTGGGGTCGCCTGAGAGGCTGTGTTGCGTTGCCCCCCTTGTGTGCCTTCATCACATCAGATGATGCTCCATCAGCACTGCTCGCGATGTGCTCCAGTCAAGGGGGGGTTGGGTGGAGGCACCTCAGAACATAGCCTCCAAGCCAGGCCTCTATAATGGTTCCACCTTCATACCTTATCCTCGTGCTCGTCGACCTCACCCCGTCCTTCGCACTCCACACGAGTTGACTTTTGAGTCGACTCAAAAGTCGGCCTCTATTATGGTTTCCCCTTCATACCTTATCCTCGTTCTCGTCGAACGTGTTCTCACACTTCACAGCTTCAGCAGCCCGTCTGCTCGCGTTGACACCACCTGATGGTAAGCGAGAAAGAGGAGAGGAGAGAAGCAGTGAGCAGGATCGTGCCATGCTGAAATCGGCGCGGCGTACGACACCCCGGTTTACGATATCCTAAGCGCTTAGAAAATCGCCTTCCTAGGCAATATCGTTATCCACGTGACGACAAGCCGGCTTACCTTACATAAGCCGCGTCGTTGCGGCCTGTCGATCCGAGCAACCTGCAAGACCTTGCGTGCGTCTACGGTTTCGGTTCTGTCTGCAGGTGCGCTATCTATTTCATTACTCAACGCTGTTGCCGCGGCGCGAACATGACGAAAAGCGGGAATAAGGCGAAAAATGGAGACGAAAATGGAGCACTGTAATTACGTCAACATGAGTGTTGGCTGGGTGGTGAGTGCCCGAGGGGTGAGCGATGAGTTTTGGGAGTTTGCGGAACATTCACTTTCGCTCAGTGCCCTACCCAACCAAGAAGCACCTCATTGAATCGCGTTTGAACGAGCCTCTTGTAGTTTCCACATTCTCCACTTGCCTGAAGAATGGGGGCAAAAACGTCGCAGGCGAAGGCCCTCCTCCTGACGAACCAACCTTCGCTGAAGTACGGGGGGCGTGAGCGTCGCAGGCGAAGGTCCTGACGAACCAACCAACCTTCTTCCATCTGGTTTTGTTCCCGAGAGTCGTTAGACTTCATTTCGTAGCCCTCGCGAACGTCATCCTCCAATCTTACTCGAACATTTCTATTTCGTCAACTTATCCAGTTACTGCAAAACACCTGGTTCACACACCACACCACCAATCTTCCTGACAGGCTGACAGCATACATCGCCCAACGATTACCTAGCTTGCCGCACGCACAGACAACTTCAAGCCCGATCAAGTCGAGCCTCGAGAATCCCGAAATGCTCCGAGAAGACCGCTCAATCGAGCTCCCGTTGAACTAAAGTCTATTCGTTGGTCGAGCTCACTCAAGGAGCCCATTCAGTTGAACTGAGTCTTATCTGTCGGACCGCATTCGCATTCTCCGCTCGTAGTAGGTTTCACGTTGGCCTTCGCATCATCTTTTCGCGTGAACCCGCCTCGCGACTCTTCGATTTTCAGCGTCCCTGCCTTCGATTGGCTACCTTGCACCACAGATTTTAATCACTGTATCGTACGGACGTCAAAGAGGAAGTTCCAACTTCTAACTTCCGAGATCGGCTGTGGTGAAGAGACAAGCAGCATCACCGACGTAGCGGTCACCTCCATAATCTCATCTTCAGTGAAACTTCAGTTAATCTACGGCTAAGAAATCTCTTCCCGTAAACTGAGTCCGTCCGTCACACTACTAGAAACAAGTCGATCTCCGCGGAATGGCTCGCATTCGTCCGGCGTTCGTGCTGTTCGGCGACTCGTTGACGCAGCACTCGTTCAGCGAAGGCGGGTGGGGAGCAGCGCTGCAGAATCAGTACGCGCGCAAGGTGAGCCTCTGCCTCCTACTCCACTGATCCCCTTCGTGACACCCCTTGAAGAAAAACGATCAACGGCCCAGCAGATCCGTGATCCAATCGACGGCGCCCAACGGATCCGTGCTCCAGTCGACGGCTCAGCAAATCCGTGCTCTAATCGACGCTGTAGCATGACCGACAGAGGCCAGACTCTTGGGTAGGAATCCTACGACTCAGCGAATTCGTGCCCCTTTCAGCCTTCACTGCGACGGAACCCAGCCACCTGCCAGATCAAGACCTGCTACCACCGACGCATCTCCTTCTCGCCTCATGACTGCTGGCACCCCGTCGTCCATGCTGCACCACCGAGCTCCCCGCTCGCCTGAAGGTCCTTCCTCCCTTCCCTCACAGCAGCAGCAGCAGCCGCCGCCGTTTCATTTCCAGCAGCAGCAGCAACAACATTATCCGAAGCAGCAGCAGCACCTTCCGCAGCAGGAGCAACAGCAGCATAAGCTGGAGCACCAGTCGCACCATTCTCACCAGTCTCACACGAAAGGGAGACCCACGCGCTCCCATCCCTACCTCCACTCCGCCTCCCCACGATCCCTCTTCCACAGTACAAGTCAAGAGAACTCCGTACCATCGTCTCTTGCTTCTCTCCGTCGACCCACCTCCCTGCTCCCCCCTTCCATCCGCTTCTCCTTCCGCTCCCCCCTCGCCTCCTTCATCCTCGGAGCACTGCTCTCTCAGCTGCTCTCCCTCCCCTTACTCTTCCTCCTATTACCGCTGCCTCCCCGTCTGCCCTCATACCAGGCTCGTCTCCAGCCTTCCCCCCCGACCTCGTTCTCTCATAAATTCGATTTGCGGGGCTGGTTCGGTTCAGGCCAGCAACAACAGCTACAGTGGCAGCAGCAACAGCAACAGAAGCACTACTATCAGCAGCGGCAGCAGCAGGTGTACCCGCCTCATCACCCCCCCGCACATCTACCCGCACCTGATCGCCTTCCCCCTGATTCAACCTCCTCTGAATCACCTGAGGAGAGCCAACCCTTGTCACGTGAAGGGAGGGAGGGAGCAGCAGCACGGGAGGAGAGCTCTCTTTCTATGGCAGGGCAGAATGCTGCTGCTCTGGCGCGAGGGGCACTGGGGGGCCGGAGGAGGGCCCAGGACAGGGGGGCACTGCCCTTGTCATCATCACCATCATTGTCAGAACCAGATTCTTCAGTGTCATCCTCGTTAAGAGCAGCAGCCGCAGACGTAGAAGCAACAGAAGCAGCAGCAACATCTGCTGCAGCAGCAGCAGCAACATCTGCTGCTGCAGCAGCAGCAGCAACAGCAGCAGAAGCAGCAACAACAACAGCAGCAGCATCTGCGTCAGCACGTGTGATGATGTCGCCACCACCAGCAGCAGCATCACGATGGTCCCGGCCTGCCTTTGTGCTGTTTGGTGACTCGCTCACTCAGAGGTCCTTTGCTGGAGGCGGATGGGGGGCTGCGCTGCAGAACCTCTATGCCCGCAAGGTGAACCCTCAGCAGGAGCTGTCTTCTGCGTTTGCGTTCTGCACAAAGGGGTTTGTGGAACACAAACGCAATGAACACAGCGCCGTGTCTTCTGCGTTCATTTCCACTTCACTGCTTGCAGGTGGAGGGGTCACGGGGGTGTGACTGGGTTACAGCTAATGACAGGGTACACACAAGAATGCAAGTTGCCACACATTGTGGCTTCAAACACAACGCCCTGCCTTCACGTCGCTATTGGGTTACACTGGGTGCTCCTCCGTCCTCTTCCCCAAGCTCTCGCTTTGCTCTTTGCTCTTTGCTGTGCTGCGTGCAGGTGGACGTGGTGTTACGGGGTTACAGCGGGTACAACACACGCTGGGCTCTCTTCCTCCTGCCCAAGATCTTTCCCAAGGTACGTCTTCTCTGAAATGTATCTTTTTCAAGGTGCGTCGTCCCTAGGGTGGAATTAATTTTCAAAGTAAGTCTTTCCTAGCCAACGGCACCACTCTTCCAGGGAAGAACGAGCAGCAAGCAGAACAGCACAGCGCAGTCTGTGATGTGAACCCGTTGCCAATGTAATGTGCCATTTCCATCGCTCGCTGCATCTATTTCCCGCATCCATGAATATCGCCTGAGTCAGTGTGACACGTCCACGCGTCCTCCCGCCCCGGTGACGGTGTTTTTTGGCGTCAGTGATGCTGCACTATTAGGGAGAACGAGCGGCAAGAAGCAAGCAGTGTGCAGCGCATCTCATGGCATGGTTTAAACCAGTGCGTGCTTCAATTCCGTCCTACCCTATGTCCACCACTCCCCTGCAATATATACCACAGGGTGACACGTCGATTCCTCCTCCTGCCCTGGTGACTGTTTTTTTCGGCGCCAATGACGCTGCGCTGCCAGGGAGAACAAGCGGCAAGCAGCACGTGCCGATTCCAGAGTTCAAGGAGAACCTGCGAGTCATAGTCACTCACCTGCAGGTATGATTCGAGGTTTGAGGCGTCTGCAGGTGTCATGTTACTCTTGCATGGCCCTACCTGTCTGCCTGGGAGAACCAGTGGCAATCAGCAGCAGCAAGCAGCACGTCCCTATTTCTGAGTTTACAGAGAACCTACGAGACATAGACACTCACCTGCAGGTATGCTCAGGTGCTCCTGTTGGCTGAGGGGTTAAATAGAGACGAAGCATACAGGAATTCAATCAAGGAGAACCTGCCTGCATCCCGCACCGCTCCCTCACCCTCCTTTGCCTTGTGCTCTATGCTCTCCTCACCATCCCCTCTCTTACCTCTCTAAAATTCCTCCGCCGCCCCACCCATTCACTGGGCGCAAACATGTGTGCGGCCCTCATCACTACCTCGCCCTTCGTGCCGTGCTCCTCCCTCGACTCTCCTTTGCCTTGTGCTCTCCTCACCCCTCTGTTTCCTCTTCCCCCCTCGCAATCACCTCGCCCCTATGCAGTTACTGAATTCCAGCGTGCGTGTGCTGCCCATCACTTCAACCCCTGCGGGCGATTCTCCAGGCGCCTCAAACATTCTTTAAAACGTCAATTCACGCCCCTCCCTCTTCCCCTTGCAACCCTGCCTCCAGTCGCTGGGTCCCAACGTGCGTGTGGTGCTAATCACGCCACCCCCTGTGGACGAGGCTGGTCGCATGGAGTTTGCCAAGTGAGTCCCTACTTGAGGGTGTAGGGAGGTCCTAGTCCCTGGGCATGAAGGTGCCAGAGCACTCAAAATTCGTCACATATTGCACATGTTTGCACATGCTTTTCAATTCCTAGTCCAATTCTCTCTCCTCCTTTCCTCGTCGCGATGTACGGAGAGCAGTGCATGAAGGAGCTGGAACGCACGAATGAGGCGACGGGCAAATATGCAGCAGAGGCGCATGGGGGTGTGCATCTCAGGTTTTAATCCCACTCTCTTTCTGTCACTATCTTCCGCCCCTGCTCAGAGGGATGTACGGTGAGCGGTGCATGAAAGAGCCGGAGCGATTAAATGAGTTGACGGGCAAGATGCGGCAGTGGTGAGGGAGGTGGCAGAGGCACGTGGGGGCGTGCCTCTCATGAGGGAATGCTGCTCAATCACTAATCCCACACACTGGCTCTCCCCCCTTGTTCAGAGCGATGTACGGTGAGCAGTGCATGAAGGAACCAGAGCGGACGAATGAGGTCACAGGGAAGTATGCGGCAGCGGTGGGGGAGGTGGCAGAGACGTGTGGGGGTGTACCTGTGATTGACCTCTGGACCGTGCTGCAGCAACAACCCAACTGGCAGACCCTGCTCAGGTCAGCACGGACACATGCACACACGCACCCGCACACGCACAGAGTCACTCTTGTGCTGAACGAGGTATGCGGGGACAGAGGGAGGTGGCAGAGGCGTGTGGGGGCGTGCCTGTGATTGACCTCTGGACCGTGCCGCAGCAACAACCCCACTGGCAGACGTTGCTCAGGTAACACACACATGCATGCAAAGATTCATGCACTCGCACACGCACGCGCGCGCGCGCGCGCGCGCGCACACACACACACACACATGTGCTGGTCATGTGGTGGATTGCCAATGGGGAAGCTAATGGTAGTGCTTGTCAGTTATGTGAATATTTTTAAGGGAATATTAGGTGGTTGCAGGGTTGGGCCTCAGGTAAGTAGTAGTCTGTTCTCATCCCGCCTTCTTTACAGGCTCTCACTTGTGTAACCAGTTTGACATGTCTCTCGTGTTCCACCTTCCCCTGTTTGACCCATATAGAATTTGTTTATGTTCCTTTCTGTTTTCACAGTCCAGTGACAAACTTCAGTTCGCCCCTGTACTCCATAATCCTTTTGTGTCCGTTTTCTGGTTTCTGACTTTCCAGTGATGGGCTTCACTTGGCCCCTGGGGGAAACAAGGTGTTGTTCGAGCAGCTGTCATCGCTTCTCCAATCAAGTGCTGATTGGACACCACCTTTGGTGCAAGAGAGCATGCCTTGGGACTTCCCTGAGCATATCAATATTGATGGGGAAAATCCTGGGAATGCGTTCAAGGACCCCTAAGTAAAATGTAATGGATGATTTTGTTCTGTGAAACGGGATTTCCATGAAAGTGTGAATTGATAGAGCAAGCAGCGCATGTGTGCAGCCAGTGAAACCATGGTGTGGTCTCATCAAACCAGAAGGCTTTGGTTTTGCCTGCTCCAGTCTGGCTACCGTGTGGTGAATGCAGGTTTGTGGTAAGCGCAGCAAGGTGTGTAGAAGTTGATTGGTTGTCGTCTAATAAGGTATGGTTCAGTATTGGTTTCTGTTAGAGTAAGGACCTTGGATAGAATAGGAGGTGCTTTTGGTAGAGTTGGTAGCGGAAGACTTGTAAGAACTCAGATCATAGTGAATGTAAATGACCAAGTTGATTAAAAGATAGAATACAAGGAATATAAATAGTCCTAGTCTAGCCATGTACTCTAAGGGGTACATTCCCTTATTATAACTGTTTTACAGGCAATTCTACAGTGACTCTGACTGTTGCACTTACAGGGGGAGGATGATGAGAGGCGTGATGCTGATTGGCCATGACCAGCTAACCGGTAGCGCATCATCCCACATCAGCCCCTTCCTGTTCATGGCTCCTGCCACGTTCAGCAGCACCAGACCCCTGGGCGAGTGGAAATAGGGAAGGGGGAAAGGGAGATGGCGGAAGGGGGAAGGGAGGATGATGAGAGGCGTGATGCTGATTGGCCATGACCAGCTAACCGGTAGCGCATCATCCCACATCAGCCCCTTCCTGTTCATGGCTCCTGCCACGTTCAGCAGCACCAGACCCCTGGGCGAGTGGAAATAGGGAAGGGGGAAAGGGAGATGGCGGAAGGGGGAAGGGAGGATGATGAGAGGCGTGATGCTGATTGGCCATGACCAGCTAACCGGTAGCGCATCATCCCACATCAGCCCCTTCCTGTTCATGGCTCCTGCCACGTTCAGCAGCACCAGACCCCTGGGCGAGTGGAAATAGGGAAGGGGGAAAGGGAGATGGCGGAAGGGGGAAGGGAGGATGATGAGAGGCGTGATGCTGATTGGCCATGACCAGCTAACCGGTAGCGCATCATCCCACATCAGCCCCTTCCTGTTCATGGCTCCTGCCACGTTCAGCAGCACCAGACCCCTGGGCGAGTGGAAATAGGGAAGGGGGAAAGGGAGATGGCGGAAGGGGGAAGGGAGGATGATGAGAGGCGTGATGCTGATTGGCCATGACCAGCTAACCGGTAGCGCATCATCCCACATCAGCCCCTTCCTGTTCATGGCTCCTGCCACGTTCAGCAGCACCAGACCCCTGGGCGAGTGGAAATAGGGAAGGGGGAAAGGGAGATGGCGGAAGGGGGAAGGGAGGATGATGAGAGGCGTGATGCTGATTGGCCATGACCAGCTAACCGGTAGCGCATCATCCCACATCAGCCCCTTCCTGTTCATGGCTCCTGCCACGTTCAGCAGCACCAGACCCCTGGGCGAGTGGAAATAGGGAAGGGGGAAAGGGAGATGGCGGAAGGGGGAAGGGAGGATGATGAGAGGCGTGATGCTGATTGGCCATGACCAGCTAACCGGTAGCGCATCATCCCACATCAGCCCCTTCCTGTTCATGGCTCCTGCCACGTTCAGCAGCACCAGACCCCTGGGCGAGTGGAAATAGGGAAGGGGGAAAGGGAGATGGCGGAAGGGGGAAGGGAGGATGATGAGAGGCGTGATGCTGATTGGCCATGACCAGCTAACCGGTAGCGCATCATCCCACATCAGCCCCTTCCTGTTCATGGCTCCTGCCACGTTCAGCAGCACCAGACCCCTGGGCGAGTGGAAATAGGGAAGGGGGAAAGGGAGATGGCGGAAGGGGGAAGGGAGGATGATGAGAGGCGTGATGCTGATTGGCCATGACCAGCTAACCGGTAGCGCATCATCCCACATCAGCCCCTTCCTGTTCATGGCTCCTGCCACGTTCAGCAGCACCAGACCCCTGGGCGAGTGGAAATAGGGAAGGGGGAAAGGGAGATGGCGGAAGGGGGAAGGGAGGATGATGAGAGGCGTGATGCTGATTGGCCATGACCAGCTAACCGGTAGCGCATCATCCCACATCAGCCCCTTCCTGTTCATGGCTCCTGCCACGTTCAGCAGCACCAGACCCCTGGGCGAGTGGAAATAGGGAAGGGGGAAAGGGAGATGGCGGAAGGGGGAAGGGAGGATGATGAGAGGCGTGATGCTGATTGGCCATGACCAGCTAACCGGTAGCGCATCATCCCACATCAGCCCCTTCCTGTTCATGGCTCCTGCCACGTTCAGCAGCACCAGACCCCTGGGCGAGTGGAAATAGGGAAGGGGGAAAGGGAGATGGCGGAAGGGGGAAGGGAGGATGATGAGAGGCGTGATGCTGATTGGCCATGACCAGCTAACCGGTAGCGCATCATCCCACATCAGCCCCTTCCTGTTCATGGCTCCTGCCACGTTCAGCAGCACCAGACCCCTGGGCGAGTGGAAATAGGGAAGGGGGAAAGGGAGATGGCGGAAGGGGGAAGGGAGGATGATGAGAGGCGTGATGCTGATTGGCCATGACCAGCTAACCGGTAGCGCATCATCCCACATCAGCCCCTTCCTGTTCATGGCTCCTGCCACGTTCAGCAGCACCAGACCCCTGGGCGAGTGGAAATAGGGAAGGGGGAAAGGGAGATGGCGGAAGGGGGAAGGGAGGATGATGAGAGGCGTGATGCTGATTGGCCATGACCAGCTAACCGGTAGCGCATCATCCCACATCAGCCCCTTCCTGTTCATGGCTCCTGCCACGTTCAGCAGCACCAGACCCCTGGGCGAGTGGAAATAGGGAAGGGGGAAAGGGAGATGGCGGAAGGGGGAAGGGAGGATGATGAGAGGCGTGATGCTGATTGGCCATGACCAGCTAACCGGTAGCGCATCATCCCACATCAGCCCCTTCCTGTTCATGGCTCCTGCCACGTTCAGCAGCACCAGACCCCTGGGCGAGTGGAAATAGGGAAGGGGGAAAGGGAGATGGCGGAAGGGGGAAGGGAGGATGATGAGAGGCGTGATGCTGATTGGCCATGACCAGCTAACCGGTAGCGCATCATCCCACATCAGCCCCTTCCTGTTCATGGCTCCTGCCACGTTCAGCAGCACCAGACCCCTGGGCGAGTGGAAATAGGGAAGGGGGAAAGGGAGATGGCGGAAGGGGGAAGGGAGGATGATGAGAGGCGTGATGCTGATTGGCCATGACCAGCTAACCGGTAGCGCATCATCCCACATCAGCCCCTTCCTGTTCATGGCTCCTGCCACGTTCAGCAGCACCAGACCCCTGGGCGAGTGGAAATAGGGAAGGGGGAAAGGGAGATGGCGGAAGGGGGAAGGGAGGATGATGAGAGGCGTGATGCTGATTGGCCATGACCAGCTAACCGGTAGCGCATCATCTCACATCAGCCCCTTCCTGTTCATGGCTCCTGCCACGTTCAGCAGCACCAGACCACTGGGCGAGTGGAAATAGGGAAGGGGGAAAGGGAGATGGCGGAAGGGGGAAGGGAGGATGATGAGAGGCGTGATGCTGATTGGCCATGACCAGCTAACCGGTAGCGCATCATCCCACATCAGCCCCTTCCTGTTCATGGCTCCTGCCACGTTCAGCAGCACCAGACCCCTGGGCGAGTGGAAATAGGGAAGGGGGAAAGGGAGATGGCGGAAGGGGGAAGGGAGGATGATGAGAGGCGTGATGCTGATTGGCCATGACCAGCTAACCGGTAGCGCATCATCCCACATCAGCCCCTTCCTGTTCATGGCTCCTGCCACGTTCAGCAGCACCAGACCCCTGGGCGAGTGGAAATAGGGAAGGGGGAAAGGGAGATGGCGGAAGGGGGAAGGGAGGATGATGAGAGGCGTGATGCTGATTGGCCATGACCAGCTAACCGGTAGCGCATCATCCCACATCAGCCCCTTCCTGTTCATGGCTCCTGCCACGTTCAGCAGCACCAGACCCCTGGGCGAGTGGAAATAGGGAAGGGGAAAAGGGAGATGGCGGAAGGGGGAAGGGAGGATGATGAGAGGCGTGATGCTGATTGGCCATGACCAGCTAACCGGTAGCGCATCATCCCACATCAGCCCCTTCCTGTTCATGGCTCCTGCCACGTTCAGCAGCACCAGACCCCTGGGCGAGTGGAAATAGGGAAGAGGGAAAGGGAGATGGCGGAAGGGGGAAGGGAGGATGATGAGAGGCGTGATGCTGATTGGCCATGACCAGCTAACCGGTAGCGCATCATCCCACATCAGCCCCTTCCTGTTCATGGCTCCTGCCACGTTCAGCAGCACCAGACCCCTGGGCGAGTGGAAATAGGGAAGGGGGAAAGGGAGATGGCGGAAGGGGGAAGGGAGGATGATGAGAGGCGTGATGCTGATTGGCCATGACCAGCTAACCGGTAGCGCATCATCCCACATCAGCCCCTTCCTGTTCATGGCTCCTGCCACGTTCAGCAGCACCAGACCCCTGGGCGAGTGGAAATAGGGAAGGGGGAAAGGGAGATGGCGGAAGGGGGAAGGGAGGATGATGAGAGGCGTGATGCTGATTGGCCATGACCAGCTAACCGGTAGCGCATCATCCCACATCAGCCCCTTCCTGTTCATGGCTCCTGCCACGTTCAGCAGCACCAGACCCCTGGGCGAGTGGAAATAGGGAAGGGGGAAAGGGAGATGGCGGAAGGGGGAAGGGAGGATGATGAGAGGCGTGATGCTGATTGGCCATGACCAGCTAACCGGTAGCGCATCATCCCACATCAGCCCCTTCCTGTTCATGGCTCCTGCCACGTTCAGCAGCACCAGACCCCTGGGCGAGTGGAAATAGGGAAGAGGGAAAGGGAGATGGCGGAAGGGGGAAGGGAGGATGATGAGAGGCGTGATGCTGATTGGCCATGACCAGCTAACCGGTAGCGCATCATCCCACATCAGCCCCTTCCTGTTCATGGCTCCTGCCACGTTCAGCAGCACCAGACCCCTGGGCGAGTGGAAATAGGGAAGGGGGAAAGGGAGATGGCGGAAGGGGGAAGGGAGGATGATGAGAGGCGTGATGCTGATTGGCCATGACCAGCTAACCGGTAGCGCATCATCCCACATCAGCCCCTTCCTGTTCATGGCTCCTGCCACGTTCAGCAGCACCAGACCCCTGGGCGAGTGGAAATAGGGAAGGGGGAAAGGGAGATGGCGGAAGGGGGAAGGGAGGATGATGAGAGGCGTGATGCTGATTGGCCATGACCAGCTAACCGGTAGCGCATCATCCCACATCAGCCCCTTCCTGTTCATGGCTCCTGCCACGTTCAGCAGCACCAGACCCCTGGGCGAGTGGAAATAGGGAAGGGGGAAAGGGAGATGGCGGAAGGGGGAAGGGAGGATGATGAGAGGCGTGATGCTGATTGGCCATGACCAGCTAACCGGTAGCGCATCATCCCACATCAGCCCCTTCCTGTTCATGGCTCCTGCCACGTTCAGCAGCACCAGACCCCTGGGCGAGTGGAAATAGGGAAGGGGGAAAGGGAGATGGCGGAAGGGGGAAGGGAGGATGATGAGAGGCGTGATGCTGATTGGCCATGACCAGCTAACCGGTAGCGCATCATCCCACATCAGCCCCTTCCTGTTCATGGCTCCTGCCACGTTCAGCAGCACCAGACCCCTGGGCGAGTGGAAATAGGGAAGGGGGAAAGGGAGATGGCGGAAGGGGGAAGGGAGGATGATGAGAGGCGTGATGCTGATTGGCCATGACCAGCTAACCGGTAGCGCATCATCCCACATCAGCCCCTTCCTGTTCATGGCTCCTGCCACGTTCAGCAGCACCAGACCCCTGGGCGAGTGGAAATAGGGAAGGGGGAAAGGGAGATGGCGGAAGGGGGAAGGGAGGATGATGAGAGGCGTGATGCTGATTCGCCATGACCAGCTAACCGGTAGCGCATCATCCCACATCAGCCCCTTCCTGTTCATGGCTCCTGCCACGTTCAGCAGCACCAGACCCCTGGGCGAGTGGAAATAGGGAAGGGGGAAAGGGAGATGGCGGAAGGGCGAAGGGAGAATGATGAGAGGCGTGATGCTGATTGGCCATGACCAGCTAACCGGTAGCGCATCATCCCACATCAGCCCCTTCCTGTTCATGGCTCCTGCCACGTTCAGCAGCACCAGACCCCTGGGGGGGTGGTAGGGAGGGAGGGAGGGAGGGAGGGAGGGAGGGAGGGAGGAGGGGAGTGATAAGAAACATGGTTGCTTCGTCGTGACCAGCCAGTGAGCAGTGCATCGTCGCGAATCAGCCTCTTCCTGTTCATGGCTCCCGCCACGTTCAGCAGCACCAGACCCCTGCGCGAGTTGAAAAAGGGAAGGGAGAAGGGAGGATGATGAGAGGCGTGATGCTGATTGGCCATGACCAGCTAACCGGCAGCGCATCGTCCCACATCAGCCCCTTCCTGTTCATGGCTCCTGCCACGTTCAGCAGCACCGGACCCCTGGAGCACACGGGAGAGGTTTTACAAATGACAGTTTAAAGAGCTGCTGAGAATAATCAACCAATTTGCATCTGTGTATTATAAAAATGGTTGTTTTCCTCCATTCTTTATATTATCTTACTGGCAACAGACAAAAAAAAGGAGTTAACATACCAAATCCAAAAAAGATTTAACATACCAAATCCAGACTCCATCATAGACTCGAACGATGTAACATACCAAGCAGGATTCAAGGTGACATCAGAGTCCCTCGCTTGACGAAAGAACGAGTGCTGGGCAGGGCAGGTGGAAAACAAGAAGGGTCACCTGGGCCGACGGGAATGAGCATGGGCAAGGGAATGGGGGGCGTGCCCATTCCCTTGCCCGTGCTCATTCCCGTCGCCCCGAGTGACCCCTCTTGACAACGAGTGCTGGGCAGGGTAGGGCAGTACAGTTAGAACGATATAGTTCAGTGCTGGGCACTACCTGAAGGCGTCAGCAGCAGCAGTCCAACTGGAACTGATATGGCAGTCGAGCGTGAGCGTTGGTAGGTAGCAAGGGAGCACGTGAGAATGGGAAGAGAGGGTGAGTGAGACTTGATGAGATGCAAGAAACAAGCAAACATCACTTACCTAATCTTCCCCTTCTCTGCCCTCCGCACAATGCTCCCCTCCCCCTCGCCTTCGCTGTGCCCCTCCCCATCCGAGAGGGAGAGAGGTGCAGCAGAGGAGGCGGCAGCAGTGAGCGAGGTGAGGGAACCAATGGAATTGCCGATTAGCACTGCAGGCTCATCTGTGAACTCGAGCATGAAATCTGCATGGGAGGAGAGAAGTGGGGGAGAATCGTGGGGAGGGGCGACAGGAAAGACGAGGCAGCAGCAGTGAGCGAGGTGAGAGAGCCGATGGAACTGCCAATAAGCACAGCAGGCTCGTCCGTGAACTCGAGCATGAAATCTGTAGGTAGGAGGGAGGGGGGCGAAGGAGTGAGGGGAGCAGGGAACAGCAGTGAGAGAGCAATGAGTGAGGTGAGAGAGCTGATGGAATTGCCTATCAGCACAGCAGGCTCGTCCGTAAACTCGAGCATGAAATCTGCACAGGGGGGAGGGGGGGGGGTCAGTATGGGGGGTAGGAAGGAAGGAGGTGGCAGCAGTGAGCGAGGTGAGAGAGCCGATGGAGTTGCCTATCAGCACAGCAGGCTCGTCTGTGAACTCAAGCATGAAATCTGTAGGTAGGAGAGAGGGGGTGATGGGGGGTGGACATAGGGGAAAGCAGGGAGGGCAAGCAGCAGCAGTGAGAGAGGTGTGAGGTGAGAAACGAGAGTGAGAGGAGAGGAAGGAGAAAGAGGAGGGGGCTGTGATTGGAAAGACAATGTCAGCACCTGCAGTTGATTATGTCAGCACCTACCTTGATAATGTCAGCACCTCCCATAGATGATGTCAGCACCTCCCATAGATGATGTCAGCACAGCACCTACTGTTGATGATGTCAGCCCAGAGCTCAGGCCCGTACTCGATGCCGCCCGGCTTGTCAGAGTCGCCAGACCCTAGCCGGTCAACAAAGTCAACAAGATACACCTTATGGTAGTCTGCAAGATGATGATGATGATGATGATGATGATGATGATGATGATGATGATGATGATGATGATGATGATGATGATGATGATGATGATGATGATGATGATGATGATGATGATGATGATGATGATGATGATGATGATGATGATGATGATGATGATGATGATGATGATGATGATGATGATGATGATGATGATGATGATGATGATGATGATGATGATGATGATGATGATGATGATGATGATGATGATGATGATGATGATGATGATGTCAGCACCCACTGTTGATGATGTCAGCACCTACCGTTGATGATGTCAGCCCAGAGCTCAGGCCCGTACTCGATGCCGCCCGGCTTGTCAGAGTCGCCAAAGCCTAGCAGGTCAACAGCGTGCACCTTATGGTGGTCTGCGAGATGCGCTATAAGGTTGCGGAAGTGGCCTGCACTGCCTCCTGTGTGGTTGGAAGGAGGAGGAGGCGAAGAAGGGTGGGGGGAAGAGGGAGAGGAATGAGAGGAAAGAGAGGAATGTGAGGAAAGAGAGGAAAGAGGAGGGAAAAATGAGGGGAAAATACATTGGGAACAAGTGAAGATGAACGCTGGTTCATTGAACTTGAAAAAGGGCCGCTCCGTGACTGCGGGCAATTATTGAATCAGAGACATTTGGGCATCAGAAACACAAGCTCCTGTAAACTCATATTTCAGATAAGTAGAAAATGATATTTATATACATGGTTCATATATAAACAAGAGAGCGTGCAGTATGAAGGTTCTGTAGCTTCAGACTGGGAGGAAGGCCAAAGAGTGTGATGGGGCGAGCAAGGATGTGACCAGGTGAGGAGGGGGTTGAGAACTTACCAAAGGCACGATTGTGGATGATGGGTGAGGGAGGGGAGGAATGCGGGGGTGGAATTGGGGAAAATGGGGCAGGTTGGGTCGAAAGCTTACCGAAGCCATGCACGAGAATGACGGGCTTGCCACACCCTGCAACAGCGTAGTGGATGCGATGACCCCTGGGGATGGGTGGGGAAAGGTGGGGAAAGATGTTGAAAGAGGGGAAGGGATGGACAACAGTCAGGAGTTAGTTCAGAAGTTTCACCTCCACCACCATCCCTCTCCGCCTCCACCACCACCCATCGGCCCATCGCCGCCCTAACTTTTGCCTCCCTTCTTCTCTTCTGGGCTCGAGCATGAGTTCATAACAAACACCCACCATTACTCACCTCCACATCCACGAGTGAGAAAGCAGGAGCGAGTCAGCCAAACATAGATCGCACTGAGAAGTCCTTATTCTCTCCCTCTCTTTTGCCCTTAACTCGCACAAGAACGGGAGAGAAAGAGGCACTTCTTGGAGCGAACTATACTTGGCCAACTTGCTCCTGCTTCCTCTTCTCCTTCCTCCTCTCCTTCCTCATCCTCCTCCCGAACCATGCCTTGGCCCACCTTCTTCTCGTCCTTCGCCTCCACCCCATGCACTGCAGTGACCAGATTCCTCACTGCTACCCCCCTCTCCGTCTCCACCCCTGTCCATCGCCTCTTTTCTCTTTTAGATTCTAATTTGGACTCAAAACAAGGAGACACGTCTATACTCACCTCCACATCCACGAGCGTGATCTAAACGGGAGTGCCAATAGCCGTTCTTCCAACCCATGCACTGCTGCAACAAGGTCCCTCACCGCTACCCCCCTCTCCGCCTCCACCACCACCACCCCATGGACACCGCCACCCTATCTCACCCTGACCTATGTATGCAAATGCGGGAATAACCACATGCATATCCGTTAGGACACAGACACACACATCCATACACTCACCTCCACATCCACGAGTGTGATCTAAACGGGAGTGCCAGCAGCCTCTCTTCCACCCCATGCACTGCCGCAACCAAATCCCTCACAGCCACCCCCCTCTCCGCCTCCACCACCACCCCCACCTTCCCGCCCCTCAGCCCGCCCGTGCGCAGGGTGGGCGGCAGGGTTTGGACGGACGTGACCCCTGACAGCTGTAGCAGCTGATCTTCCAACCTGAAAGGCGGGTGGGAGCGGGGAGTGTAGGGCGGAGGGGGGGGGAGGAAGTGGGGGGAATGAGAAGGAGTTGAGTAAGGCACAAGCACAATAAAACCACTCTATGCCATGCCATGCCATCATCATAGGCAAGTCCCGAGCCCCATGCCCATAATGAAGCGTGGGTTTGGTGAAAAACATTCCATCCTGATGTCTTCTATGAGATCGCTCTGTAACGAAGCGTGAGTTTGGTGCTCCAGCGGATTATGCCACGCCATGCTATCCCATCCCATGCCAAGCCGTGCCACGTCATCTCAACCCAGCCCATGCCAAGCCATGCCACGCCATCTTATCCAAGCCCATGCCATACCATGCCATGCTATGGAGTCATGGACTCACCATGGAAGGTCTGATTCATCCGTCACTCCATGCACGCTGCAAGATGAAGAGGGGGAAAGAGAAAGTGCATAGAAGATAGCGAAGCGAAGAGAGAAATGATGAGTGATGAGAGTGAGGAAAAAGAAGTGAACGTAAAAGAAAAAACGGAAAGAAGTGCCTGTTGTACGACAACCTCTCCAACATCAACAGCAAGACAGACTCAAACGCGTAACAGCCCAGAAAACAGCCTATCACCCTTCACAGCTGCACTGGATCCTCGTAATTTTCATTCAAACTTTCAAGGCTAAAAAAAAACAGAAGACACACGTCAGAGCTGCTGTGACACACGTCAGAGCTGCTGTGACTCACGTCAGATTGACGAGTCTCGTCTTGTGCGCCACAGCTGTCCCCCCTCTCGTCGTCTCCACCACCCCACCAGGCGCTCCCGCTTCGTCTGACCGTTTCCTCTCTTCCTCCCCCTCCGCTTCCGCTCGCTCCCGCTGCGTCTTGTGGTGGTGGTGGCGCTTCGACGTGGCCGTGCACACGAGAGCGCCGCCGCCGGACGGTCTGCTGACGTGGGCCACGCTGACGTGGTCTACGTGGCGCAGGTCCACGTGTCGTTGCAGGATAGGTGCGAGGCGAGACGAGCTAGAACTGGAACGGAATCGCTGCTGCGTGGAATGGCGAAGGGATGCGGACGCGGGGTTTCGGGCGAAAGTGGCGAAAGAGGCGAAAGGCGAGGCGAAAACTGTCGCCATCGAGGCCGTCGCCATCGTGCCGGTGCTCGCTCAAACGATTGAAGAGAGAGGAAGAATCACTAGAATGGTTCGGATGATTAGGATAGCGAGGCGCAAAACTGCCTGGGATATCGACGACGACTGTACGAGCTGCGCGACTGCACGAACTGAGGCGACTGTGGTTACGCGATGGTGGAAAGAGATGGCAGGCCGTATAAGAGAAGACAACGGCACAGGGTGTACTTGCGATACCGAGCAAATTCAGGATGTACAATGGTTGGCACAGCTTCAGTTCCAGCTTCTGTGCTTACAGTCGAGCGATAACGGAATTCACCATGATGTTTCTACGGTACCAGTGTTTGACCGGAATCAGGCGAATTCGCGAATTAGGAACCAAGACTGGAGGAGAGCTTTTGGGAGAAAAAACTGGTAGCGCGGCGACGAGCAGCGCGTCGCGTCTAGCGTTTCGAGAAGTACGAGGATGACGCGGATTTCGAGAATGTAAGACTTGAGAAAGAAGCAAGGACGAAGAGCGTTTACACGAGGTCTAGGATGAACTTTGAACGAGGGACAGGGGAGCGTTTAGTGTCAGACGCATGTCCCGAGACTGCCACGTGTGCCAAAATCTACTCTGACAAGGAGTAACTATTTAGGAGCTGATACAGGGGGACAGCTCTGCTGTCCAGAGGCAAGGCTGACGTGGTTTGAATTCGAGCTGACCAATCGCATGCTGTCTTTAACCTTGACACTTCCAGCGTGCTCCAGGATGCTGACGTGAAAGAATCTGCGATCTTCGCTAGGAACTGAATTGAATAACACGTATGAGAACAGTCAGACAGAGAAGTTCTTTATGTCTTTACATAGACAAAAGAGTTCTCCTTTTGTACCAGGAAGCAAAGTACGCACTTCTGTATTAGAAATTTAGTACCATTACATGGAAACATGCTGGCAACAAGCTCGTTGATCGGTAGAGGAAATAGTGAGCATTCGTTTGACAAGTCCTGTACTTCAGAAGTGCTGCACTCTGCTGCTCACTAATGCTCCAGGGCACCCGATTCTGAAGGAGCAGCCTAGCCAGCACTGCACATCTGTAAGTGGCATCTTAGAAAATAACATCCTCTTCGGTGGCTGTTGCAGACCAGGACTTGTCAGCAACCGCCTTGGGGCCCTTGGCCTCCTCGGCTTCTCTTTCCTCCTTCAACTTCTTCAGCTTGTCAGCCTCCCTCTTCTTGTAAGCCTGCACCTTTTTCAGGCGGAAAAAATCCTCACGCTCCAACTCATCAAGCTCTCCCTTGATGTACGAAATCGTGTTCTCCAGGCGAGGCACCACCACATTCTCAAGCGCGTTGACACGGCGATTGGTCGTCTTAATGGCCTCGTCCAGCGTCAAGAAGGATGTCTGCAGAGATGCCAGTTCAACCAGCAGCTCAATGGCACGGACGAAGGCTGACCTCGCGAGCTGGATCTGCTGTCCTCCTCGGCCCAAACCAGTCAGATCGTTCTTGCTGTCGCCTGCCTCAGCGAAATGCTCGAATTTCGGCAGCTTCACGCCAGCGACATTGTCCTGCTTCGCGCGAACCTTGATAATGGCCTGATCGACGTTCTCAAAAACAACGTGCTTGACCCTCTCTCCAGCAGCGTATTTTGCTTCAGTCAGTGCGAAGGCTGAAGACTTCATGATGTCACCCATACTCTCCTTCGTCTCCATGATCTTCTTCAATATTTGCCTAAACTGCATCGTCAACGCATCGCTCTTCTTCTTCAGCAGCTGATGTCCTTTCGTGGCACCAATAAGCCGGGCCTTGATGACCGTCAAAACAGTCACAGTAGGCACAACAGTCAGCCGCTGACCTTGCGACATGGTAGCAGCTGGCTGATGTATGCAACCCTTAAAAAAATATCCGCTTTAAAGATTCGATGGTATCCTCCCTCCAGCAAAGCCTTAGGCGCTCTGAGCGCTGCACGTTTGGGAGGATGCACTGATGATCAATAAATGGACTGAGCAAATGTTGACCTAGGAGGTGTGAAAATGAATGGACACCCTGCTTGTCAAACGTTCACCTAGAAGCTACTGAAATGTGCTGGTTTGAAATCCGTGAAGAAACAGTCGGAAGGGACGAACTTGAATCGGGGTTTGGCGCTACTTGCTTCACATTGGCTGTTACAAAAATGACTCGCAAGTTCGTGCGCACGCCTGATTCGTCAGCCAGACCAGCAGTTGGGAAGTTGACACAAGAAGCGATACATTTTTCTGGTTACCGTATTTTGTTTTCGTTCATTTCGCTTTTGGCACCAGCGAATGGGTAGGGCAGAACCACACCCTCCCTCTCCTCCCCTCCCCCACCTTTCTCCTTCCTCTCCTTTATACACCAATACATTCCTGCCTTTCTGTTTTCAACTCCTCTATGATCCTTTCTGTTCCATTCTTCCTTCTCCCCATTTTCAACTCCCCCACCTTGCTTTCAAGCTTTCCTGCCTTCATCCCACCAATCGTCCATCCATTCTATGCATGCAGATTTCGGCTTCTCGCCATCACAGTACCATACAGTATCCCTCGCGCTTCCTCTCTTTCTCATCCATGGCTGCCACGACTGTCGCATTCGCGCGACCACCCACTAGTCTTTCCTCTGGATCCCTCGGGACTAGCTTCGTAACCGGAACAGGTTCCTGCCGAGTTAGTCTAGCGCCGGTTCGCCTTCCTCAGAGGTCATCATTGCAGTCGAAAGGGAAGCGTGCTGCGCGAAAGTCAGACCAAACATGTCGGCAACGGGGCGGCGCCATGACTTCTCAAGCTTTCGTTGACTGGACTGCCGTTCCAGCGTGGTACGTCTTCAATGAATCCAGACGAGAATGACCCAACAAACCGTTCCAGTCTCGCTCGTTCTGTCGTCCGCCACGCGTCAATTCTTCCTCGTGCTCCGCTCTTCCTAAGAAAGGCCCGGCATTCCCTCGGTACACTCATCTTTTCCGTTCCCTCTCTGTTCCCGTAGGCTAGTTAAAGTTATGGCTGAAACGCGTGTATCCGTCCAACTCGTGCGGTCCGGCAAATAACCTGGACCCTCGTCAAGAACCTCGAATCATTCCACCATTCCCGTCTGAATCTCTCCTTCCAGGCTGGTCAAGGTACTAACTGAGCGCGTGTATCCCTCCTACCCGTGCGGGCCCGACACGTTCTGAGACATCTCAACCGTCCATCCATTTCCGCACATCTCCCCCTTCTAATCCAGGCTGGTTAAATTGTTAGCTGAACGTGTCTACCCCTCCAACCCATGCGGCCCCGGGAAGTACCTGGACCCGAACGCCCAAGCATGCGTGTACATCTGCAAGCCGGGGTACTCATACGACTACGACACCAAGTCGTGCGTGCGCATCATGCCCGCGTGTGGCGAGGGCTTCGTGCTCAAGGGCGGGCGCTGTGTGCCCAACCACGAGTGCGACCAGGGGTACTCTTATGATGCGTCTCTCGATGCCTGTGTGCTGCCACAGGTGAGTGCTTGAATAGTCGCCTCAGGTGTGGAGTGGTGCTAAGATTGGGTGGCGCATTGCTGCCTTGGTTGCCTTGGCTGGGATTTGCACGTGGCAAGGGCTTCATGCTCAAAGGCGGGCGGTGTGTGCCCAACCACGAGTGCGACCAGGGGTACTCGTATGACGCCTCGCTCGATGCCTGCGTGCTGCCACTGGTGAGCATTTGAGTGTCTCGGGTTGAGTGCGAGGGGAACAAACGCTTCCTATTGGGAGGGCTATGTGCTCAAGGGTGGGCGGTGTGTGCCCAGCCACGAGTGCGACCAGGGGTACTCGTATGACGCCTCGCTTGATGCCTGTGTGCTGCCTCAGGTGAGTGCTTGAGTGTCTCGGGTTGACTGTGAGGGGAATGGAAGTACCTTGGTGGGAGGGCTACGTGCTCAAGGGCGGGTGGCGCATGCCCAACCACAAGTGCGACCAGGGGATTTCGTATTATGTGTTCCTGGACTCCTGTGTGCTGCCTAAGGTGAGTGTCTGACCTGACCTGAGCCCCTCAGGTGGTCCAGTAATCTCGGTCAGTCTAAGGCTGCGGACTTGTTAAACCTGCAGCAGTATCAGAGGGAGCAGTTGATTGTTTGCTGCAACCGCCACTGCGGGCTTAATACCTTGAAGCTGGCAGATCATCACGTTTTTTTCTCGACTCTGAATCCGGATCATGTGCAACCATTTTTTTTGTTTCTGACCCTGCCGTCTCTTCTTTCGCCTGCTGTGACTGTCGTCTTTTTCCAGCGACGCTTTTTTAGGTGCCTCCAAGAACAATTTTTTAGGCATGTAAGAAGATTCACTCTCTTCTGTTGTTGTCTTTGCCTATGCTTCCCTTGCTCCAGGGTTCTTTCCACGAGCCCAAGCGTACGTGGTGGCAGCAGGCAGTGGCTTGGGCAGCAGGAAAAGTTTTGAAGGCAGATGACAACAGCTGCCCGGCCGGGTTTTACTACGACCCCAACACAACGGCATGCGTGCCGGTTTGTGCACCGGGGTTTATGTACGACCGCGAGCTGAAGAAGTGTGTGCCTTCCGATGATACCGTAGTGTAGATACGGTGTTAGCACTGTAGAAGATTGTACGTTATTGTTTGTGTGTTTTCCAGCGACTTGCCAGTAGGCATCAGTCAGTACCTATCTGGTGTATATAATCTATTATGGGTACCAATGCTTGGTACCAAGCCCTCATATTGCAGCCTTTTAAGCCTAATTAATTACCAGCATTATTTCTCATCAAACGGCTCAACATTTTATATAAGATTGCCGTGAAAGTGTAGTGTATGTTGTTTTGGGAGGTTTTCAGGATTCCGTAAAAAATTCGGACAACTCTGCTTTTTCAGCCTGCTCTGAGATCAGTCCTCCCTCCCTAGCATGTTTTCGTCACACCAATCGTCAGCAACCGAAACCGAGCATGCTGAACGATATTCAAGTTCACCTCCCGCAGCACAGTAATCTATCACCTCGACATTGCTGTGAGGAATCATGGAGCAGCAATGAATCCTTTCCTGTATACATAGTGGACAACAGACGGAAGCTCGGATATCAGACTCACAAGGGTCCTACTTCCCTTTTTTAGGCAGCTTACTCAGCTTCACGATGGCAGTGTCATGAACGTGCTTGATGCTCATCGACACCACCACCTTATGCACCTCTGGCTCTGGCCGGTTAAAATTCAAAAAATAAAACGCGTCGTCGATCCGCCGTGGCCCCACGTCTTTTCTCGGGCAGCTCTTGAAATCTTTTATGCTGCTGTACAGTGACGATCCCGCATTCACCCCGAGATCGTCGTTCGCATAATCCAAAAACTTCACAGCCGGAATATCAGTGACATCGAGCTGCCTCTGATCGTTCAGTGGTCCCTCCTCCACAGCCGGTAAAACCTCGCAGTATTTATACCCAACGTCCCTTCCTTCTGTCTCCACCAGAACGACATTCAAGGTGTTTTCGGTCGGAAGTCCGCTGCATGCTCCCGTTTTTTCGGCTGGCAGAGAGCCTTTCTTCTTGACGTTGCACGGCTTGCCGTTGACGGTTTTCTGCCCGCAAGCGTCCGGCCAGAAAGGGTATTTCTGAACAGGGGAAGACACGGGGGGTAGACCAACCAAGATGAGGAGTGGTTCTGCTAAAGTGGAAAGAGCATACAGGAATGGAAACGAGTGGAAACACCATGCATGTATGGAAAAGCGCTATGCTTTCTTTCCTACATTGCGCTCCTGACTCCCTCCCTCACAGTACCTGAGAGACCACAAAGCTGACTTAGGTCTCACACTCTCAGGTGCTCCTTGGGTGTCAGATCCTCCTCCAGTGTTTCGTAGGTGCTAGGTGCTCCTAAGGTGAATCTTCAGGTGCTAGGTGCTCCAAACGTGAATCCTAAGGTGCTCCTCAGGTGCTCCTCAGGTGCTCTTCTCCCTCACCTTTTGGAACACGGGGGTATCGTAGTACTGCTTCCTCATGAGATCCCAGTACGTGCCTTCAAGTGCTGTTTCAAGTACTTGTATACAAGTCAAACAAAACGCTCCAAGTGCTGTTCATGCGCATCTCACCTCTTGAAACACGGGCGTGTCGTAGTACTGTTTCCGCATGAGCTCCCAGTACGTGCCGGGGTTGATGTCACAATTGAGCACCAGAGGAGTCAGACACGTGCTCCACCCCGGAGTCCCGGGCACCTTCTTTATAATCACATCCTCTACCCTGTTCCTGAAGATTAAAACGGAGGGTGGAGGGAGTGGGAGGGGGGAGTGGTTAGAGATTTTACATGTGGATATCTGCTCTGTGCTGTCCTGAACCAATAAAGAATCATGGAGAGAGAGCGAGGGCAGAGGAAAGGCTGGAGGAAGGGAAAGGGAGGGGAAAGGGAGAAGACTGAAAAAGGACGGAGAGAGGTGTGAGGTGAGGATGAGTAATATTTTCAGTGAGAAGAGCAGCAGACATACCATTTCCCATTGTTGACTTTGATGCCATCGTATGTGTTTATGCAGGCACCTCCCTTGATCGCCACTCCAGATGTCACGAAATCGAGGTAGTAGCAATGGTCCCCATTGAACACGTAATTGCACTCCGCTGTGTTGTCTGTTTAGACAGGCGGAGAGGAAAGAGCAGGAGGTAAGGGGAGGGGTGGCGGGAAAAGCGTGTCACGAAACCAAGGCACTAGCAGTGGTCCCCGTTAAACACGTACCCTAATTGCATTCCACCGTGGTAAGGGCTGGTTGCACTCTGGTTGCACTCTGGTTGCACTCTGGTTGCCCTGTGTTGGCACATACTTTACCAGAGCTGAAGCAGCCCTCACCAGGGTTGAGCCAACCCTCACCGGACCCAACTCAAGACTCACCAGGGCTGAACCAGTGCACGCAGTAGTAGATCCCAGCCGCATCCTGGTCGCCTAATCTGTTCCTTCCTGAAGCAACAACCTGGTTGCCAAGTCAGCACATACTTTACGAGAGCTGAACTAACCCTCACCAGGGCTGAACCAGTGCACGCAGTAGTAGATCCCAGCAGCATCCTGGTCTCCTGATCTGTTTCTTCTGGAAGCCACCACTAGGTTGCGGTCGATCTGCGTGAGCATGCAGTCTCTACTGGTTGCTACAAACCTTACCAGGGCTGAAACAGCCCAAACTAGAGTGAAACCAAAACTCACCTGGGCTGAACCAAAACTCACCAAGACAGAACCAAGACTCACCAGGGCTGAACCAGTGCACGCAGTAGTAGATGCCTGCAGCGTCCTGATCCCCAGATCTGTTCCTCCCTGCAGCCACCACGAGGTTGCGGTCGATCTGCGTGAGCATGCAGTCGCCCGCATAGTCACTGGCATTGTCGCACATGCTTTACCAGGGCTGAACCAGGACTCTCATCAGGGCCGAACCAGGACTCTCCAAGATTGAACAAAACTCACCAGGGCTGAACCAGTGCACGCAGTAGTAGATGCCTGCAGCGTCCTGATCCCCGGATCTGTTCCTCCCTGAAGCCACAACGAGGTTGCGGTCGATCTGTGTGAGCATGCAGTCGCCCGCATAATGCGCGTCGGAGCCGCAGCGGATCCCGGCAAACAAGAAGTCGTGCACGTAGTTGTTTCTCACTATGACGCCGACAGATCCCCTGTGGACGACAATGGGCGTGTTGACGCCTGGAGGGGAGGAGGGAGGGGGAAGGAGGTGAGAGGAGAGGAGACGGGAGGACGGGATCCGGGCAAATTAGAAGTCGTGCACGTAGTTGTTTCTCACTATCACGCCCACGCTGCCACGGTGAACGACGACTGGGGTGTTGACACCGGGAAATGGGTGAGTGGGGAGAGGAGGATGGGATGGTATGCCGGCGAATAAGAAGTCGTGCACATAGTTGTTTCTCACGATGACGCCCACGGATCCCCTGTGGACGACTGTAGGGGTGTTCACGCCTGGTGGGTTGGAAGGAGGGGGAGCAGGGGAGTAGAGAGCGGATATGAAGTTGTGCACGTAGTTGTGGATTACTACGATGGTGTTTCATACGATGGTGCTGATAGTTCCCCGGTGGATTACTATAGGAGTGTTGACGCCTGAAGGGGGAAGGGGAGAGGAGGGGAGGAGGGGGAAGGGGTGACGATGTTGCTGATAGTTCCCCGGTGGATCACTATAGGAGTGTTAACGCCTGGAGAGAGAGAGAGAGAGAGAGAGAGAGAGAGAGAGAGAGAGAGAGAGAGAGAGAGAGAGAGAGAGAGAGAGAGAGAGAGAGAGAGAGAGAGAGAGAGAGAGAGCCGAAGCAGTTTGGAGTAGCCGTGCCGGGAGGAGCCGAAGCAGTGATTCACATAGTTAGAACCTTTACCTCGGCAAACCAGGAAGCGCTAGTCTTGCAGGCAGATCTAGCTAACGCTTTCAACAGCGTTGACCGCCTCGCCATAGTGACAGCCCTAAAAGGCTCGCAGCTGGAATCGCTACTGCCCTTGGTGAATTTCTCCTACGGTCAACCGTCCACGCTGCACCTGGACGCAGCGTTCAGCCACGCACCTTTGCTCAGCGAGACTGGAGTCCGCCAAGGGGACCCCCTCGGCCCCCTCCTTTTCGCCGCTGCCATGCATCCAGCTCTGAAGGCCGTCGCGGAGGCACATCCGGATGTCATCTGCCTGGCCTACGCAGATGACGTGACCTTTCTGGGGGACCCGTCGTCGTGTGCGGCCGCCTTTGATCACTTCTCAGGCCTCCTTGCGGAAATCGGGCTGAAGCACAACCCCGCCAAGTGCGGAGCTTGGTCCAATGGGTCTCCCGCGGACTACTCCCTGCCCGAGGGAGTTCCCTTCAGCAGCGACGGGCTGAAAGTGCTGGGCAGTTACATCGGCACCCCAAGGGCTACCTCCGCGTTCGTGCGCTCCAGCCTGGAGGCAATGGGCGCGCCGCTGGGATTGATCGAGCGGATGGAGCCGCAGCTGGCGGGACTGCTGCTGTCTCGGTGCGTCTCGCGCCGTGTATCCTATTTGGCCCGCACGACTCCCCTTCCGTCCCTGCCCAAGGAGGAGTGGTCCGAATGGGGGAGGCGGATGCTGGACACTTTGCTCACGGCGTGTGGCATCATCCACCCGCGGGGGACCGAGGAAACTACACGCACTTGGGCGCAGGCCTCGCTCCCTGTATCGCTCGGTGGCCTTGGGCTGACGGACCCGTCCGTGGAGGGAAGCTACAGCTTCCTCGCCAGCTATACGCAGGCTCATCTCCTCCTTGACTCCCTCGAGGGCGACTGCAGCGGCCCTCTGGAGATCGTCCGCGAGCTGATGCGCGGCCCCTACACTCAGTCCTCCCCTTTGACCGAGTGGTTGGCGGAATGCGAGGGGGAGCTTCCACTGCCGGCCCAGGAAGCGTTGCAAGCGGAGAGAACTGCCCCAACCGCAGGAAAGCTGCAGCACGGGTTAGCCACGGCTATCCAGGGCCAGCGCTACGCAGTCCAAGTGGAGGAGGTGCGGGGGATGAGCCCGAACCCAAACAATGGTCACACGCAGCGGCTGTTGTCCCTGTCGGGGTACGGGGCGGGGGATTGGTTAAACGCGGTGCCTCTGCACCGTGCGCTACACCTCGAGGCTCCGCACTTCGCAAATGCGCTCCAGTTTCGGCTGGGGCTCCCCTTTGCAGCTCCCGGGGTCTGCAACTGCTCAAAGAAGGTGGAAATCCCAGACAAGCGGCTCCCAAACCACCTGCTGCGATGTGGGACAGGGGGGGGGCGCACAAACACACACAATGAACTCAGAGATGAGTGCGCGCGAATGGCGCGCGACGCTGGCTTCATGGTGCACATTGAAACGGCCGCTTTCAGCCCAGTGGAGGAGAAAAAGGCGGACCTGGCCCTCCGCTGCCGCTCAACAGGAGCCGTCTACATCTGTGATGTGACGGTGACGGACCCCATCAGCACCCGCGACGAGAATGCAACTAAGGGGCGGGGGTGGGCGGCACGGGAAGCAGCAGATAAGAAGCACGGCCTCTACAGGGACCGCCCAGAGTGGGTGAAGTTTTTCCCCCTCGCGGTCGAGACTTATGGGTGCCCATGCCCTGAGACAGTGGATTTCTTGAAGCTACTCGCGGAGACGGCTGCAAGGCGGTTTTTTGACGCCGAGCCAACCTCTTACCAAGCTGCCAAGCTCTTACACCATTTCCGGCAGCGGTGGTCGGTGGCTCTTCAAAGGGGGCAGTCTATTGGTTATTTAGAGAAGTGCAGCATAGCGGCTGCAGTAGAAAACCCACTGCTAGAGGCAGTGGGTGAGGCTCCGTCCCTAGGGGACTGCCTCTCGGTCCTTGATCCTACACTGGACCTGGCTTAGAGGGGGGGGGGGGGGGGGGGGGGGTGAGTGATAAGGGAGTAGTAAGAGGCTATATGCACCAGACTCACAATAGCTACCACCTTGCATGCTTGTAAGTCCTATGTTAATCAATGAAAGGGCCGTTCGAGAGAGAGAGAGAGAGAGGGGATGCACGTGGAGACCTGACCCATGAGGGGAGGACATGTGTCATGGTGTCTTGGAAACCTCGAGAGCCAAGGAAAGCCGAGTGGAGGGAAAACCACGCACAGAACAGACACAATGAGATAACTATGCACACATCACATGCTTGAAAGCCGAGTGGACGGAAAAAGAGCGTGCAAAGTGTTTACTCACCAAAAACTTCATTGTTTGTTATAGCGATGAAGGATTTCGCGAGTGTAGGCCCGTGTCCACTGTAGGTCACTTGAATCACACCAGGCGACTGATCGAAGGTCGGAATCCCCGTTACACGCATGGAGTCGACTCGCGATGACGACGAGCGGTGCAGATCAATTCTCCCGAACACATTCCCCTTCGCGATTTGAATTCCATACGATCGGATAACGGAAATCGTCGGGCACTGCGCCTTAGAATATATTTCCAGTACAATGGTGCATGATGGGGACGACGAGCGAACGCTTAGCTTGAAATCGACCTTCAATACAAGCACGTTGCTCGTGTTCCATATACGCAGCACCGGCTCGTTCGCTCCCATGTGCGTGATTTGAAACGGGGTCGCGGCGGTCTTCGCGGATCGCAGAATCGTGCACGAGAAAGTGCCGTCAAACAGGATCCCCTTGCTTATAACGAGGTTCCTCTGTAGTTCGAGGATGACCGTTGTAACCGGTGTAAAACTCAATCGTTTGCTGAAATCCGCGAGAGAAGATATGTTGATGACGGGCGCTTTTGCGTAGTCGGAGCACGGACCATCCAGCCACGAATCAGCTGGCGGAATGCAAGAAAGGGAGCAACAATGGGACGGAGAATAAGATTAGGTACCGAACCGAGCACAGAAAGAAACAGGTCAAGCCTGGCCAAGGTAGCCCCGAAGAGACTCACCCATCTGCCGGCGCTGCCCCATCGGCCTCTCCTCGCGCGCCACGTGTCCCCTCCATTTCCTCCACCCACGGCTCATCCCAACAGCAGCAGCTTCGGCACGGACCGACCCCACTCCCTCCACATCCGACGTCGCAGCGCGTTCGCTCTCAGTTGACTCTCCAGTTGACTCTCCAGTTGACTCTCCCGTTGACTCCCCCCTCGTCGTTTTCGAATCGCGCCGAGTCTCCCACGTTGTACGAGCCGAGACTTGAGAGTCTTGAGACGGTTCATAGGAATCCCACCTCGCATTCCCCGAGTCTTGAGACGCCTCAGAAGACCCCTCCCGCGTCTCGTTGCCCGCGGCGAACAGAGAAGCGGACGGCGACGATTTCGCCGTTAGGTCAGACGATTGCCATTGGTCGAGGAGGCGCCACACAAGCCCGCGGTAATTGAGCACGGCTGAGGAGAAAGCCGTGGGGGGAGGAAGCGAGGAGGAGACGGGGGGGAGGAAGCGAGGAGGAGACGGGGGGGGAGGAAGCGAGGAGGAGACGGGGGGGAGGAAGCGAGGAGGAGACGGGGGGGGAGGAAGCGAGGAGGAGACGGGGGGGGAGGAAGCGAGGAGGAGACGGGGGGGGAGGAAGCGAGGAGGAGACGGGGGGGGAGGAAGCGAGGAGGAGACGGGGGGGGAGGAAGCGAGGAGGAGACGGGGGGGGAGGAAGCGAGGAGGAGACGGGGGGGGAGGAAGCGAGGAGGAGACGGGGGGGGAGGAAGCGAGGAGGAGACGGGGTAGCGAGAGAGAGGAGGCGGGGGCGAGGAGGCGGGGGAGAGGAGGCAGGGGGGAGGAGGCGGGGGAGAGGAGGCGGGGGCGAGGAGGCGGGAACGAGGAGGCGGGGGAGAGGAGGCGGGGGGAAAGGACCGGAAGAAGGTTGGGTGGGAGGAAGCGGGAGAGAAAGAAGGGGAGCAAGGAAGAAAGGCGGGGACTTGCAAACCGTCGAGAGCACACCCTCAAACCGGAAGGAGGAGAGCACACCCGCTAAGAGCACACCCGCTAAGGCGTCTCTATTGCATCGACATACCTGAAGGCGTGAAGGCGAGCACGCTGGGAGAGAGAGCGAGCGCGACGGAAAGACAGAGGAGCAGCGAGAGAGGAACCCTATTATGCGGATGCGCGCCGCGTGCCGCCGCCATCATGGTGAGATACAGCCGGCGATAGAGAGTGGAGCAATCTGGATAACGAAGATTACGCAGCGGTATTGCAAAAGCGCAGGCGCGGGCTGGAAGCCGCAGGCGAGAGCGACACCGTGTCGCGTGATTGGTGAACGACTCTGTCGTGTAACAGCCGTAGATAGCGCAGCTTCGTGGGGAAATTAGCAGTTCCAGAGGTGGTGGTTAGAAGCGAAAGTCTACTTTGAGACACCTCAAGGATCGTATCCGATGGCAGTCGTCGGACGCGTTGGTGTTCGTAAACGATGGCGCGCGTAGAGACTCTAGGGTCTGGGACTCTACTTGTAGGTTGCGGAGCGTACGTTCGATCTGGAGGGTCTGCTGCGGAGCTGCGTATTCTCGCAGGTCGCGAAGGTTTGTCAATGCGCGCTGGTCGGCTGCTGCGGTGGGAAAGAACCCGAGCCGCCATCTTAGGTCTGTGATTGGATGGAGGGAAATGCGGTCAGGTGATAGACGGTAGAACCTCAGGTGGCCGTTAGGTTGTTTCGATTCCGTCTGCAGGTTATAGGTGGTACTAACTTATCCGTGCGCACTAAAAGCGTGGTTCGCGCTTATGTGGAGTGCAATGTACGGCATGTCAGAGGGTGAGGGCGGGGAGAGGGAGGATAAGGAATGGTGTTCCCCTCCCCACCCCACCTGTCCCAGATAACAGCTGGCTGGAGATGCAGAGAGAAGTGCGTCAATGGCGCCATTATCTGTTGACCACACCACACGAAACCTGGCCTTTGGTTTGGAGCTCAGCGTGCAACATCTGCTCCTTTTTGAAATTTAACCATACTGAATTGTACTGAAACGTTCTGCGATGCACAGAACCATGCATAACTCATTCCGAAATCATTCGAATGTTTGGCAACAGGTAGCACAATGCATCCTTTGTGCGGGATGTGCTGCAGACTGTATGGCAACTCCATCACCACGTTGCGAAACGTGATGTGGTGCGAGCGACACCGACGAGTCACGAGAAATTGATGAGGAATTCGCTAGACCTCGTAGGCGATGTTGTATCTCCAGGGGAATTGCATATTTTGCGACACCAAGCCTCTGTTACCGTTTACATTTTCTTTCGCCCAACCAGAAGGATGTCTAAAAGACAATTCTGGTCGACTTCACACCCTCTTTAGTGTCGTCGGTGCCTTCGGGATTCCAGGAATAGTGTTAGGCCGGAACACTGGCAGCTAATAACGAGTATTCTACCATCGTTAGTGTCACAACAGTTTTGCAGCACAGGGAAATTAGGGCGCGGCGCCCTGCCACGGAACGAACGAACGGCGGAACGGCTCAGATGCACCTGATCTCCAGTCGTTGTTTGCTTCTTCTGCCGTTCGTTCTCACACTACGCCGTGGCATTCTTTCGTAACTCCGTATTAGCTTTCTCGCTCGTTTCCGAACCCCTCCGCAAATTGCGGTCTTGCAACGAGCAACAGATGGATCGCTTGGTTTTGGCGACAAAGTAAAGACGGCGAATTCTCTGCTTGTTCCGGCAAACAGATTGAAGTTGTTTTGTCCAGATCTTTCAACGCCGCGCCCCTCCAATAGACAGGTGCGACCCGCAGCAGATTCGGCCTCCGCCATTCCGAGACTGACGCAGCATGTGTCGTTTCTATGCGCATGTTGCTTTTTCCTGCTGTGTTCCTTTTCACGTCCCCACCCTCTTTTGCTTCTTTCTGGTTTTTGTCTCCATTCTTCTTACAAGATAATATTTTCTGTTTTGTTTTTTAGGCTCGCCCCCGCCCACTGCTTCCTTCGCCAACTTACTGTTCAAGCCTTCGCCCCCAACTCCCTCCCTACCCCTTCGCCCCCAAACCCCCTCCCCAGCCTTCGCCCGCACCCCACTTTCCGCCCTTCCCCCTCACCTCCCTCACTGCCCTTCGCCCCCACCCCGCGTCCCCTCCTTCGCCCCCACCGCCCTTTCCGCCCTTCGTCCCCAACTCCCCCTCGCCCTTCGCGCCTTTCCTCTCACATGGTCACCCGGACAACACTCTCTCCTTCCTGGCCTCGCATTCCCCAATCCACTCTCACCTTCTGTTTCCCTAACCTCTGTTTCTCTCACCTTCTGTTTCTCTAACCTTCTGTTTCTCTCACAATCTGTTTCTCTCACCTTTTGTTGCTCCCACCTTCTGTTGCTCCCACCTTCTGTTTCTCCCACCCTCTGTTGCTCCCACCCTCTGTTGCTCCCACCTCTGTTGCTCCCACCCTCTGTTGCTCCCACCTCTGTTGCTCCCACCTTCTGTTTTTCTCACCCTCTGGGCCTCTGTTGCTCTCACCCTCTGTTTCGCTCACCCCCTGTTTCCCTCACCCTATGTGTCGTTCACCCCCTGTCTCGCTCACCCCCTGTTTCACTCACCCTATGTTTCGTTCATGCCCTGTATATCTCACCCCCTGTTTCACTCACCCTATGTTTCGTTCATGCCCTGTATATCTCACCCCCTCTTTCACTCACCCTTTGTTGCTCTCACCCCCTGTCTCGCTCATCCTATGTTTCTCTCACCCTCTGTTGCTCTCACCCCCTGCTGACCTCACCCTCTGTTTCTCTCATCCTCTGTTTCTCTCACCCTCTGTTTCTCTCACCCTCTGTTTCTCTCACCCTATGTTGTTCTCACCCTCTGCTGCTGTCACCCTATGCTTCTCTCCCCAATCCTGTTCTCTCCCTCTGCTTCTCCCCCCACTGCTGTTCTCACCCTCTGCTTGTTCCCCCACTGCTGTTCTCACCTTCTGAAGCTCAATTGATTTCTAACCATCATACACCGTCACCGTTCTTGTGTCTGCAGGTGTAATCTGGGTCCTCTTTCTTGTGTTCATTCACATGTCGCATCAGCCAGTCAGCTGGGATGAGATCAGGGCAGTCATAAATTACCAGCCTGCCCGCAGTGCCCGATACATAGCAGGCTTTGCTGCGGCTCTGGCAGTGATGGCTGCTGGCCGTGCTGTGTTGCTGGAAGCAACGCCTGGCATAGCTGCAAAGGTGCAGGCGAGGAATAGAGCGATAATGGAGGATGTTAACTTTCGACTTGGTAAAAGGACGAACTGGTGTGTATGTTTATTCAGTATGCTATTCAGGGCTACTGTTGGTGTGATGTAGACAAGCAGGCAAATTTGCTCACTCAGCCATTGTTTTACTCATTGTTCCATCACAACTCAACCTGATTTGACAACGTTATTTGTTCCATCTCAATCTTGTGATTAATTTGGTTGGCGTTTGCCACTCGAATCTCATTTCAGCATTACTTTGTGGTGCCTCCGAAAAGGCACTCCAAAAATTATTGTATGCCGCTTGATGAGAAACACACACGGTATTCTTTAGTAAAAGGCGAAAGAATAGTTCGCTATGTGTGTGACTCACGGCTGATATCGAACCATGGGCAGCTCGATCTGGGTACTGCTGTCAAAAACCGTGTGGTAGAGACTGCTTTGTGGGAACGAATTGATCACGTGGCGTTTCGTGTTTTTGTTCGGTTCAACACGCTCACAAGCCATGCCCAACTCATAAGCATAAACAACTACGGTCTAGTTTAGTTTCGCGCTAAGCGTCGAAGTGCGATACGCGCTCACCGTCGGCACGCGACGATCTGCGATATCAAACGTGCGACCGACCCGCATTCTTGTTTCCTTCCTCACGAAATCTCCTTCCAGAGGGCGGTCGATTTCACATTAGAGAGTCGCCTCGCCAAGCGTTTGGCGACGATGCTTGGCCTATCGAATGGCGAGATTGGACTTCTCGAGGTGACTTTTGAGTGGCTCAAAAGTCACCTCGGTTGGCGACGATGCTTGGCCTATCGAATGGCGAGATCGGACTTCTCGTCTTTCTGGGAATCGTCGCATGTGGTAACTCGTTCCACTCCCATCCCATCCCTTCTCCGTACTCCGTCTCCCATCCCTTTATCCGGAAAACAATCGGGGAAAAGTTATCCGTGCTCCGTCCCTTCCCATCCCTCGCACGTATTTTCCCTCCACTCTCCTCCCTTCCTTCGCTGCTCCCTTGCTCCTGTGCTTAGAGGATCGCTCCCTTACTCCTCTCGCCGCTTTTTGAGAGAACATTGAATGCCGCCCCTTCCCTGTCTTGTGCCTCAGGTTAGACGATCAGCTCCCTCACTCCTCTCCCAGCTTCTGAGAGAGCATCGAATGCCGCCCCTTCCCTTTCTTGTGCTTTATTCCCAGGTTAGACGGTCCCCAATCCCTCACTCTCTAACTTCCTCACTCCTGTCCCCTCGACTAGCTGTCTGTAACATCACATTCAATCCACCCATTCTTGAGGCGCCTCAAAAATAACATCACATTCAATCCACCCATTCTGTACTCTGCATTTGCTTCTGTTTCCCCAACAAGGCTGTATCCTCACACTTCCCCTCCTTTTGAGGCGTCTCGGTTCGATAATATCGTTCCATTTTCCCTTTTCTTCATTTTCCTTTTCTGGGTCTTCTGTTTCTCGCGTTGCTGCCCGGTCAGGCCCCAAGGATGTCTTCGTGATAGCTCGGGCAGCTGGACGCCTCACGGGACGGGCCATGGGATTCCTTCATGCTGCCCAAACAACATTCGGTTCGTTCGCGGACCAGACGCAAACTATCTGAGGTACGCTGCTGCAATATTATTACCCAGAAGCTCACTAATTACGGAACTGTCCAAGGTGTGGCGTTTCCGTCCTGTTTCTTTCTGCTGCAAGTGCAGCAGGCAGTTTCTTTTTAGTCAACTCAGAAGTGTGATGTCCTTTTCTCCAGCAGAAGCCCCAACAGAAGCCACAGCAGAAGCCCCAACAGAAGCCCCAGCAGAAGTGTACACTTTGACCCTTGAGTCGACTCAAATGCCTCGTAGTCGACTCAGAAGTGTGATGTCCCGTCCTTTTCTCCAGCAGAAGCCCCAGCAGAAGCCCCAGCAGGAGTGTACAATTTGACCCAGGTGATCACGAAGCTCTTGTGTACTGACGGTAACACATCTGTGCCAAATTGTCTTCCTTTCCCTTTTGTTTCCCTGGCTGTTGGGCTGCAGTTACAGCAGGAGCTACAGCGGGCGACTGTACAGCTGGCATGCGACACTGATTGTAACGCGCTTGTTTGTGCCCTTCCAAACTGCCCTCCCCCATTTCCATTTCCCCCCCCTGTCGAGCTGCAGTGCCATGCTGACTGAAACGTGTGTGCGCCCCTGCTCCCCTCCCTTCTCCTTCTTCCCTTTTCCCACTGAAACTTGTTCGGGCTTTGTTATTGGACTTGCAGCAGGAGATGCAGCAGGCAACGGCCAACGTGCAATGGTACAGTGACTGAAATGTGTTTTTCCCCCTCCCTCTCTCCTCTCTTTTCCTGTTTGCATTTCTTTTCCCGGCTGCCTGATAACAGTTGCAGCAGGAGGTGCAGCAGGCGATGGCACAGCTGTAGGCCATCCGGCATCAGCTGAACTCGGGAGTCAGCCTGCTGCTTATGCCACCTGCTCCCCATGCTCCCCATACAACCCATGCTGCAAATGCAACCCATGCTGCACATGCCACCTGCTCCATGTGCACCCCATGCTGCACATGCTGCACATGCCACCTGCTCCCCATGCTCCCCATGCACCACATGCTGCCCATGCACCCCACGCATCACTTGCCCCCCATGCACCCCATGCCACACATGCTGCCCACGCACCCTTTGCTGTACATACATAACAAGCGCCCCATGCGCCACATGCACCCCATGCATCACACACGCCTAATTTTTCCCACATGTCATCCATCCATACCATACTTTTCCCCCTGCACGTAACTCTCACCCACGCCGCACTTCACAACTACCAGTGCCATGTCAGATGCCCTCCACACTACACCACTTGCATGCACCCATGGACTTCCCACCCGTAGACTATTCCAGACACAAGTCTCCCGCTGTAGCGGCTGCTGTAGCTGAATCCGCTGCAGCAGCTGCAGGGGCAGCAGGAGCAGCAGGCGAAGCAGGGGCAGGAGCAGCGGCAGCAGTAGTAGGAGTGGCAAGCGCACCAGGAGCAGGGTCACCGGGTGGCAATGATTTGCCTCCATGGGTGCTGCCCGTCTCTGCTGCTGCAGCTGGTTTGCTCCCTCTAAAGAAAGGTAAGCGGCCTGGACAGTGTAGAATTTCGAGCTTCAGAAGTTTGTCTTCCTTGGTTATTTGCTCTTTTAGTACACAACATAAACCTGGTCTGGTGCAATTCTGCTGTGTCAACAGCAATGCAATAATCGTCTAACATGAACAAAGGAAGAACAAATCTCAATCGCAGTTGACATCAGCAGCCTTTGAGCAGTACATGACTTCAAATGCGTACATTATGGTCTGTACTCCCATTTGCCTTCGAATACCACATTATGCACATCAATTTAGAGGTTATTTTCTGCTAGACCCGTTTTCATTCAATCCTGCAGTGATCATATGGCAGGGGTCTCACTCATCAGCACCCTCCATTTCTGCTCATCACTCATCCCCACCTTGGAAGGCTACAAATGGGGCATACCGTCGTTAGATTGGAAGTACTGTCTTGAACCAAAAATGAGCACGACCCGACACATGCCACAACACAACATTTCACATCACCAGGCGATTCCCATGAGGTCAACCTAGAAATTTGTATAGACTTGTTTCTTTTTCCGCAGACTGCTCAGCTTTACAATACACAGCTTTACAATACACAGCTTCACAATACAATATCCGTGTGACATTGTAGTATTTTCTCATCTACACCACCTGAGGCTCTACTCTCAAAATCCCAGCCACTAACCACTGGGATAAAAGGGCTTGTTAAGTAGCGGGTCAGTGCGCACATAACCCCCCAGGACAACGAGCCTGTAACCTTTCCCTAGGATCAATCGGGGATCACCAGTGGATCTCTGACATCTACTTCACACTCTGTATCAGGACAATCTTTCTTGTCTACTTCCCTTTCTTTTTCGGCAGCTTACTCAGCTTCACAATATCAGTGTCATGCACGTGCTTGATGCTCATCCCCACCACCACTTTATGCACCTCCGGCTCTGGTCGGTTGAAATTCAGAAAATAAAATGCGTCGTCAATCCGTCGTGGCCCCACGTCTTTTCTCGGACAGCTCTTGAAATCTTTTATGCTGCTGTACAGCGACGATCCTGCATTCACCCCCAGATCGTCGTTCGCGTAATCCAAAAACCTTGCAGCTGGTAGATTTGTGATATTTACCTGTCGCTGGTCGTTCAGTGGTCCCTCCTCCACAGCTGGTAAAACCTCGCAGTACTTGTACCCAACGTCCCTTCCTTCTGTGTCAACCAAGACGACGTTTAGGGTGTTTTCTGTAGGAAGGCCGCTGCATGCTCCGGTTTTTTCAGCTGGCAGAGTGCCTCTTCTCTTGACGTTGCACGGCTTGCCGTTGACGGTTTTTTGTCCGCAAACGTTCGGCCAGAAAGGGTATTTCTGGAAAGGGGGAGACATATGGGGGTAGGTCAACAACGACAAAGGGAAGGTTTGGGTGTGCAAGGGGAAGGAAACATATTATTATGCACAAGGGGGATGCGTTTTCTCACATAACGCTCCTCACATAAAAAGTTACTTCGCAAAAAGACCCTGCCAATATTTGGAATGCTTAATGCACAGTTGATACTGGCAATATCTTTCTCTATCCTCACTCTCACAATCCTACCCTCACTCTCACTCCTACCCTCACTCTCACTCCTCCGGTGCTTCTTGGATAGATTTTCAGGTGCTAATTCAGGCGCTCTCTTACCTCTTTGAACACCGGTGTATCGTAGTACTGTTTCATCTTGAGCTCCCAGAACGTGCCTCGATGCTACAGTAGCGGTCAATGATCCTTACCTACCGCTCCTCACCTCTTTGAACACCGACATATCGTAGTACTGTTTTCTCATCAGCTCCCAGTACGTGCCTCAATGTGACCCAGGCTATTGATCATTATTACCTCTTTAAACACCGGCGTGTCGTAGTATTGTTTCCTCATGAGCTCCCAGTACGTGCCGGGGTTCTTGTCACAGTTGAGCACCAGAGGAGTCAGACACGCACTCCACCCCGGGGACCCCGGAACCTTCTTTATAATCACATCCTCTGCCCTGTTCCTGAAGGTTTGAACGGAGGGGTGGGGGAAAAAATGGAACAAGTAAGACCCCTTGGAGGTGGCCAAAAAATACAAAGAGGAGAGAAATAGGAGGAGGAGGAGGATAGGGTGGAGATGGGGAAGGGGGGTTGGGGGAAGGGGCGGGGAGGGCACAGGAGAGGGAGAGAGGTAAGGAGAACGAGTACGTTGAAAAGGAAAAGCAGCATGCATACCATTTTCCGTTGTTGACTTTGATGCCATCGTATGTGTTTATGCAGGCACCTCCCTTGATCGCCACTCCGGATGTCACGAAATCGAGGTAGTAGCAATGGTCCCCATTGAACACGTAGTTGCACTCCGCTGTGTTGTCTGTTTACAAGGGTGGAGGGGAAAAAGCAGAGGGGAATGGGAAGGGGAAGGGGAAGGGGAAGGGGAAGGGGAGGAGGGAATAGGGTGTTACGAAATCGAGGTAGTAGCAATGGTCCACGTTGAACATGATTGCACTCCGCTGTGTTGTCTGCAAAGGGGTAGGTTAAGGCAGGGGGAAAAGCAGGGAGCTCCAAGCTCGTTAGAGAAACACCTCAGGCACCAAGGTTGTAGCAATGGTCCTCAGTGACACATAATTGCACTCCGCCGTGTTGTCTGCAGCAGGGGGGTAGGAGAGGGCAGGGCGGATTGCAGGGCGTTTATAAGGAGGTAGTAGAGGGCAGGGGAGAGGGCAGGGCGGTTCTTTCCGGAGGCCACCATGAGGTTGCGGGTCGATCTGCGTGAGCGTGCAGTTTTGAGGCGCCTCAAAACTAGACCATGAGGTTGCGGTCGATCTGCGAGAGCATGCAGTCTTTGCCTGTCACCTCAATCGCCTTACCAGACCAGGGCTCACCGGGGCCGAACCAAGCTTCACCTGAGCCGAACCAAAACTCACCAGGGCTGAACCAGTGGCTGAGCCGAACCAAAACACACAGTAGTAGATCCCAGCAGCATCCTGATCCCCACACCGGTTTCTCCCAGAGGCCAAGACCAGGTTGCGGTCAATCTGACTGAGCATGCAGTCTTCATTGGGTCGGTACACGCTGTACCGGCACTGAACCAGATTTCACGACTCACCAGGGCTGAACCAGTGGACGCAGTAGTAAATCCCCGCTGCATCCTGGTCTCCTGATCTGTTTCTCCCGGATGCCACAACGAGGTTGCGGTCGATCTGCGTGAGCATGCAGTCGCCCGCGAAATGCACGTCGGATCCGCAGCGGATACCCGCGAATATGAAGTCGTGCACGTAGTTGTTTCTCACGATGACGCCCACGCTGCCACGGTGGACCACTATAGGAGTGTTCACGCCTGAAACGGAGTGGAGGGGGACGAGGGGAGAGCAAGAGAGAGGAGAGGTGAGGATGGGATACCCTTAAATATGAAGTCGTGCACATAGTTGTTGCACACGATGGCGCCGACAGTGCCACAAGGAGAAGATTTTGCAGCTGTTGGGATCACAGAGGCAAAGCATCACATGCAAATGTTTGAAGGCCTAACGGAGCAAAACAGGAAGTGTGAAGTTTTACTCACCATACACTTCATTGTTTGTTATAGCAATGAAGGATTTCGCGAGTGTAGGCCCGTGGCCACTGTAGGTCACTTGAATCACGCCAGGCGACTGATTGAAGGTCGGAATCCCCGTTACACGCATGGAGTCCACGCGAGACGACGCCGAGCGGTGTAGATCAATTCTCCCGAAAACACTCCCCTTCGCAATTTGAATTCCGTACGAACGGATAACGGAAATCGTCGGGCACTGCGCCTTGCCCGTAATTTCGGGAACAGTCGTGCAGGTTGGGGAGGAGGAGCGAACGCTGAGCCTAAAATCGACCTTCAATACAAGCACGTTGCTCGTGTTCCATATACGCAGCACCGGCTCGTTCGCTCCCATGTGCGTGATTTGAAACGGGTTCGCGGCGGACTTCGCGGATCGCAGAATCGTGCAGGAGAACTTGCTGTCGAAGAGGATCCCCTTGCTAATAACGAGGTTTCTCTGTAGCTCGAGGATGACAGTTGTAACGGGACCGTAGTCCAGTCGCTTGTTAAAATCCGCGAGAGAAGATATATTGATGACGGGCGCTTTTACGTAGTCGGAGCAGGGACCATCCAGCCACGAATCAGCTGTGGGAATGCAAGAAAGGGAGGAGACACAGCAACGGAGGAACATGAGAAGAACTGGGTATTGAAGATAGGCTTTAGGCACGATATGCAGAAATAATTTCCAGGCTAAAGCGGGTGAGTGAGCAGAGGAAGCTTCCTTCACATACGACAACTCAAATTCTGCAGCACTCACCCATCTGCCTGCGCTGCCCCAACGGCCTCTCCTCGCGCGCCACGTGTCCCCTCCATTTCCTCCACCCATGGCTCATCCCAACAGCAGCGGCTACGGCGCGGCCCGATGCCGCTCCCTCCGCATCCGACGTCGCAGCGTGTTCGCCGCCGGTCGACTCCCCCATCGTCGTTTCCGAAACGTCTCGCGTCGCCCACGTTGTACGAGCCGCATCTTGAGACGGTTCATAGGAATCCCACGTCGCATTCGCGGAATCTTGAGACGTCTCGGAAGTCTCCCCCCACGTCTCATTCCCCGAAGCGAACAGAGAAGCGGGAGATGACGATATCGCCGTTAGGTCAGGCGATTGCTGACGTGGACGCGCCGAGGACGGCCATTGGTCCAGGAGGCGCCAGACAAGCCCGCGATAATTGAGTACATCTGTGGAGAGAAGAGGTCAGGGGAAGGAGGCCGTGGAGAGGAGGCGCGGAAGAGGAGGCGGGGAGAAAAGGGGAGAGGAGGCGGGGGAGAATTGAGCGGAAGAAGGTGGGGGGGGGGGAGAGGAGGCGGGGGGCGGGAGAATGAGAGGAAGTAGTAGCAAAGGTGAGAAGGAAGACCCACACTAAAAACAAAACACGAGAATGAGAGAGGAGCGAAAGTTAACTCATCAGAGCAGTGACTCGTGAAAGCATGAAGTACCGTATGGATGTGAGAGTGGAAGCACATCAAACGTCTGAATGCACACTGACAAAAAGCTTCGATATAGGGCGTGTGTGACTCATCAGCATACCAGTGGGCGTGAAGGCAAGGGCGCGGGGAAAGAGCGTGAAGGAGACGGAGAGACAGACGAGCAACATAAGAGGAGCCCCGTGCAGCTGTGCGCGGCGCGCCGCGGCCGTCATGGCGAGATAGAGCCGGCGAGATATAAGCGAGAGTAACGCGAGAAGGCAGTTCTTGATGTCTATAGTTTTTTCGCGTGGCAGCCCGAGATAACGCAGCTTTGTGGGGATGTTTCAGTGGTTTTCGCTAGAAGCTATGGCGCGCAAAAGTCTGTCTATTTGAGACACCTAAAAAATGTATCGTCGCACGTGCTGGTGGTCGGAAACGATGGAACGATGGAAACGATGGTCGTCGAACTTCGACTCTTGAAGAGTCTCTACTTGTAGGGTGCGTTCAATCTGGCGGGTCTGGTGCAGAGCTGCGATTTCTAGCAGGTCGCGAAGGTTTGCCAATGAGCAATGGCCAGCAGCCATAGTCAGAAATACCTGGAGCCGCCATTCGAGGTCTGGCTGGAGGCAAATGCGGTCAGGTGAGGCAGGCAGAACCTCAGGTGGCAGTCAGGTGGTTTCTAATGACAAACCTCCCAGAGCTCCGTCGGCGACAGGTTTTACTACAGTAGTAGTCTGCAGAAGCGTGATTCGCGCAAGGTGTGCGTGAGGGGGAGGTGAAGGGAAGGTCTTTCCCACCTGTCCCAGAAAACAACTGGCTGGCTGGAAATGCGTTGGTGGCGTGGTGGCGCATCTGTTCTTGATGACCACACCACAAGCTACCTTGCCTTGGGAATTCGCAAGGTACATCAGCTGGGCTTTGAGATCCCACCGTACGACACCGTACTGCAACGTTCTGCTTTGCGAGGAACCGTGAACCAGCTCATGTTGAACTTCGAATGTTTGGCAACATCCAGGCATGTATTCAACCACAATAAGGCAGCAAAATGCATCCTCCACAGTGGATGATGTGTGGATTTTGGACCAACGTCATCACGTTGCGAAACATGCTGTGGTGGGAGCGAAGTCGACGAGGATTCGCCACTAAGCATTTAACTTCGTTAGATTTCGTAGGCGATGTAGAACTTCTGTCGCCCAACAAACCAGTGGTGGTGAACTTTACGACACTTCTTTGTGCCTTGGAGACTCAGATTGTTGTATGCCGAAGGGACTAACAACTAATAACGAATCTCTGTTCTCGTCTCTCTCCTGCTTTCCCCGTGGTGCAATCTGTTGTGTGCACCGCGAGTACCGCAAATTCTAGCAACAGAAAGCAGTGACAACAGGTTAGACGGTACAATACCCTCAGGTCGATGAGAAGCGTCCTGGCACGGAACGAACGGCCGAACGGCGCACATGCACCTTCTAGCCTCCCGTCCTTGTTTGCTTCTTCAGCCGTTCGTTCTCGCACTACGTAGTAGTGGTGTTTCGTAACTCAGTATAAGCTTTCTTGGTAGTCGCAAATCCGTTATAGCTCGTTCGGAATCCGTTCGCAAATCGCGGTCTCGCAACGAGGGAATTGCTTCGCTTTTGGCGGCTTATTGAAGTCGGCGAATCCTATTCGGAAATCCAGTTTCGGCGCCGATTATTCCGGCGAACGCGAACCCATTAGAAGAAGCTTACCGGACCTTTCATCCGTCCATCCACCATTCGTCGCCTCGCCCCGTCAATTAGGTGTGATCCGCTCCTCGCCCTTAGCCCTCACCCTTCCCCCTCTTCGCCTCCACCCCCCATTTCCGCTCGTTCCCCCCAGCTCCCCCCCGCCCCCACCGCCCTTCCCGCTCTTCCCCCCTCTCTGGCCACACAGGTATCGCTCTCTCCTTCCTGTGCCTCGCGTCTCACCCTCCTACTGCTCCAACGGCTCCCATTCCCCACTCCACAGCTCCCATTCCCCATTCCAGTGCTCCCATTCCCCACTCCACAGCTCCCATTCCCCATTCCAGTGCTCTCGTTCCCCACTCCACTGCTCCCATTCCCCATTCCAGTGCTGTCGTTCCCCACTCCACTGCTCCACACTCCCCATCCCATTGTTCCCCAATCTCCAACTCCCTGCTACCCATTCCCCACCCCCCTGCTCCTTTTTCCCCACCCCTCTGCTCCGCGTTCGCCCCTCCCCATTACACTGCTCCGCATTCTCAAATCCATTGCTCCCATCCCCCAATCTACTGTTCTCATTCCCCATTCCACTGCTCCCATTCCCCACTCTACTGCTCCCATCCCCTATTCCTCTGCTCCGAATTCCCTGGCCTTCCCCTGTTTCGAACCACGCAGGACCGAATTTCATCTCACCCTCTGTTTCTCTCAACCGTTGCTCTCACCCTCTGCTACACTCACTCTGCTTTTCTCACTGCGGTTGCTCTCGACCTCTGCTACACTCACTCTGCTTTTCTCACTGCTGTTGCTCTCACCCTCTGCGACCTGTTGTTGTGTTGGCAGGCCTTATTTGGGACAACGTTGTTTGATCTCCAGATGTCGCATCAGCCAGCCAGTTGGGATGAGATCAGGGCAGTGATGAATTACCGGCCTGCCCGCACTGCCCGGTACATAGCAGGCTTTACTGCTGCTCTGGCAGTGATGGCTGCTGGCCGTGCTGTCCTGCTGGAAGCAACGCCTGGCATAGCTGCAAAGGTGCAGGCCAGGAATAGAGCTATAATGGAGGATGTTAACTTTAGACTAGGTAAAAGAACAAACTGAAGTGTATGTTTAAATCCCCTGTTAACTAGTGCAATCTATGGGCTGCTGCTAACAACCAGACAAAGCTGTCCCCACTGTCCACCTTATTTTCCTACTCTTCAGTCTAGCTTCTATTCCTGTTATTGAGAAACATCCTCAGTTTTCTCCTTTCTGGTTTATATTTCCCATTTCAAATTGAATTGTGGTGCCTCCAAGAAGGCACTCCAAAAATTGATGTATGCAGCTTGATGAGAAACACACACGATCTCTTTAGTAAAAGGCGAAAGAAAAGTTCGCTATGTGTGTGACTCACGGCTGATATCGAAACCTCCTGCTTGTCGATTCGAATACTACTCTCAAAAACCGTTCGCCAAAGACTGCGTCGTGGGAAGGGAGTGACAGCGTGGCGTGTCATGTGTCGAAAGGGTCTCCACCTCCACTCTTCCCGTGAAGGTGCTTCCTACCACTGCGAATTTCAGCTGCCTATTTGCGGTAGGAGAAGGGTATGTCATGTTTTAGAACGATTCGACACGCTACGAGCCAATTTCGTATGGTTCGCTTCAGCTGTTGAGCCTTGGTATTTATCCTTCACCAGCACTCCGTCCGTCAGAACGTCGCGTGTTTATGCTAGATTCAATACACCAGACGATTCGCGCAAAGCGTGGCAAAGCGCGCTACCCGCGTCGGCCCGCGAGTATTTGCGACATCACACCGCAACCCGTTTTTTTCGCAAATTCCCTCTGTGGCCGGTCAATTTCACATTAGAAAGTCGCCTCGTCCAGTGCTTGGAGACGATGCTAGGCCTATCGAATGGCGAAATCGGACTGCTCGTTTTTCTGGGAATCGTCGCCTTTGGTAATCCGTTCCGTCATTTCTCCTTCTCAATGCTCCGTCCCTTCCCATTCCTCCCACGTATCTTCCCTCCACTCTCCCCTCTTCCGTCGCTGCTCCCTTGCTCCTGTGCTCGGAGGTTCGCTGCCTCATTCCGCTCCTGCTCTTATAGGAAACTTAGAATGTCGCTGCTTCCCTCTCGTGTACCTTACTCCCAATGTTAGTATTTATTTCCCTTACTCCTGTCCTCAACCCGACCTGCTGTCCCTAACATTGCACTTCATCCAACCCCTCTATATGCCTTTGCTTCTCTTCCCCCATAAGGCTGTAGCATCCCCCGTTTCCTCTTTCTGAAACGCCATTTCTTGATTTTTCATCCCATTCTGAAACATTTCCCGCTGCACTCAACCTCTTTCATTTCCCTCCTCTCTTTCTTTTCCCCCCAATTTTTTGTTCGCTCATTACTCGCGGTGCTTGCCCGGTCAGGCCCCAAGGACATCCCTGTGATAGCTCGGGCAGCTGGTCGCCTCACTGGACGGGCCATGGGATTCGTTCAAGCTGCCCGAACCAAATTCAGCTCCTTCGCCGACCAGACACAACTGTCGGAGGTACTACCTTTGAGGCAATTTTTGAGGCGCCTAAAAAATCGTCCCAGACAACAACTGTCGGAGGTACTACCTTGGAGGCAATTTTGCAACCGCTGTGTTGCACTGACCTGGCTGCAACGCTTTGGTGCCCCTCCGTTCACCATTCCCATTTCTCATTCTCCGTTTTCTCCGTTTCTCATTCTCCGTTTTCTCCGTTTTTCTGCGTTCGTGAACTATTTGTAGCAGGAGGTGCAGCAGACAATGCGCAGCTGCAGAATTACACTGAATGAAACTTGTTTGCGCTCCTCCCTTCCCCTTTCTCCTTCTCCTTCTGTTTCTTTTCCCGCCAGCAGTGTTACTGCAGTTGCAGCAGGAAGCGCAGCATGCAATAGCGCAGCTGCAGTGTTACACTGAGTGAATGTGTTTGTCCCACTCCCTCCTGCCTTATTGTCGTTCTCTCCCCCGGCTGTCTGAATGCAGTTGCAGCAGGAGGTGCAGCAGGCAATGGCACAGCTGCAGGCCATCCGACACCAGCTGAACTCGGGAGTCAGAATGCTGAATTCAGGTTGTCTGACTGCAGTTGCAACAGGAGATGCAGCAGGCAACGGCACAGCTGCACTGTTAAACTGACTAACGCATTTGTGCCCATCTTTTCTCCCATTTCTCCCGCCTGTCTGAATGCAGTTGCAGCAGGAGGTGCAGCAGGCAATGGCACAGCTGCAGCAGGCCATCCGGAACCAGCTGAACTCGGGAGTCAGCCTGCTGCATTACATGCCTCCTGTAGCCGACTCCCCATGCAACCCGTGCACATGAAACGCGTCTGTCCGTCCCTTTTGTCATCTCTCCCCCTCCCGTGGCTGTGCTAATCGCAGTTGCAGCAGGAGGTGCAGCAGGCAATGGCACAGCTGCAAGCGATTCGACACCAGCTGAACTCAGGAGTCAGCCTGCTGCACATGCCATCTGCTCCCCATGCTCCCCATGCACCCCAAGCTGCACATGCAACCCATGCATCACATGCACCCCATGCCGCACATGCACCCCATGCATCACATGCACCACACACACCCCATGCACCACATGCATCTCATGCACCCCTTGCTGCACATGCATCACAAACACCCCATGCACCACATGCATGGCACACACCTGCTGCATCGCACATGCCATTCACGCCAAACACATACCCTTCACCCACACCACACTCCACAATCTCCGATGCCACGTCAGATGCCGCCCACACTGCGCCACATGCACCCATAGGCTTCCCACCCATGGACCCCCTCAGACACCTATCTCCGGCTGTAGCGGCTGCTGTAGCTGCATCTGCTGCAGCAGCTGCAGGGGCAGCAGGAGCAGCAGGGGAAGCAGGGGCAGGAGCAGTGGCAACAGTAGAAGGAGTGGCAGTAGCAGCAGGAGCAGGGTCAGTGGGTGGCAATGATTTGCCTCCATGGGTGCTGCCTGTCTCTGCTGCTGCAGCTGGTTTGCTGCCTCCAAAGAAAGGTACGCATCTCCTCTGTTTTGGTTTCTTTGCTGCTAGCCTGAAATTGTTCATTCTTCAAGGTAGATTGCACATTATCGTCTACACTGATGTTTTTTCCCGTTTTTGTATCATTAAGTTTAACCACGTTCGTCCATCACTTTCCTTGCTCACATTTGCAACAGGTGAGTTCGCTCTGAGTGGGTCTGATATAATGGCAGAAGCTCTAGCAGAGGAAAGGGTTGCGAGGCAGGCACACACATTTGTATCCAGCAGCACTGCCCTAGGTAGATTGCCTGGACCAAAATAGCTTTAACTGTGAAAGTCGAGTTTCAGAAGTGTTTCTTTCCTTGCTGAATGTGCCTTTTTGAAGTGCCCAACATGCGTGTGGTGCTCTGATTGGTAGTAATTGTCCAACAGGAGCAACTGACCACTGATCTGCATGAAACTTGATCTCATTGTCTGAACACTACATGATCACTGCGAAATTTAGATGGCAACGAAGCAATACAAAAATATTTCACCAGTTTTCCCTCCCGTTAGCACATTATCCACAGCATATTACGTGTTCACAATACTGTGGGTGAAGTGAATGATTTTTATCAAAGTTGCAGATCCGCGATTGAAGTTCCGAAGGGACCAATTTGAGCTTTGAACAGGCAAAAACGCCTTCGACATTCCCTCGGTTCCATAGGTCTTGCACTCGAGGCTCCAGCTCATAAACATAAGCTCGTTGCACGGACATAGTCCAGGTTTCGCTTCCCGTTTGTCGAGAAGTTCGAATCAGTTCTGCTATCCACCATGAAGAAACGCACGGGCTTCCAGGTCGCGACGCTAAAATCGCCTCCTCCGCAGGAGAAGCAAGCTGAGGAGAAGAAGACACCGACGAAAGCGCCTAGCGGTTCTTCGAGGTCTGGTTTTCTGTGTCAGAATTCCGCATTCTTGAATATCCGTAGTAGACAACGTTCCGGCGATGCTGAACGCCCACAATTGTTGTCGACTATTGCAGTTCATCCAGCTCAGGCTCATCTAGCTCAAGCTCCGACACAACAGCAGCTGTGACAAAGGAATGCAAGGGAGACGAAGTTACATCTGTGCCACGACCTCCTTCTGTAGATGGTGCGACGAATCAGGCACCAGAGCCATCAAAATGCTCGACTCCTGGTATGTTCGACGCTTATGACAACACGCATTTGTCTAGACTAAAACCCAACGGCTAAGTTCATTCCGCTACTCCATTCACCCAGATGCTGCTAAGGTTGGAGTTGAAGACAAGGGAAAAGCGAAGTCCCCTGCTGCGTAAGTATGATTTGCGCGTTGAACGCTGTTTTGTTTTTCAATTCTCATCACTGTCTGCATGCTTCAGCTCATCAAGCTCGTCGGGCTCTAGCACGACTGAGAACGGAAAAGAAACCAAGGCAGACACTGACATCGAAGTTCAGTCCGAGAAAAAAGAATTGGCCAAGACCCAACCAGAAGACACTGCACAGGGCACCAACCCAACCAACCCAACCCTTGAGGAGCTGAATAACAAGGTGGATCCAAAGAACAATGACTCAAGGTCCCTGCTGGAGGTTAATGACGCATTGAAGACAGTGGATGCCATGACGTCAAACCCTGATGGTGCGGAAAATGTCAAAAGTCCACATGGCTCACAGAGCCAGTCGAAGACGGGTATGACTAATTTGCGACGTTGACATCTGAAAGTCTGACATGATGACGTCGTACTGACAGTCCATGAAATTTGCAGGAGCGACCACTGTACCAATGGAGAAGGCACACTCTGACGAAGAGCCAAAGTAAGTCTTGTGACAAGAGCACACGAAGTATGCACAGTAAGCCTTTCGTGAGCACTTGACCAGCGCATTGATTGTTTCAGAATTCGGGAAATACCGATGAGTGATGGACCAAAGCAACCCGACCAAAGCTCAAAGGTTGAGAGAATTGATGCTGTCAAGTCAGCCAGTGATGCTGCTGGACCAACAAAAGAAGGTAAGTATAGACCTGATCAGAAAATCCCGATCTGAACGCTAGTGCTCCTGCGTTGAGCCTCATTAGGATTTGTTATGGCAGAAACAACAGTGGCTGCAGCAGTCGTGAAGGGTTCTGACGCTGACGCACAGAAAGATGACGGTTCCGCTAAACCTGTCAAACGTGCGGAGGTTGGAGACAAGGATAAGAATGCACTCGAGGAAGACACTGACCATGGTGAAGAAGGCAACAATTCAAGTGCGAAGAAGTTATCCAAGAAGGGGTCATCATCGGGAAAGTCCCACAAACGCCAAGGAGATAGCAAACCACCAAGGGCTCCTACGCCCTATATTATATTCTCGTACGTATTGAGGATTCTCCATGCTTAGTTGATGGTTTCTTTCCATAACAGACCCTCTCAACTCAACTCATGTGAGTTTGTGCAGCAATGACATCCGCGAGTCCATCAAACAGAGGAATCCTGACATGAAGCCAACAGACATTATGAAGGTGAGCAGTTGCACGACCTCTTTGTGGAAAGAATATCGACCATTCAAGGCTGGGAGTGAGAGTCGTGAAACTGCTTCACATTTTTTTTTGCAGGCAATCGGTGAACAATGGCGGAACCTGCCCAAAGAGGAGAAAAAGGTGAGGTGGCTAACTATGAGGGTATGTGGGAAAGTCATATATCATACGTTCTTACAACTGCCACTTCCAGACCTACGAGGATAAGGCAGAGGTGGAAAAGGCCAAGCTTGGACTAGAACAGGGTAACACGGATGGGCCAGTCTCCACACACAAAGGTACAAGTTATGTTCCGACAAGGGCTTATTTTGTGTTGTTACTTTTCAACCTGGTTGATTTTTGCTGTATTTTATGCTCAAACACAAAGCCTGTGTCTGGGTTTTCGCTGCAGGAACAAAAACGAATGCTAAGGCTACAACCAAGTCTAAATCCAGAAATGACAATGATAAGCCACGTTTGGGAAGACATGGTCAACAAAACTCAAAGCCTGCTCAAGGAATCCTTCAAGATGGTATGTGTCACACGCACTGCATGCAAGCACAAATGAAACAATTGTGTTCAGCTACTATTTGTTTTTTTTTCAGGATTTATTGTCTTCTGCCTTGAAAATCGGAGCCGGGTTGAGGAGGGACTGGGGGAAGGAGCTACTTTGGCAGATATTCAACAAGAGCTTTCCAAGGAGTGGGAACAGTTGGGCTTTGAAGAGAGGCGGAAGTACATGAGTGCCGCAAATGCAACTGCTGATATCGAAGTCAGTCCATCTAGCATGACAGCCAATCCTGATCCGGCCTTAGCATCGTCCATATCAGGTGTGACATGGAGTCTTATGTCCATTCCGCCTTGCACTTTGACAGCTTGTCTAACATGTTTTCTGCAGATGCTATTGTTGCTGGATTCAAGGAAACTGAGGAAGGAGATGTTGAGGTATGGATTGCAACGACTGGCCCTTTTGGTGCATGGTATTGTTCTGACTGCTTTTGTTGGATGCAGTTTGTGTTGGCACAAACACTGGAGGGTGACTTTGTCACTAAGAGAAAGAGACTGGATTATACGGATCTTGACTATGAAGAGGCGAAGAAGCACAAATCTGGCACTGATGTTTCAAATGCTATCAGCGCTTTCAAAAGAAGGAAGCGACAGTTTTATGCTGTAAGCTCAACTTGCTAAACAGTGACTCCTGCTGTTATTGTATGAAGCATTAAAGTCCCACTCCATCTTACCTGCAGGAGATAGAGCAGCGAACTGCTAATGGTGTCCTGGACCTCGACGACATCTCTGCAGGAAGCATGCTTGAGGTAAGCTTTGGGTTATAATGGTAGAAACTTGTTCAGAACTTTTTCACACGCCCTAATGCTGTGCAACTTCCATTCTTTTGCAGACCCTTGCTTTTCTCGGAAACATGCGTGAGGTAGGTTCACCTTTCTTATCCCATAATGCTTCACTCTGGTTCCTCAGCTTTCTCTGACATCATGACATGGACATCGGCCTTGCAGGATGTTTTTCCTACCACAAATTCCAAGCTCCAGTCTCCTGATGTTTGGTACGGGCAAGAAAGGGCAATGCAATGTAGGTAATTTCTGATATAATATTTGACCTCTGATGGAGTACGTGTGCTGGCAGGATGAAAGTTCCAACGCTAGGCCTTTGCCTGCTGGTTCAGAATCTTCTGGATGGAGAAAGACAACATAAAGCAGCTCTGGCACAGCAGCTTGACGAATCTAAGAAAAGAATCAAGGAGCTGGAGAGGGGAACCATGAGAAAGGAGGAGTAAGATTTTGGAAAGTTGACAAGTGGTGTGTCCACTTTACTTTGTCCAAGTTCTACTGCAATGTTGCAAGTGAAAACATTAGTTGGAAGCTTTGAATATACATATTATGTAGCATGAGAACATGCATAGCCAAGTCATTGACAAACTAGGCTAGAAATATTCTCCTGCCACATGCAGATGAGAAGGTATTCGTAAATGTTCTAATTTTACTTCAGCTTTAGACTCCCATCCTCATCGCTGCATCCCTCCTTGTCACCATTCTCCTCCTCATCATCAACGGACCAGATACCATCAAATTCCGTTGCTAAAAAGCTCCTAAATAAATAACCCACGTAGAAATAAACTCTTCCGTAGCAGGACACCCCTGTTTGTAGCGTATCTACTGCCTTCCACGTGATCAGAGGTCTTACACGAATACCCTGCATTGGGACAGACATACATCCAGTGGCCACACCCTGTCAGTTTCAAATATAAAACCCTGGTAACATAGCACTTCAGCGGGGCGCCTCTTACCTGCAGCTTTCGGATCCAGCCATTCTCAATGGTCCCGCTAATCTCGGTTTCGAAGCGAATGGGGTATCCGCAAATCTCCTTCTCAACAACTTGGTCCAGGTATATACGGAAGGGGCCACTCGCATCGCCGTAACAGTGTTGTATGTGATGCGCAGGCATAAGGTCCTTCGGGAAGCCGTTCAGCTGCGCACGAGTTGACGAGGGATAACTTGGTTACGACCGAAATGACGCGAACATGGCGGAGATAGTCAAGAGCCATGAATGCGAACTAAATACCTCTAACGCCTTCGCCACAAGGCCACTAGGCGTCTCTCCTTCTCTTGTACAGCCAGCGCAATCACAAGGAGCGTCGTCTCTCATTAGCGCGCTCTTGTCTGGGACACGGATGGATGAGAGGTCGGAGACCACCATGTCGACGCTAATCACGATCTACACCTGCTGGAGTAGATACGACAGCAACAGGAATGATAACCGATGGTCGCAGGAAAACGGGTGCAAGTATCAGCTGTAAGAAATGAAGATAGAAAGCGTTGAGGTAGGGGCGACAATTCTAAAAATTCTTTCTAGGGCCCTTTTGTCAGCAACTACATTCCGCCTCACCTCATGGTCTTGAACAGCAGTGGAGCAGACTGTGAGAAGTTTTGGTCCTTCAATTGCCAGGTGGTTCCGCTTTATGCATGCTGGCGGCCAGGTCGTTGAGATGGTTGTGCGAAGCTCGCTTGCGAGTGTGCGAATCACTTGAAGAAAGCATCTGACACGGGCTGCCGCCGTTCAGCATCGAAGCGCCATCGCCAGCAGTGACCACCTGACGGACGCAGTCGACCGACCATCCCAATTGCCAAGCCAATCGGCATGTGGAATGCATTCCACAGCCTATCGGCGAAGATCAATACCCTTTCGCTGCGTAACGATATTTCAGATTGCCCGCGCGACGTGGCGTGCGAAGCAGGTCTCGTCGTCGCCTGCCAACCCGCTCACGCTAACGTGGACGATCAGTGGCGTCAGGTTTTTAGATCCTGCCGTGGCAGATTTCGGTGCGGCTTGCCACCTCCAGAAGCACAACCCCTCTAAAGTTTGACTTGGTACTCAATATAGCGTGTTCCGAATCATCCAGAAACTGAATACGAGTGACGCAATATGCGCGACTTCCAAGTCTCAATCTAGGGGTGCTAGACATAAGAACTGCCGTGGCTATAATAAACTATGCACTCTGGTCAGACGTGTAGATTCTTGCCTTCACCAAAATTCAGTGAAAGTCAGCCACACCACAACGCGAATAACTCGCTAACGACACCAATTCCATGTGGAACCACAGGCACCACAGCAGCACTCACCTGTCAAACACTGTACTTGCGCATTTCCCGCTGATCTCCCTGATGGCCCATAAATGGCGGGTTCTTGCTAACACAGTTCCCCCCATAAATGGCGGCACTTCCTCGTATGTCAAGCTTTCATTTTGCACGTTGCATGTCTGTGTTGGAATAGAGCTTGTGTGTGCAATCAACAATGGTAGGTGGCAGGAACGAGTAGCCGGTAAGCTAGTTGCAGAGCTGACACGCAAGTCGCGAGTCGTGACTCTGTTTTCGCCATGGCATTCTCACCGATATAGATTCAGCCACTCTCTCCACAGACCGACCCCATCCATCTAAGTCAAATGCTGCTGACCTAGGTGGAAACCTCGGGCTCAAATTGTTGGATTGAAAGAAGTATTGTTCACATTGGTCGAATAAAGACCGGAAAATTAGTGCTGAATCAGCGAGGCTGGTCTGAGACGCCTTTAAACCAGCAATGCCGGCCAGCAGCCCACCGCCAGAGTCCGAGCCGCGTCCCTATCCCGATCCGTACCACATAGTCGACGCGCTTCGAGCGCTCGAATCGCGATGGGTTCCCGAAAACCGCTCGTTAGTGTCCTCTTTATCAAATGCGGGTCGCGCGTTCCTCTCCCTCCTTAACGCCTTCGCGTCTCTCCGCATCTTCGCATGGCTTCGTCCGGTTCTCCCGGCGCTTTTAGCGGGCGCCTGCGTAATGATTATCTGCCTCGCGTCGCTACTTGCTTTAAGAGGCGGTGATGTTCCTAATCGCGACTCGATCGCCGGCGGTGGGATTAGTCGCCGTGGAGGAGCGTTGGGTAGCGGCGGCGTGATTGGCGGCGTGAATCACGGCGGGAATGGCGGCGTGGGAGGAGGGGAGGAGTTTAAAGTGGATCTATGGGTGGAGCGAGAGATGCTGCTCCATGCCGAGACTGTGTACCAGGTACGGGGATCGCCGAAGCTGCGCCCTAGGTTTGGGATGCCGAGGCTGTGTATCAGGTAAGGAAAACCCTCCAAGCCGCAAGCTGGAAAATTATATCCTGGTCACACCCAATCTCCCCAAAACCCCCCGACCCCACAACCACAGACCCCGCCCTCTTCCATTTCGCTCCGTCACACCTTAACTTTCCGCCTACTTCCCCTTTCCTTTCCCCCACGCACCTCCTTCCTCCTCGCTTCTCAACTGACAGGACAACATGCGCCGTAGATCAGAGTTCTTCGGCGGGCGATCCCAGCCGTTGGATTTGGAGATGCGGCAGGAGCTGGAGAGTGTGTTGGTGGCTGCGTACCCCTGCCCCATGGAGGAACGCCTGGGCATTTGGGCGGACGGGGGGAAGGTGAGGGGATCTGGGCGGACGGGGGGAAGGTGAGAAGGCTTGGAACTTGAGACTAGATTGGCAGGGTATGGGTGGGTGGAAGGAAGCGAAGCTGGAGAGTGTGATGATGGCGGCCTATCCCTGCCCCATGGAGGAACGACTGGGGATCTGGGCGGACAGGGGAAAGGTATGTATGGGGGGGAATTTGGAAAGGTGTGAATGAATGGAGGGAGGGAGCTGGGGAGTGTGCTGGTGGCGGCGTATCCCTCCCTGCCCCATGGAGGAGCGCCTGGGGATATGACTTTTGAGTCGACTCAAAAGTCACCGCGCCTGGGGATATGGGCGGAGTACCTCTTTTGAGGCGCCTCAGGAGTACCACTCTTTCCCCCTCCTTTTCAACCACTTTTCTACTTTGTTTTTCCCCCCCACTCCCTTTCTTCTGTCCCTCACGCTCTTTTTCTTCCACCCACGCGAATCCTTCCCCTCCCCTCTCTGGTTTGCCTCTCTGTGCAAAAGCGTCTCAAAGTTTTTTGTTTTTGTTTCTTTCTCTACCCCTCCCGTCCCTGTCCTCACTTTCTCCCTGAATCCCTGCGCAATGGATCCGCAACATGAAGTCTTTCATTCCAGAGGCGCCTCAGAAGTCCTCTCCTATTCTCCCTCCCTCCCTATTTCTTCCTCCCTCTCCTTTTCACCCTCCCTCCCGTTTTCTCCCTGAATCTCTGTGCAGTGGCTATGCAACATGAAGCCTTTCATTCTTTTGAGACGTCTCAAAATATTTCTGTCCTCACTTTCTCCCTGTATCTCTGTGCAGTGGATATACAACATGAAGCCTTTCTTTCATTCCAGAAGCGCCTCACTCACCTCAGAAGTCCTCTTTTCTTCTTCCTCCCTCCCTCCCTACTTCTCCACACTCTCTCTGTGCAGTGGATATGCAACATGAAATCCTTCATGCCAGAAAAACCAATCATCTACAGGTATGACTGGCTTTACTCAACTCAGGGCGTATCCCTGGGTGGTGGCAGGACCACTGTAGCTGGCAGCCTGCCACGAACTCCTAAAACGCCAGGTTGGTGTCAGGAAAATTGGCGCGCAAATACAGGTTCGTGATTGGGCAATGTCCCAAAAATGTCATTTCAATGCCATCAAATTCGTGTCGCGCGCGCTTCGGGCAAAATGTTGGTGGCATGCGGTTTTCCCGCATGCCACCAACAGTGCCTGCTACAGTGGCCCTGCCACCACCCAGGGATACGCCCTCAGCCCCCCTCAACATGTTCAGCCCCACTCAACATGTTCAGCCCCACTCAACATGTTCAGCCCCACTCAACATGTTCAGCCCCACTCAACATGTTCAGCCTCAACCCATTCGCACCTAAACACTCTCGCCTCCACCTGCCTTTCTTGTTCCTCTCTTGCGCCATACTTTCTCTCTCTCTGCACAATTGCGCCTCCGATCCATCTTTCTTGTTCCTTGACTTCCTGATGGAAGGAACACTCCATGCCCTTCCAGTCGTTCCACGTACATTCCAATCCTCCTCCCCACCTTTGCCCCTCACCACACCATCATAGGATCTAACGGAGAGTATACCCTCTTGGGGAGTACACGTTTGAAGGGGCCTATTTGAGGCGCCTCAAAAGTCGTTTGAAAGGGCCTTTTGAGGCGCCTCAAAAGGAGAGTATACCCTCTTGGGGAGAACACGTTTGAAGGGGCCTCTCGCCTGCACATCCGCCGCTTCACCTTCAATTTGTTCCTTCCTTTTGTCCCGTTGCTCTCCCCATCCATCAGCATAGGGTCCAACGGGGAGTATACATTCGAGGGGGACGTTGATGCTCGCCTGCATACCATGATGCGCCTGCCCTTCCCTCCTTTTCCTTCCATCCCCCACACCCGACACACATCAGCATAGGCTCCAAACATTCGAGGGGGACATTGATGCACGCCCGTCCCTTCACCTTCGATCCGTTCCTCGACCCTGCGATGGAACACACACACCATGATGCGCCTGCCCTTCCTGTCGCTCCACCTCCCCGCTCTCCCAACTCACCAGGATCCAATGGGGAGTACACAATTGAAAGAGATATCGCCGCTCGTCCTCCCTGCTCTATGCTTCCCCCATCCCACACTCACCAGTATAGGATCCAATGGGGAGTACACATTTGAACGGGACATCGCTGCTCGCCTCCATACCCGCCCCTTCACCTTTGATCCATTCCTCGACCCTGCGATGGAACACACCATGATGCGCCTGCCCTTCCTTCCTTTTCCCTTCGAGACCCGTGCCCTCACATCACATCCACCAGCATAGGGACTTTTTGAGACGTCTCAAAAACACCCCTTCTCTCTACACGTGGCCCTTCGAGACCCGTCGTGCCCTCACATCCACCAGCATAGGGTCTAACGGGGAGTACACATTTGAACGGGACATCTCTTCTCACATGCACACCCGTCCCTTCACATTCGACCCGTTCCTCGACCCTACGATGGAGCACACCATGATGCGCTGCGCCTGCCCTTCATTCCTTTCCCCACCCTTGCCCACCCCACACACACCAGCATAGGGTCCAATGGGGAGTATACATTTGAGAGGGACATTGCTGCTCGACTGCACACAAGACCATTCACCTTCGATCCGTTCCTAGACCCTGCACTCGAGCACACCATGATGCGCCTGCCCTTGCCCTCCCCCACCCCACTGACACTCCAGCCCTCCTCCTCCCTGCACTATGCTTCCCCCACCCCACACACACCAGTATAGGGTCCAATGGGGAATACACATTTGAACGGGACATTGCTGCTCGCCTGCACACCCGTCCCTTCACCTTTGATCCGTTCCTCGACCCTGCGATGGAGCACACCATGATGCGCCTGCCCTTCCTGTCGTTTGAGGCCGTCGGATTGGCGGCGAAATCTACGGTGGAGCAGTGGAAGGCGGAGACCAAGGGGAAAGCGTTCATGACTCTAGAACAGGTGAGCTGGTTTATTTTGAGGCACCTTAAAACGATTACGTGCCTGTCTTTGCATCCCTGGAGCAGGTGAGCTAGTTTGTTTCTTGAGTAGCCTCAAAAGTCTGAATCAGGTGAGGGGTAGAAGGGGGTTTGGGTGGAATAAGAGAAGGTTAGTCTTGAGGCTCCCCGGAGAAGTGGAAGGAGGTTGAGGGGAAAGCGTTCATGACTCTAGAACAGGTGGGGTAGTCTGTTGGTTCTGAGGTGCGTTGAAAAAAGGATATGCGTGAATGACTTAGGATCAGGTACGGCGCGAAAGAGAGGTTGAGCAGAGGGGGGCAAAGGGTGTGGCTTGAGCTTGCCTGAGGTAGAGGAAGCAGGAGAACTAGGGAAAAGCACAACCACTCACACATATTGACGTGTTGAATATCGACTCTGAGGGCCTTTTGAGGCGCCTTCAAGCTTCTGCTGGCTGGGCCTTAAAGCTTCAAAATTCATTTCAGACCTTGAAGGTTTTGCTGCCCTTAAAGCTTCGAGCTTTTGCTGAGAGCTTTTCGTGCTGGCTGGGCCTTAAAGCTTTGCCCCTTTCTCCCTCCTTCCAGGTCATGGCAAAGCACAACCACACGCACATCGCGCATGCCACCTTGCTCTGTTCTACCCACTCCCCCAACCCGCCCACCCACTTCCCCCCTTTTTCCCCCACCGGGTCATGAGGAAACACAACCACACGCACATAGACGTGTTCAAGATAGACTGCGAGGGGTGTGAAGCGGTGGTGCTGTTTGACATTCTGCCCGCTTCTGCCTTGCTCCATACCTTATCTGTACTTGTCCCCTCTTTATTTTTCCCCTCCCCCACCCCAGGTGATGAGAAAGCACAGCCACATAGACGTGCTCAAGATTGACTTCAAGGGGTGTGAGGCAGTGATGCTGTTTGACATTCCTCCAACTACTGCCATGCCCCGTGCCTTCTATGTGTCACTCCCCTCCCACCTCCCCTACCTCCCCGCTTCTTCCTCCGTCCCAAGGTTATGAGAAAGCACAACCACACGCACATAGACGTGCTGAAGATCGACTGCGAGGGGTGTGAGGTCGTGGTGCTGTTTGACATTCTGCCTTGCTCTGTCCCCTTCCCCTCTGCTCCCTCTGTGTGAGTGTTACCAGGTGATGAGGAAGCACAACCACACGCACATAGACGAGTTCAAGATAGACTGTGAGGGCTGTGAGGCCGTGGTGACTTTTGAGTCGACTCAAAAGACTGTGAGGAAGGGCTGTGAGGCCGTGGTGCTGTGAGGAAGGGCTGTGAGGAAGGGCTGTGAGGAAGGGCTGTGAGGAAGGGCTGTGAGGCCGTGGTGCTGTTTGACATTCCTCCGTGCCCCTTCCCCTCCACTCTCTTTCATGCTTGCTCAGGTGATGAGGAAGCACAACCACACGCACATAGACGAGTTCTAAGATTGATTGCGAGGGGTGTGAGGCCGTGGTGATGTTTGACATTCTCCCTTGCCCCTTCCCCTTTGCTCCCTCTGCTTGACTGTCATCAGGTGATGAGAAAGCACAACCACACGCACATAGACGTCTTGAAGATTGACTGCGAGGGGTGTGAGGCGGTGGTGCTGTTTGACATTCCTCATCGCCCCTTCCCCTTTGCTCCCTCTGCTTTACTCCCCTCAGGTCATGCGAAAGCACAACCACACACATATCGATGTCTTGAAAATCGACTGCGAGGGGTGTGAGGCGGTGGTGCTGTTTCACATTCTGCCTGCTGCTGCATTCTCTCTACTACCCCCGCCCCCCCACCCTCTTACCCCTTTGCCTTTCCCAGGTGATGAGAAAGCACGACCACACGCACATAGACGTGCTGAAAATCGACTGCGAGGGGTGTGAGGCGGTGGTGCTGTTTGACATTCTGCCCGCTGCTGCCCTGTACACCCCCCCCCACCCTCTCTGCTTCCCTTCTTTTCTCTGCACCAGGTGATGAGAAAGCACAACCACACGCACATAGACGTGCTGAAAATCGATTGTGAGGGGTGTGAAGCCGTGGTACTGTTTGACATTCTGCCGGCTGTTGGAGTGGCAGAGGGCACTCGCCCCTTGCCGCTTGGATCACCCCCCATCGGCCAGCTGATCATTGAGTTCCACGAGTGAGTGCTCCTGCTTTGCCCTGGTGGGGACCGCACCCCTTGCTGTGAAGCCGTGGTACTGTTTGACATTCTGCCGGCTGTTGGCGTGGCAGAGGGCACTCGCCCCTTGCCCCTCGGGACCCCGCCTATCGGCCAGCTGATCATTGAGTTCCACGAGTGAGTGCTTCTGCTGTGCACTGGTTGGCTACTGAGGGGTTGAATGGGTCGGTAACAAACAATAAGGGTGCTCGCCCCTTGCCTCTAGGGACCCCCCCCATCGGCCAGCTGATCATCGAGTTCCACGAGTGAGTGCTTCTGGTGTGCACTGGTTGGCTACTGAGTGGCTCACTGGCTGCGTGCCTGAGGAGACATGAAGAGGCCACTCGCCTCGCCGCTTGCTGCTAGGGACCCGGCCCGTCGGCCAGCTGATCATCGAGTTCCACGAGTGAGTGCTTGCAGTGCACTAGGAGGCGGTTGATTGGCTGAGAGGAGGGGAGGAAATGGCACGTGCATGCACCCCTTGCCGCTAGAATCCCCACCTATCGGCCCGCTGATCATCGAGTTTCACGAGTGAGTGTTTGCACGAGTAGTTGTGTGTGATTCAGGGGGGGATGCAGAGGGCAGGGCACCCGCCTTCTGAGGGGAACACGAGCGCTGAGCTGAGTGCACTTTTGAGAATTCTCAAGAGTAGGAACAGAACAGGGCCTGAGTAGTAGCTGATCTGAGCATGCTTCATGTCCCTTGCTGATCCCTTTTGAGGCGCAACCCCCTCTCACTCCCTCCCCACACCCCGACCTCCTCTGGATTGCCTTTTCTTCATCGTGGCAGCGTGGGCAACCCCAGCAAGACACTGTTCATGGTGTACCATTTGGAGATGGGGTATCGCATATTCTTGCTTCCCCCCCACCCCAGCCCCCCCACTCACAACACAACCCCCTCTCTTGCTGTTGTGCCCTGCGTCTACTTGCTCTTGGCAGCGTGGGCAATCCCAGCAAGACACTGTTCATGGTGTACCATTTGGAGAAGATGGGGTATCGGATTTTCCATGTGGAGCAGAACGCTCAGCACCCAGAGTGCTGCACTGAGATCTCCTTTATCCATGAAAGCCTCGTGTACTCGATATGATATGATGCAATGCAGTGCAATGATTGAAATGAACGGGAAAATAATAACACCACATGCAGATTTGGTGCACGTGCAAGCATAGATGCTACCCCATTGCAGCCTTTTTGCAACTGGCATGCAGGGGCACCTTCAAACAAAGTGGTTGTGCAATGGGCATCAACTGCCTTGCGGTTGGGGGCATGCACGCACGACTGCCTGATCGGTATGTGCATATCGCCTGGATCCCATTACCTGCGTTACATACCCGACGAAACCCTGCGTAATCGCCTTGGGGGTCTGATCTGATGGAACCCTACAAACATCGAATTGCTGTGCAGGAACTCCAAAAACCGAAAACAATATCCACTCGAAGATTTTTTACATAACGCGAAACTGCAGCTGCGGTACGTACCTACAGTGTCACATCACATCACAACATTGCTAGATCCTCCACTTTGTCAGACAGACCCCTTTCAGCCTCTTCCTACCTTGTTAGACTCTGTTGCAGGAGCCTCTCTGCCTGCTTCTACTTTTTTGGCTCAATTGTGGCCTCCTTTTCTCCTTGTTACCGGTACTTGTTCTTAGCTGCAATTGCAGCAGCCTTCTCGTTCCACCTCCCTCCTCAGCGAAAGCAGCGCTCTCTCTCCCTGCTTCCTTTTCTTCCCAGCAATGGCAGCAGCTTTCTCTTCCTGTTCCCCCTTCTCAGCGATTGCTGCTGCCTTTGCCTCCTACTGCCCCCTGCCCCTACTGCTCCTACTGCCCCTACTGCGCACACTTCTGTTTCCTGACAGCAATCAGAGCCGTGACAGCAATCAGAGCCGTCTGACGTGCATCTGCTTCGTTCTCTGTTGTCAGCTCCTGGAGACAACACGACAGATTCTCCAAATGACCGGGATAAACCTTCGCAACCAGATTGTGCAGGAGTGTTAGTAAAGTCTCCTAGCGAGTGTAGAATTCTGTTCGTGGGTCAAATACAGAGGTCAAATAGCTCTTCAAACATGATACTTGCAGCCTTCAGGTACATACAATTCACCCACACATTTTTCCATCTCAAAAAAGTGGGTCTTAAAAATGGCAATTTAAAGCCATAATCGCCATGAATATGGCAGGTTTATGGCCTTAAAGCTGAAGTATACATTTGTCGGCAGGGTTCAGGGTTTAGGGAGTGCGCCCCACAGGTTTGGGGCAACTTTTCAAATTTCAAAAGATTTTGAACCCCTCCTTTCAAATGTATACCGGAGCTTTAAATTGGCCGGCTGTACGCAGGTTGCTTCGTAGGCGTTTGGGGCCCGTGAATTGCCCGGCTGTACATTGACTAGAACAGCCATTCATGGCCCGTTCCACATTGTCATACATGGCCATGTATGGTCGTGCATTGGAGGACTGTGTACATGCATGAATCGACTGCCTATAAATGCAACTTACGGGCAGGCGGATTAATGGCCCTTAATTTGAAGGCTATAAATTGCAGTGTATTGACAGCGTATACAATGACAAAACCGGCAGGAGCATTGATAGAAATGTATTTGCAACTGCTTTTGTTTCGTGCCAATTTAATAATTATTGAAATTGTTGTATTGAGTGGATTTTCATTAACAGAGTAAATACATTTAACAGATACATACTGATCTACACATGATACACAGCTACATAAGCTAGTAGAAGACAGCAGGTCCGGTATTTCAGCCATGAATAGATCCACCTGCACATAGAAACAATGCCACGGAAATAACTGATTGTAACATAAGCCACCACTTACATGGCGTGCTGAGAACTGTGTGATGCCATCGAACAAAAACAGCGCGAGATAAATGCAGGACCTGCGAACATTCAAACAAACTTACAAACGCAACACCTGCCCCACGAATCAACCAATTAGATTAGAACAGCCGCAAATGCATGAAGGGCGTGGGATTAGAACTGCCGGATAAACAGAAAAGGCGACAAAAGACACACGACGGGATATGTCTTACACACAGCGTAAGTACGCCATAAATTCATAAAAGCGACAGAATATACGATGAGGTGCTCTGTGACAGAAAGTGGGCATCAGACCCGCGTCGGCCAGAGAGTGTTCGAGCTGTGAGCTGGAACTAGAACGAACAATCAAGTTACGTATTCGACCGGCAACTAAGGGACGGGCAACTGAGGAATAATAGGAACTGGGAAGCTAAGTGAGCATTGAGAAGAGAAACGGCGAGAAGAGAAATGGCGAGAAGAGAAATGGCGAGAAGAAAAATGAAGAGTCGATGCTTTGAGGATGAGGTGGTTGGGCGAGGTGGGTGGGTTGCTTGTTTGGAAGGAACGTGCAGAAGGTGGAGGGAGAGATTGCGTGCAAACGAGGGTGGCTCTCGATGGCTTGGGATTGGCTGGGCTTGAGCTGCTGCTCAATCATAGGCACTTGACAGCTTCTTCTCGAATCACAAATCGCGCGACTCGAAGACTGGTTCTGTTGTGTGGTGCCTAGCGCGCCCCATGAAACCACCACCTACAGCATGCTGGGTGCGACACGAAATTGATGGGAATCTTTTCGATCCCATTCGCCACATCAGCAGCAAAGAGACACTTCATTCGTCGAAACCGTTTTCAAGATGTGTGAAGATAATCGTGGGGGTTATCGTCCAATGGAAAACTTCGTCGCCTTTCCAGGCGCATTCAGATTCGTTTAGCGAGAAACCCAACAACTCAACAGTCCAAATGCATTCTAGGAAAAACCAGACTTCTTGTCACTTATATCTTAGCCTCATCAATCAACTTTGCAGCACCTACTACTACTCCTCCTACTCCTACTCCTACTCCTACTCCTACTCCTACTCCTACTCCTACTCTTACTCCTACTCCTACTACTGCTCCTACTACTGCTCCTACTACTACTACTACTACTACTACTACTACTACTACTACTACTGCTGCTGCTGCTACTACTACTACTACTACTACTACTACTACTACTACTACTACTACTACTACTACTACTACTACTACTACTACTACTACTACTACTATGTTGAATTATATTGCATATCCTAACTGCCTACAGCTTGCTAGTGTATTAGTTAGTTATTAGGTTCAACTGCTGATGGTGTACCCTATCCTCTCCCCTATCCTATATCTTGTAAACATTCCTTAGTGAATGACCCTCTTTGCCCAATTCTCTTGCCATGTTCACCCTCGACACTCACTCTTCCTAGGTAAACCCTAAGTTACTAAGTCAAGAGTTAAGAGCGTGTTCTGACATACTACTACTACTACTACTACTACTACTACTACTACTACTACTACTACTACTACTATTACTACTACTACTACTACTACTACTACTACTACTACTACTACTACTACTACTACTACTAGTAGTACCACCACCACTACTACTACTACTACTACTACTACTACTACTACTACTACTACTACTACTACTACTACTACTACTACTACTACTAATACCACCACTACTACGACTACTACTACTACTACTACTACTACTACTACTACTACTACTTCTACTACTACTACTACTACTACTACTACTACTACTACTACTACTACTACTACTACTACTACTACTACTACTACTACTACTACCAACGATGACGACGACGACGACGACGACCACAACAACGACAACAACAGCAACAGCAGCAACATCAACAGCAGCAGCAACAACAACAACAGCAGCAGCAACAACAACAACAACAACAACAACAACAACAACAACAACAACAACAACAACAACAACAACAACAACAACAACAACAACAACAACAACAACAACCACCACCACCACCACCACCACCACTAATAATATTACTATTACAACTACTGTTGCTGCTACGTTCGCTGCTATGACTACTGCTGCTACTACTAGTAGGTCACAGAAGCAGCACATAACTCAAACACTCAAACATGACAACGCATGTCAATGATAGCCATAGAATGATGTCTTAAGTGCATAGAGCTTCATTTGTTTATCTAGAAAACGGTGTATTTCCTTTTGAAAGTCTGCGAATCAAACGTCATTTTGCAGTTTGTTGAGGAGGTATAAGGGAGGCAGGAGAACAGCTCTCAAATTGATTTAGACCACAAACATGGTGGTTACGAGCCCCCAATTACGTTGAGCCGTGTGTGCATTTGGAAACCAACCCAAGTTGAGTGTTTGGGCATTCATTGAATTGTGAACACAAGTTTATCGTTTACAAAGAAGAAACAGGTTTTTTTATCATTTCCAATACTCTGCCAAGTATGTGGCTGCCATTTTAATATCTATGTGTGTGAGATTCTGAAATGCGATTTTTATAAGCAACCAATTTGTATGAAAGTTAGTGTGTTGCAACTGCATACGACATCCCCCTTTCTGCGACCATCACATTTTTTTGAGGAAGCCCCCCACCTGTTCCCCTCTCCCCCACCTCCCTTGCCACAAACAGACCCCCCGCGCACTCGAAAGTTGTTGCCCAAAGAAGTCCATAGGAATTTTGGCGCGGTCGCCAATTTTTTAGGGGCAGCAATTTTCGCACGCTCGTGTCTACGAAATTCGACATCGCGTTACTTGCACGAAATTCTCGCCAGTAGCCGTTCAGACTGCGCCAGAACGGTTGCGCTGCCCACAAACCGAAATAAACCACCGACAAGTGACGAGGCTGGAAACCGAATCGCGTCGTCAATTTGAGCCGTAGATCCTGAGAAAATCGAACGTCAAACAACCACATTAAATTTCACGCTTCGAAGCGAATGTCTCACTGAGTGCGACGCGACAAACAGAGTTGAACTATCGATGTGATCTCGACCGTTGCACAAATCGCTTGGAATTACATCCGTAGATCAATAACAAGCACATTCCACGAAGCAACATAACACAAATTCTCCCGTGCAAAATTGGCAAAGCAGGTTCGATTGCGGTGGCAAAATTGCCATCTTGCCGCCAAACCCTGGCACGGGCTATACACAGCAACTTACAACGATCAGAAACCATCAAGAAAAGTGGTCCAATCGACCATCCCATAGACAACACCCCCTACATTTTTGAGATGTCATCCTATCCTTTCAGCCACAAGAAACTGCTTTGTACCCAGTTGACGGCCAGTCATCTCTAGTTCAGAGGTTGAACCCGTAGCATGACTGACTGTCAACTGGGAACGGATAACCTAAATTATAGAAGTTCTCTTTTCTGGGTTGTTTGTACGCCCAAAGATTTACACCTTGGTGTTCGTGGGAACCAGGACTTTATCCACGCCGTGCGCGATGAAGTACGGTCCAGCGTACAGCCGAACGATCTTGATCGTGGTCCAGGCGGCAGGGGGGGCGTTGGGCGTCTTGGCGAAAGAAACCGTGTTACCATTCTGCTGCGAAACCTTGTACATCGCCTGCTTCAGCTGCGTGCCGACCGGCTGCGACTTCTTGAGCACCTTGAGCGCGGGAACGGTGTACTTCTTGCGGATAATGTGGTACGCCGTAATGTTGTAGATTCTGGGGATGTTGGCTTTGTTAACGGGGACCTTCTTAGCGAGGGCCTCCGCCTCTGTGTCGCTGGGGAGGAGGAGGGTTGCGTCGCTGAGTGCTGTGAAGTCATACTTGGAGTTCACTGGAGGGGGGGAGAGGGAATATTTGAGGCAGAGAGAGAGAGCGGGCGAGGACAGAGAATGAGGAATAGTTCAGTGGCTGGAGCTAACTGATAGCTGGAGTTTCACGCGAATCGACGAAAGCTGAAGAGGCGCGCGGGAGGCAGGGAGAGGGAGGCTCAACGAAGCCTCTGAACGCGAACCTGGGCGCGTTTCGAGTTAAGTTGAAAAAAACAGAGCAGGATTATGAACGACTAGGAAGAGTTAAGGAATCGACGTGTATACTAGAGAAGCGGGAAGAGCGTGCCGCGTCGGGGGAAGATCAAGGGATGATGGGGCTTGATATCGACTCCTCATTTCAGGCATTCTGATTGCGGCAATATTAGAGAGAGCGCGAGCGCATTCTAATAGTGAGAACTTACGTGCGAGGCCAATGTTCTTGTTGATGTCTTTGGCGTATTTCGCATATTTCGGAAACTTCTGAGTAATGGCGTTCGCCATGTTTTGAAGCTCCGCTTTTATTTGCGCCTTGGTGGGCTTCGCCGGCGCCTGGGCGTGCGCGCTCGCAAAGCACAGCATGATGCAGAGCAGTCCCAAGAGAGAGAGGTACCGTGAGCTGGCCATGACTGGAAGGAAAGTGCGGGATCGTACAGGAGGAAGCAGTTTCGTGCGGATGGGAAACCCGGAAGGATGATGCTGGCTCCTAGGGCAAATCGGGAAGTGAATCTCTATTCTCGATCGACTCGAGTTGAGAGGCACGAATGAAGTTGATGAAAGATCGCGAGGCATGGAAAGTGATTTATAGGTGGGAAAGGGGCTGGGTCGGAGCGGGAGCGCGTCAACAATAACCGACATGCGGCGCGAGAAGCGGTGATGCAGCCCAGGCGAAGTCTCAAGTCCGGTGGACGATAGGCTTGAATTCGTCGTGCTGGAAGGTATGTGCAGGTGGTAACTACCCGTCGCCAATGAGTTTCGGGGGAGGATGCGACGATGCTTGACGAGAAGTGGTGGTGGCTGTCGGTTGAAGTCGCGGTCCGCGTGAAGTGGGCGACATTTCAACGACATTCCATCGCTGGGGCAACATACTTCGTCCTGCTCTATCGAAGCTTTTCGGCACAAGCCCTTTACCGCAAATTGCTACAGTTTATCTTACTGATATGAGCGATATGTGTTACCCATCCCCTTACGGTGGCTGACAATCTGTCTAATCCCCTGAGATGAACTGGTCCGCCATAACATTGGAAACTCCAGTCTATAGTGCAAGCAAATGGATATGGTCTCTTGTAAGTCAAATTGTTGTCGCGTGTTCTGGCTGAATGCTAGCTTTGCAGATGCTTCTTTAGCAGTACTTCACATGTATATTGTTGAGCAGGGTTAAATTGGTTCTCCTACCATAAATCTGTAAGATTGCAGCTACTTGTCCGTGTACTCCAATTCTGGAATGGTCACCTAGACGCATACCGTATTTATCGCTCAAAACTAATATATCAAAGGTAAGAGGAAAAAAAATCACAGTAGCAAACATAGTTCCACATCACATCCCAATTCCAACCCAATCCCATCAGCATGCGACAGCAGCGCAGGGAGCTTATTGGGCGAAGTCGTAAACACAGCTTCCGTCGTCGCTGCGAACGGTGGGGTCATAGTTGACAGCGTTGGGATCAGAGCAGCCTGCTGGCACCGGCACTCCCACTTGTTGGGCATAGCCACCTGATGGAGTGATTGTGAAGGGATTGAGAAAGGAAACAGGGGTGATGTGAGGAAAGTGCAGCATAGATGCATGTGCATTAGACCCTTGGCAAACCCAGCTCATAGCCAGATGTCACAACAACTCCACTGCTTCAGCGGAACCAGTACAAGCTTGGGTGGGCCCGACCGCAAGGTGCTTTGAAACTTGCGTTTTAAGAAGACTCAAAGCCTCATGGAGAAAAGGAAGTAGAAAAGGAAGGAAAAGAGACCATCCCACCCAGTGTAGAACGAGCAGACGCACCTTCGAAGAAGGTTCCCTGCTCCATCTGGTCCTTGTTGGCATCACCGAGGGCGGCCGACGCGAGGTAGGTGTCAGCGAGCTGCACGCGCTTGACGTTCTCCTGCTCCTTCACCAGCATGTTGCCGTACGCCAGCAGGGTCTCCAGGTTCATTGCCGGCTGGTCGAATTTGGGCGGGCCCGACCGCGAGTTGACGAGGTGCTTTGACACCTGGTCCACGCCGACCTTGGCCACCCACCGGCGCACCTCGTCGTCGTACACACGGGCACGGAGAGCACCAAAGAAATCTGTTGCGGGAAAGTGGTGGGAGGTGGTGGAAAGCGGTGGAAAGGGGTTTAGAGGTGTGGTCATGTGGTGGGAGAGTGTTGAGACCTGGTCCACGTCGACTTTGGCCACACACCGGCGCACCTCGTCATCGTACACGCGGGCACGGAGAGCACCGAAGAAATCTGCAGGGGAATTGAGATGGGAGGTGGTGGAAAAGTGTGGAAAGAGAGGTTAGGCCGCGTGGTGTTGGGAGTCATTGCCGACGTTAATCTTTGCCACCCACTTGCACACCTTGTCATCGTCATCGTACATGCGCACACAGAGAGCGCCGAAGAAATCTAGCGGTGAACAGTGGGGTGACGTGGTGGGAATGGGTGGAGAGGGTTGGGAAGGGGTGTGGGAGGTGAGACATGTGGTGGGAATGAGTGCTGAAACCTTCCTTGTGCATGCTGATCTGGGCTGGGCGTACTAATGGACGCTCAATGCAAAGGACAGACACCGTGGGTTCGGGCATTTTGAAATGCACCACATACCATACCAGACTGAAACCATACAATGATACGTACAAAACAGCTCAAACAACACGCAACACGAGCACGAGCACACCACACCGACACACAACGAATGACCGATGGACGTCACATCAGGCGTACCGATGGACTGGCCAGGGAAGGTGTCGACGAGCCTGGTGACGTCGTTCTCGGGCACTCCGTCGAGGCAGAAGATGCCCTGCGCCACGCCCACGCGGTCGTCCCGCGTGGGCGCCCAGTAGAACTTCTCCAAACGTCCGTCGCCTTGAACTCTATTGCACATTCTCGCATGCACAGCCACTCACAGTGCTTGCACAGCGCAAGCACGGACACCCACTCCGATGACAGGACACACACACAACATGGGCGCGCGCGTACGTACCAATGGACTGGCCGGGGAAGGTGTCGACGAGCCTGGTGACGTCGTTCTCAGGCACGCCGTCCAGGCGGAAGATGCCCTGCGCCACGCCCACACGGTCGTCGCGTGTGGGCGCCCAGTAGAACTTCTCCATGCGCCCGTCACGGATCAGCGGCGCGTACAGCGTCGAAAAGTCGTTGCCCGTCACAATGATGGGCACTCGGGGGATCTCGTCCTTGTTGTACCTGCGGGGTCAAGGGAAAAAAAATAGATTGAGGGGGGAGGGGGGAGGGAGAGAGGGGGAGAAGGGGAGCATCATAAGAGCGCCATGCATAAGCTGACAAAAATACAGAGAACAAAGGGGTGAGGGGAGCATTCCCGTCAGCGGGGGAGAATCAAGTCCCAAGAAAAGAAACGAGTAAGTCAGCGCAAAGGTCCGAAGGTATGTCCGGGAGACATCCGTCAGTCAATCAGTCAGGCACGTCCACCCCCCCTTTCCCTTCCCCAACCCAACACTCCCCACATCATCACATCCCATTCCGATTGAGCTGCTTCCACGATCCCGCTATGCCTCGCCACTCACATGCCGGGGAGCTGCACGTTGGTGGGGTTATCGGCGATGTTCATGAGCGTGGCGTTGACCATCTGGTTGTTCACAGTGTACTGCGTCGTGCCGCCCATGCGGCCCGCGCCCGCGTCGAGGTCGTTGATGAAGAGGCAGCACATCTTGCCCTTCTTGATCACGTCCGACGCCTCGCGGTACCGCTGCCGAATCAAAGCCGCCGGCTCGCCGGCGTTTCCGGACTCGAGCTCTCCCGCGCTCATCATGATGGGGCTGCGGGGGGGGGTGGGAAGGGGGGAGGGGGGAGCGGGGAGAGGGGGAAGGGGTGGGAGACGCGGAAAGGAGGAAGGAGACGGTTGAGGAGAGGAGAGAGACGGAGTAGGTCCCATGCGGCCCGCGCCCGCATCGAGGTCGTTGATGAAGAGGCAGCACATCTTGCCCTTCTTGATCACGTCCGACGCCTCGCGGTACCGCTGCCGAATCAGCGCCGCCGGCTCGCCGGCGTTGCCGGACTCGAGTTCTCCCGCGGACATCATAATCGGGCTGCGGGGAAATGGGAGAGGGGAGGGGGGAGCGGGGAGAGGGGAGCGGGGAGAGGGGAGCGGGGAGAGGGGAGCGGGGAGAGGGGAAAGGGGTGGGAGACGCGGGAAGGAGGAAGGAGACGGTTGAAGAAAGGAGAGAGACGTGGTAGGTCCCATGCGGCCCGCGCCCGCGTCGAGGTCGTTGACGAAGAGGCAGCTCTAGTAACTGGTTAGTATGAACGACTAGGCAAGCGTACAGCGGACGAGGAAAGGGAGGGAGGGGCGAGCGACGAAAAGGGAAGGAGGGCCAGCGACGAAAGGGGTGGGAAGGAGAGCGACGAAAAGGAAGGGTGGGAGGGCGAGCAACGAGAAGGGAGGGCGAGCAACGAGAAGGGAGGGCGAGCAACGAGAAGGGAGAGCGAGCAACGAGAAGGGAGAGCGAGCAACGAAAAGTAAGGGAGGGGGAGCGAAGGAAGGGCGAGAGAAGGAAGGGCGAGCGAAGGGCGAGCGAAGGGCGAGCGAAGGGCGAGCGACGCACTTGATGCCGAGCTTGGCGAAGATGAGCTCCATCTGGAACGTCTTGCCCTGACCCTTGCCTCCCCACACTCCCAGAATGAGCGGCACCTGTAACGAACGAACGAAAGGGACATTGACGAAATCACAAGGCGTTGTCAGTCACCGTGACTTCGCGAATTTATGTGGAGGCTCAACTGTTTCCGAACGCAGTACATGTTGTCATTCTAACGCCGGCTATGTTACGGAGGAAGTCCCAACAGGATGAAAAACAAGTCTTCGCATGTAGCCATGCGATGCGATGTCCAAGAGGCGTCAATACCGCAACAGCTAAGAGCAACTTGAGCCATGCGTGTGGTGCCTGAGGAGGCATCAGTACGTACCTCGAGGTTGCGCCATTTCATGAAGTTCTAACAGGCTGAAAAACACGTCTCATCTTGAAGCCGTATGATGGATGGCTAAGGAGGCATGAAAAGGAATGTTTTACCTTGTCGATGGGCAGCTTCATGAAGTTCCAGCGAACGTTAAAACAAGTCTACGTATGAAAGCATTCTGACGGATGTCCGAGAACGAATAGAGAGACATGCATTACCTTGATGTTGGGCAGCTTCATGAAGTTCTTGGCGAGATGCACGACGACCTTGTCCATGAACGCGGGAGCAATGTAATAGCCGTCCTTGGTGTTGTCCCACTGCAGGCTGCACGCACCACCATGCCATGACAGCAATGCCAGGGAAGCTAAGGTTAGGCATTTCACTCCATGACAGCTACAAAATAGCCTTCACCGGGAAGCATTCAAAACTCTGGTAAAAAAGAAACCTGCAAAACAACAAACTGTAATAGCTCGAAACGGCTCACTGACGACATGGTAAGTGATTTACCTCCTTTGGCCTTGGCTGACGTAATCGTACGACGACAGGACAGCCTTGTGCGTGCCAATGCCTTGAGCACCCTGCACGCAGCACAACACCAGGTCAGCTCACGACCGCGAATATACTACGTCTCAACAGACCGAAAAACGAAAGGAAAAAAGCAGAAGGATAACGAAGTTTTTTCCTGCAATTCAATGCCTGCTTTCGTTCCCGTTCTCCTTCCGCGGTGCAACACCAACTTGCATTTACATCCAGAGGAGCTGACTTCTCGAGGAACTAACATCGAAAGGTTCTGACAAAAACATGGAACTAACGTCCCAAGGAGCGTATACCGCAAGGAGATGAATAGAAAGGAAATGACGTCCCAAGGAACTAACACTGAGCTGACATAGAAATGAGTTGACTTCCAAAGGCTCACCTGGAAGGCGGCGTCAACCATGCCGTAGCCGCGGGTGATGTCCTGCTGGTCGTCGGACCCATCGCGGCCCAGCCCACCCCAACGGTCACCAGCCATGCACACCACGCGCGCGTCCGACTTCTTCACTGGCAGCGCAGCGCTCGCGGCCTTCGCCTGTGGTTTGGAGCCCAGGAATGACGACTTCAGCGTCGCCGTCTGCGCTGCGACAGGGGTCTTAGCGATGAGGGAAGCCATGGTTGCTGGAGTTAAGTTACACTGCTCGGTGTAGAATTAGTGGAGATTCAAACACGAGCAGAATAAGGAGCTCCAGCTGTGAGAAAATGACAATACTCTTGCAAAGTGGGTCCCGGAATTGGCCTAGAAAGCTTCTAGGGAGACCCTCTCAAGCATACTCGTTTGAAGCGGGTTTCGTTACGAACCAGGTTCGCCACACTATCAGGGTCAGCAGCACCACAAGCTCGACCAAAAGCGGGAAGATCCAGGCTGACGTGGCATCGGAAAGTTTATGAACTGCTGGCCATCCCAGCTTTGTCGCCACGTGGAATGGTCTCTCTGACGCAAACATTGAGGCTCGAAACTCACCGTTGATTGTCTCGGTGGAATCTCCCATCGTGCTGGCGTTGATCCCTTCTTCGTCAGGACTCCACCAAGGAGGCAATCCATTCTGTCAGATGTGTGGTGCAGATGCAAACGTTGTCCTAATCGGCTAACGAGGCTGTGGCTGTGGCCACTTGACGAAGGCGGTATCTTCCACGTGGAGTACGAAGACTTGTCATTCAACGGCTTTGTTGGGCTCCAAAATTGAATCGGTGATGCGCGGTGCTGTTTTTATACGCAGTGAATGGAGCATTTCAAAGAAGCCTAGTTGACAACAAATGCAAATGCAACAGCATAATCTCATACTAAAAATGCATGTACACCATGATCAACACATTTGATGGGAAGGTAATACACTGAAAAGGGCAACGTCTGTTTACACCACATAAACAGCCAATCCAAATTATGCAGGGATGTCATAAGCAGAGACCCTCTTGGAGGTGTCCGCAACAAAAAGCTTTCGACCGCGTACCCCAAATGATGTAGAAAGATAATTCACCTGCCACATGTGCCAAAAAGAAGAAAGCTCGCATATTCGAAACACATGGGAAGGCGCCTTCATTTGTGCAAGGCAATGCGCGACACATGCAAAGAAAGAGGACTTGGAACAAAAAAATGGAAATGACACCCATATACGGTACTGCATCAAGAAGCTTGAGTCATTTCGTCCTTCCTTCTCCCCACCATGCTTCTCCCAATAAATTTCCTCAAATTCCCCCTACCTCCAACTCAAATAAGTTTCGAAAAGCCTTATAGCCCAAGAACTGAGAATGCTTAATGTCTTGCACATCTTCCTTTCATCCATATACCTTATCCTCCCCCGCCTCTCGCCCTCACCTTCTGCCCACGCTGTACGCGAATGATTGGCGCCAACATTCTCCACCTTCCATCCCTCCTTCCACCCCCCCCCTCCCCTCCCCCTCCATCTCTCACCTTCCTTCCGTGCTGTGCTCTTTGCAAATGATAAAAGCCAACATCCCCCTTCGTCTAATGTCCCACCCCTACCACTCACCTTCCGCCCATGCTGTATGCAAAAATGCCAACAGCCCCCTCTCTCTAATGCTCCACCCCTACCCCTCACCTTCCGCCCATGCTGTATGTGAATAATTGGCACCAACGGTTCCCTCCCGCCCGCCGCTTTCCGCCCTTCATCCTCGTTAGCGTCAGACTCACTATCACCGCTATCTGCCCCGCTGCCCTCTCTAGCTCGGGACGAACATGCAGAGGAGGAGGAAGCGGGAGAGGAGGAGGAGGAGGAGGAGAGAAAGGAAGAAGAGGAGGAGGAGGAGGAGGAGGAGGAGGAGGAGGAGGAGGAGGAGGAGGAGGAGGAGGAGGAGGAGGAGGAGGAGGAGGAGGAGGAGGAGGAGGAGGAGGAGGAGGAGGAGGAGGAGGAGGAGGAGGAGGAGGGAGAGAGTGCATGCGCCACATCCCACAGCAGCACAAGTCGGTCATTGCCCCCAGAGGCGAGGAGAGGGGCAGAGGGGGGAGCAAAGCGACAGAAGGTGCTGGGGGAAACATGGGGGGAGGGGAGGGGAGAAGGGTTGAGGGAAGCTTGTATCACTTATAAGATCTCTCAAAAGTAACTCCGAAGTGTTTGAGTGTTCTCAATCGAATTTGGAGGGGTTGGAAGTGAGCTGAGGCTCTGAGGTTGGAAGTATCATTCCAGAGCAGCACAAGCAAGTGGTGGAGAGGTGAGCAACAACTCTGCAAAGCATCAACTCTTGAGACCCAAAACCATCCATCTCCACTAAAAGTGAGTTGAGCGTTGTCTCACACTCATCATTAGCACCAGGGGCTCATAAAGTGCTGGTGGAGGCATGGGGGAAGCGGGGTTGGCAGGCAGAGAGAGGTGGCCAGTGGATTTATCTCTTTGAGATAAAGAGAAATAAAAAGAGGAGGTGGCTACGAGACATTATGAAAAGAGGAGGTGGACAGGGCCTAAGAAACAAAGCGAAGTAGCAAAGGAGGAGGTGGAAGGCTGATGTACCCCAGAGTCAGAAAGGGGCGGAGGGAGAGGAGGGGAGGGGGGCGGGGGGAGTGGAGGGGAGGGGGGCGGAGGGAGAGGAGGGAAGAGGGGCGGGGGGAGTGGAGGGGAGGGGGGCGGAGGGAGAGGAGGGAAGAGGGGCGGGGGGAGTGGAGGGGAGGGGGGCGGAGGGAGAGGAGGGAAGAGGGGCGGGGGGAGTGGAGGAGAGAGGGACAGAGGCAGGGCCAATGCGGAAGAAAGCTGCTGGTGTAAACAGCAAGACCAAGGATCCCATTCCGCTTCGAAACTCACAACACACTCACACAGCAAAAACTGATGCACAACGACAGAAGTGACTTTTGAGTCGACTCACAGCACAGGTCACCTCGTTACAATGGCACACAACACATGTTCTGATATTCCAAACACACTCACACAGCAGAGACCGATGCGCAATGACCGCGCATCCCTCCTTCTCTCGCTGCTACCATTCCTCCTCCCCCACTTCCCCCACCCCCCTCACCACTCCCACCACTCCCCTCACCACTTCCCACCCCACCAGCTGTAGCAGCTGCTGTTACTGCCATGGGCCCTCCAAAGACTAGTAGCCGAGCTCCTTTCCTATTTGCCTCCACCACCTCCTCTTCTCTCTCCGCCCTCTCTGCCCCCCCTCCCCTTTCTGCTGCAGATGCATCCCCGTTACAAGCTTCCTCGTTACCCAGTTCTGAGTCCTCTGCAATCGTTGCAGGAACAGCAGCAATGCTACCCCTAGGTCGTTCACTCCCCCCTCTTCCCTGTCTTCCTCCTCCTCCTCCTCCTCTCCTACCCCTTCCTCTTCCTCTCCCTCTCCCCCCACTCCTCCTTCTCTCTTCCTGCCCTCCACCTCCTCCTCCTCCTGTCCTCCTCTCCCCCTCCCCTTCCACGTCAGCATCAGCATCCCACACTGCTACAGTGCCATCGCCCTGCGCCACGGCCAATAGCGTCAAACCACGTGTCCTCCAAGAATCACCACCAGCACCAGTGCGAGCAGAAGCAGCAGCAGCAGCAGCAGCAGCGGTAGTGGCAGTGCCACCAGCAGTGGCAGCAGCAGTGGTGGTGGCAGTTCCGGCAGCAGTGGCAGCAGCAGTGGTGGTGGCAGTGCCGGCAGCACTAGGAGAAGCCCTCACAGGAGGAATGTGGAGAGCAGATAGAGAGTGGATGAAGGGAGGATTGCACATGCGAGACGAAATGGAGGAGGAGGAGGGTGCACTGGGGGAGGGTGTATTGGGGGAGGTGGTATCTGCCGACAGGTTGACTGAGCGGAGGGGTCGGCCAGAGGCAAAGTCCCATTGAGCCCAGGTACAGTCGAGAGCAGCTGAGAACACTGCAGGGCGATCGTTGGGAGGAGGGGAGGAAAGGGAAGGGGTGACGGCTCTGGTCTGGTGATTATGGAGAGAACATTAACAAGCGGAGGGGTCGGCCAGAGGCAAAGTCCCATTGAGCCCAGGTACAGTCGAGAGCAGCTGAGAACACTGCAGGGCGATCGTTGGGAGAGGATGAGGGGAGAGGAAGAGAAGATGAAACATTTATAGAGGGATTTAGGCCACAGGCAAAGTCCCATTGAGCGCAACGATAGTCGAGAACTTATAACGAGACTACTTATAAGTCTCCATCGAGGAGACTACTTTTGAGGTGTCCAAAACACTTATAACGAGAAAGGGGGGAACAATGACAGGTTTAATGTTTGGAGTTAGCACGGAAGAGGTGGCAAGAGGTTACTGGGGCACGCAAAAGGTTGTGATGTAAGGGTGGTGCCAAGTGTCTTTTGAGTCGACTCAATAGTGACCTCGGTGCCGTTGTTTAAAGGGCGGATTCGATCGCAGTGTCTTTTGAGTCGACTCAAAAGTCAACTCACCTCGGTGCCAAGTGTGATACTTGGTTCCGCGTGGTTGTGGTCCGGTTCGGCTTTACGAGAATGTTGAATTTGAGGCGAAACGGACCGCGAGGCGCCTTAAAAAAACCGAAGTGCGATGTTTCGATCCGGGCGGTTGTGACCTTGTGATTCGACTCGGCTTAATGTCTATGTTGAAACTCACAGCTATGGCTGTGACTGAATGGGATTGAGTACACGGGATTGAGTACGCATCAGATCAGAACTCACATTGCCATGGCTGCTTGGGGTGGAACAGGACAGAGCTGCAGATCTGCCGCACAGACATGACATGCATGCATGGTGTGGGTGGAGGGAACAGGGAAATACAGGGGAACACAACACATAGAGTTGCATCTATGAACACAAGGGATGCGTAGGGAAAGCAGAACGGAGCTGCAGATCTGCCGCACAGACATGCATGGTGTGGATGGAGTAGAGGGAAGAGGAAGGAAGAGGAGGGAAGAGGAGGAAAGTGGAGGGAAGAGGAAGGAAGAGGAGGGAAGACGAGGAAAGTGGAGGGAAGAGGAGGGAAGTGGAGGGAAGAGGAGGGAAGTGGAGGGAAGAAGAGGAAAGAGGAGTAGAGCATGGGTGAAATGAAACTGAATGAATCTTCATAATTGACATGTGTGATTTGATCACGGGATTTGGATTGAGGGAAACTAACCCAACTACAACCACCATATTGGTAATTTGTTGACCAATTGAGCTGAATTTCCCAACTACTGGGTGTATAACTTGGTAATACACCTCGGGCTTTGGTCACATTACCAAGTTATGGAAGTTTTTTTAGGCGCCACGGAAATTACCGAGCTATGGACACCCCGAAGGGTTCGATGTAGCGAGTGGTTGATCAGGCTGATGACCTGATGAGAGGGGAGAAGAGGGGGCAAGACACGGGATAGACAACGGTTCAGTGCGGTGCAGGGAGAGGTTGGCCCCTCGAGAGTGTTTTACCGAACTGTGCACGCTGCGAAGGGTTCGATTCCGTGAGTGGTTAATCAGGCTGATGACCTGATGAGCGAGAAAGGAGGGCAAGACACGGGATGGAGAATGGTTCAGTGCGGTGCAGAGAGTGGTTGATTAGGCTGACGACCTGATGGGGGGAAAATGGGGGCTGGGACACATAATAGGTGCATCGCAGTTGTGTTCTGTTACAGGCAGTAGCGCTAACGAGAATGCGCAAGGTGTACAAGACAAGGTGTACAACAAACTACTTAGATCCATTTAGATCTAGACACAGAGCGACCTCAGTTGGCTTGCTGTGATCGAATCCGCCTTTCAACAACTTCCAGGCAGTAGCGCTAACGAGAATGCGCAAGGCGGACAAGACAAGGTGTACAAACAGACTATTTTTGAGTCGACCCAAAAATGAGGATTGGGGCGCACATAAGGTGCACCGCACCGCACACAAGCTGTTCTGGAATGTTCCAGGCACTAGCGCTAACGAGAAGGAATAGATGTCTTGACTTGTGCACGCATGCACCATGACTTGGCTGGATTTCACTGCAACAGAATTAATACCAACATATAATTCACAATTTGCATGCACAAACCTTGACTTGGCCTGAATCGTCTGCTGCTGCCAGGAAGTCGCCTTTCCGGTCCACTGCCAGCTGGTGGAGAGCGGTGGAGAGGGGTTATGAGAGGTGCATACAGTCATCTGTGAGTTAGCCTCGATGGTTTGCGAGGGTTTGAAGAATCGAGCTGAGGAGGATACAGAAACGATAGTGTGTTTTACAAGAATAAAATGCACAGGCAGAGGGAGGGGGGAGTGGATGGAAAGGGCTGGGGAGAGCGATCAAGGGAAGAGAGAGAGAGAGTGAGTGAGTGAGTGAGTGAGTACAAAAGATTAGTATTACAGCGTTGATTTCATCAGCATTGAATGACAGCCGTCGGATTATGGCCTCTGATCCATCTGACGATCCTCCTGCCTGACAATCAACATGCATCCCATCCAGCCATGCCTCAAATCACATCCCATTCATGCCATGACATTCAATGCCATGTCATGTCACGCTATCCCATGCCATACCGTTCCTTGCCACGCCATGGCGACCCATCCATCACATCCACAAACAACCCCATAACATGCATGGACAACCCCACGCCATGCATGGACAGCCACCATGCAATTGCAACGATGACAAAAATAGACATCTGAGAAGAAGGAACATGAGGAGATGTCGTCCCAAAACGAACATCTAGGGTATTATTGAAATTTCAGAAAAAATGATGAGATGGTGAGATGGAGAGTGTTATGGATAACCCTCTCTTACTGCAGATTGGGTCTAGCAAAGAAAAAATAAAAATACAGACGGTTCTGCTGCAGCTGTAGCACATGGTTCCCCCCCCCCCCTTTCCTCTCACATTTTCCCCTTCCCCCAACAGCCCCCCCCTGGTCTCCACACTCCCCCCCTTTCCCCCCTTCTCCCCCCCCCCCCTTCCCCCCTTCCCCCCCCTTTCTCCCACCCATCCAGCTCTCGCCTTTTCTTCCCTCCGCACCTTTCGGCAGTCAACAAGGAAGACAGAGGAGCTGGCAGCAGCTGCCAGCACATGCCACTTCTCCCCCACCCCCTTCCCTCCCCCCCCTCCACTTCTCAACCTTCTCTCCCTTCCCCCACTTCTCCCCGCACCTTTCGTCTGTCAACAAGGAAGACAGAGGAGCTGGCAGCAGCTGCCAGCACATGTTCCTGACCTGGCGGAGGGATGGAAGGAGGAGGGCATGGGAAGGGAGGGGGCCAAGTTGGTAAAACCGTATAAGGTTATGCTATGAGCCGGCAGCAGCTGCCAGGACATGTTCCTGACCTGATGATGGGGAAATGGGATGATGGGGGCATGAGATGGGCATGATGATGGGGCAAGGCAAGTAGGTAGGTAGAGGCGTGTTTGGTTATGTCAGGAGTTTGCAGCAGCAGCGAGGTGACTTTTGAGTCGACTCAAAAGTCACCAAGTAGGTAGAGCCATGTTTGGTTATGTCAGGAGTTTGCAGCAGCAGCAGCTGCCAGCACATGCTCTTGCGCTGATGGGGGGATGGGAGGAGGAACACAGGCACCGGGGGAGGAGGGGATGAGAGGGGAGGTGGGCAAGTAGGTATGGCCGTGTAAGGTTATGTCAGGAGTGGGCAGCAGCTGCCAGCACATGCTCTTGCGCTGATGGTGGGATGGGAGGGAGGACGAGGGCATGAGAAGGGATGGGAAGGAAACGTGGCCTCGTGGCATGACATAAGCTTCAGGTGCGAGCAGCAATTGCCAAAGCATGCTCTTACGCTGATGGGGGATGCAGTAAGGGAAGGGAGTCTGAGGGAAAGAGACAACGAGAGCGGAAACAAATGGTGCGGGCGGACAGAGGGAGGTGCGAGGCCGTAGGAGTGGCGGATTGAGAAAAATCCAAAGAAGATCCGACCTTGGGAGTGGGGATCACAAGGGGGGGCCCGGTGCAAGGAGCAACGTACCTGGGAGAAAGAGCAGGCTCGGCACCGAGGCTCCGCCGAAGCAGGTGAGGTGGATGGGAGGGGTTTGCGCTGGGGAGCGCAGGTCACAGACTGCCATGCTGCCGTCCTGTATTGCATGCAAGGATCCAGGAATGCAGGGGTGCAAGGATGTGTGCAATGTTCATGTAGGAAAGGCTTGTGAGTGAGGATCAGGAAAGGCTTGTGAGTGAGGATCAGGAAAGGCTTGTGAGTGAGGATCAGGAAAGGCTTGTGAGTCATCTCAGTGAGTGAGGACTCTACTGTCATCTCACTAAGGACCGCAGGTCTCACACCGCCATGCTGCCATCCTGAATGGGGGTGAATGCACGGGGGCGTGCAGTGATGTGTGCAGTGCATGCAGCGATGCAGGAATGCAGGGATGAATGAGTGGAATCAGAAGTCGCCTCGCTGAGGCGAGCAGGTCACAGACCGCCATGCTACCATCCTGAATGGCGGTGAATGCATGGGGGCATGCAGGGATGCGTTTGTGCAGGGATGCAGGGACAAGCGCACACATCATTGCGTTATGATTGGATTCATCATAAGGCACGTCGCTGCTTCTCACAGGAAGGTTGCTTTAGGGAGTACGAGGAGTGCAGGCATGTGTGTATAATGGGTGCATCATGGGTGTGTGATGAGAACCACACATGCATGGACTGAAAAACCGAACAGCATATCCGCGTAAAAAACATTACAGGCATAGTTGAGAACTAAACGAGCTAACGGCTCCACAACTGACGATCGACGACCACGCGGGTTTGAGTTGACGGGTTTCGCAAACCCTGATAACGCGAATTTCCTTCCGCTAGCGTCCAGAGCGAGATGCCTCGTAGTGTCTAATGCGGGACAAATCGTTTCCGCGACATGAGTTGATTACTATGCTAGACTAAGTAGCGTGCGAATCTCGACGCGCCTCACCTCGCTTCCAGTCGCGAGGAGGCAATCGGAGGAGTCCACGTGGCAACATAACACGGAGTCCGTGTGGATTCGCGGGAGCAGAGTGCGCGTCAGCGAATCAGAAGCCGACCTCGACGCCATGGTGAGGAGGTGAATTGGTGACAGTAGCGAATGGAGACTAAATGCAGACCGACCGATGCGTTAGGAGCAGAATGTCCGGAGCTCTCTCCCAATACGATTGGTGTGGAAGTTAATCGACTGGAAATTACTCGAGTTTTTTTCTGCTCAATATCACACAAGTTATACCATCATCGTACAGCGAACATCTCCCAAGTTGGGGACGGCCACAATATCGGTTCAGTAAAAGGGAGCTTGGAATTTCTGGGTTGAAGTGAGGACTCCGACAGGGTTTTGAAAGTTATGATTCATCAGGGTTTTTAAAGTTATGATTCATCAGTGGTTGTTTAGAGTAACGGAAGCCAAGCCTTTCCTCTTTCCGTCAACCCAATCCCATTTCGAAATTCATTTGTGGTGCCTCCGAAAAGGCACTCCAAAAATTATTGTATGCCGCTTGATGAGAAACACACACGGTATTCTTTAGTAAAAGGCGAAAGAACAGTTCGCTATGTGTGTGACTCACGGCTGGTGGCTGACCCGATGTTGCTGAGAGCAACTAATACTCATAGAAGGCTTGCATGATAACTGCGCTGTGGGACGAACATGACGACGTGGCAAGCCAAAAACCAAAGCTCGTGCGGATTTGGAATGCACAATGGTGCTGAACCAAATTGCTTGAAAGGAACACACACATCACCTGGCGCTGATGGTTCTATGCACGGTTTTGTTGGTTTTGACAGGGTTGAGAACGATTCTCGGTAACTACCTCTTTGGGCTGTAATGTACCAGACAAGGCCTCAAAACGGGAGCTCAGGGCACTCAGTCGCCGCCTTGGTGTTTCAAATTGTCAGTCGGCTAGCTTTCCCTCTGGCACTAGTAGCCACTCATTGCGTTTCGAACCGCTTGATCCGCCACTTATCTTTAATATTAGGTCTCCACCGTCCGACTCATTCGAGAGTGCTCCTCTTATCCGCTTGTGTAATTGCACTGCGTGAAATCGTTATTTTTGGCTTGCTTACGCCGTTCCGTCGCACAGTTTTCGTTAGCGTTCGCCAGCTTTCGCCATCATGGTCCGTTTAACCGCTGATCTGATCCTCGAATCGCCGCAATATTTCAACGCGGTGCGAGAACGAGAGATCGACTTGAGAGGTGCGTGACGTGTTATCATCTCTCGAAACTTGTGAATCTCTACTGTAATGAACAGAAACGGATTACGATTTGTGAGGCACCTTAAACTTCATTGTGCGGTATTCCACGAAAACAGATTACGCCAAGGTCTAAAAGCGCCATAGTACAAGAAGCAGTTTGCTTTCCGCCGGATCGATTACTTTTCCTCAATTTAGGAAGAACATTTGTCATTTGGTTACGACATGACCGGGATAATACAACGAAACTCTGGCAATTCCACATTATCAACTTTGGCTATTTGAATCTGGATGGTCACTTCCATTTTTAATCTCCCTGCATATCATGCCAACGCAGTCGAGCTAACACCCATTTCAGATAGATCACCGTATCTTCCGCCACCATCCATGAAAACTTACTCTTTAGCCAGATGTACCTCCGTTTCAAGCGCACCGCTTTCACCGTGTACGCAATGTGTGGCTGAATGATTCGTTTGTACCATGTGTGGCTGAATGTCCCATCATGCCTTGCAGGGAATAAGATCGCAGTCATTGAAAATCTTGGAGCCACAGAGGTGAGCCTTTTATGTGCTTCCCATTAAACTTCTTCACCAAATTAGTGGCTTGAATATTGCACTTCCGAAATTCGAGAGCTTATATTTAACCTAATTTTTATACCCTTTCCCTTAGACCCAATTCCATAAACCCCATTTTTGAACCGATTCCCTGATTCTCATATCCCCCTCCTAGACCCGTCCTCTCAGAACCAGGCTCATTTTCCCTTACCTTCTGATCCATTGTCCTAAACCTTCCTCCTAAACTAGCCCATTTCGTCATCTCGACTCGCAGCCCCTTCCATGCCTTCCCCTCCCTTCTGCTGCATCCTTCCCAGCTGCATCCTTCCCTACTGCTACACACAAATTTTTAACAGCTCCCTAACCCGCCACTCCCCTTTTTTCCCCTCTGACCACACCCATGTCTTTTGATAGAATTCTCAAAAGCCCCTCTGACCGCACCCATGTCTTCCCATCCCACGACCTTTTTGACAGCATTGACCTGCCAGATAATACTAAAGCCGCAATGGAAGGATTCCCGCTGCTGCATCCATCATTCCCGTACCCCTCACTCCTCAATTTCCCCTTCCGTCCGCTTACCCTTCTTTCTGTCCCTGTCAATCTGTATGCTCCCTCCCGCCCTGCCCTTTCAGGACCTTTTTGGCAGCGGTGACCTGTCAGACAACGAGAAAGTGTAGAAGCTGGAAGGGTTCCCGCTGCTGCTCCCCCTCTTTGACAGCGTCGACTTGTCAGACAATGAGAAAGTGAAGCTGGAGAATGCCAATCAATACTCCTTTCCAACCCCTGTATGATGGATCCTACCCCACCCCACCGCACAGGACCTGTTTGACAGCATCGACCTGTCAGACAATGAGATAGTGAAGCTGGAGGGGTTCCCTCTGCTGCGGCGGCTCTCCACTCTGCTGCTCTGCAACAACCGCATCACCCGCATCAGCCCCCAGCTAGGTAGTACGTATCAGATGGAGGGACTGTGTGTGTGCTGCTGTTACTGTGTTACCATGTTACCAGCTCGGCTCTCCACGCTGCTGCTCTGCAACAACCGCATCACCCGCATCAGCCCGCAGCTAGGTAGTACGTATCATGTGGTGAGGCTGTGTCTGTCTGGTGCTGTTACCGTGTTACCAGCTCTGCTCTCCACGCTGCTGCTCTGCAACAACCGCATCACTCGCATCAGCCCCCAGCTAGGTCGTAGGTAGGTGCTGTTACTACGTTACCATGTTACCAGCTCGGCTCTCCACGCTGCTGCTCTGCAACAACCGCATCACTCACATGAGCCCGCACCGCAGCTAGGTTGTGCGTATCATGTGGTGAGGCTCTGTGTGTGCTGCTGTTACCGTTCTCCTCCTGTTGCACCCTTTCTCTACCCGCTGTCCTCCCTCTTGCCCAAAGCCCAACTTCCCAAGCTACAGACCCTAGTGTTGGCCAACAACCGCCTCTCCAACTGTCCCCCGTTTCCCCTATACCCCCCTTCCCCTCTCTTCCTCTCCCCTCCCCCTCCCGCCAACCACCAACCCAAATGCCCAAGCTACAGACCCTAGTGTTGTTGGCCAACAACCACCTCACCACCCGGCGGATCTACACTCACTGGCTTGCCTGTCCCACTCCCTCACCTCCCGCCTTCCCTTTTCGCCCCTTGTTTTCCCCTTCTATCCAATGCATTCCCGCCCCTGCAACCAATCCCCATCCCCACCAGCCCATCTCCCCAAGCTACAGACCCTAGTGTTGGCCAACAACCGTCTCACTAACCTGGCAGACCTCGACCCGCTCGCGTCCCTCGCCCACTCCCTCACCTCGCTCTCTCTCCTCGACAACACGGTTGTCAAGAAGCCCAAGTACCGCCTCTACGCCATTCACCTGCTGCCGAAGCTGCGTCTCCTAGACTTCCAAAAGGTCAAGCTGAAGGTGCGTTTGATAGTATGTGCCTCCCTCTCCCATCTCTGCTCCTCGCTCTCTCTCTCTCTCTCTCTCTCTCTCTCTCTCTCTCTCTCTCTCTCTCTCTCTCTCTCTCTCTCTCTCTCTCTCTCTCTCTCCTCGACAACACGGTTGTCAAGAAGCCCAAGTATCGCCTCTACGCCATCCACCTGCTGCCGAAACTACGCCTGCTGGGCTTCCGCAAGGTCAAGCTGAAGGTACGTCATGTCAGTGTGACTCTTGCATTGACTCATGCCAGGTACGTCACCTGCTGCCGAAACTACGCCTGCTGGACTTCCGCAAGGTCAAGCTGAAGGTGTGTTGAGTGCCCCTGTCCTTCCCCCTCTCTCCCCCACTCCCTCACCTCGCTCTCTCTCCTCGACAACACCGTTGTCAAGAAGCCCAAGTATCGCCTCTATGCCATCCACCTGCTGCCGAAACTACGCCTGCTTGACTTCCGAAAGGTCAAGCTGAAGGTGTGTTGAGTGCCCCTGTCCTTCCCCCTCTCCCCCTCCCTCTCTCCCTCACCTCGCTCTCTCTCCTCGACAACACTGTTGTCAAGTAGCCCAAGTACCGGATCTACACTACACCATCCACCATCCACCTCGCCCAAGTACCGGATCTACGCCATTCATCTGCTGCCCAAGCTGCGTCTGCTCGACTTCCGGAAAGTCAAGCTCAAGGTACGTTGGCTAATGCGCCTGTCCATCCCTCCAGCTCTCTCCCCCACTCCCTCACCTCGCTCTCTCTCCTCGACAACACCGCTGTCAAGAAGCCCAAGTACCGCGGTAGACGCCATGCCATCCACTCCACCTGCTGGCCAATATGCGTCTGCTAGACTTTCAAAAGGTCAAGCTGCAGGTGTGATGTGCGTACATGAGCGTTTTACACTTTGAAGCCTTAGCAATCCTTTCTTTCTCCCCCACCCCCTCCCCCCCCCTCCCCCCCTCCCTCCCCTCCCTCCCCCACCGTTCCCGTCCCTCCCTCGCCCCTCTTCCCCTCCCTCCCCTCCCTTCCCCCCCTTCCCCTCCCTCCCCTCCCTCCCCCCCCTTCCCCCCCCTTCCCCCCCCTTCCCCTCCCTTCCCCCCCCCCTCCCCTCCCTCCCCTCCCTCCCCCCCCTTCCCCTCCCTCCCCTCCCTCCCCCCCCTTCCCCTCCCTCCCTTCCCTCATCTCCTCCAGGAGAGGCAAGAAGCCGAGGCAACATTCGGAAAGGACAGAGCAGCAGCGGCAGCAGCCAAGCGCGTATCGGCCAACACCTTTGTGCCTCTTCTCCCCCCTTTTCGTCCCTTCACTCCTCCAGGAGAGGCAAGAGGCGGAGGCAACATTCGGAAAGGACAGAGCAGCAGCGGCTGCAGCCAAGCGCGTATCAGCCAACACGTTTGTGCCTGGCGAGGCACTTGCAGAGGCAGGGGGCGCAGGCGGGGGAGGGGAGGGAGCAGCAGCAGCTGGTGGTGCTGGTGGTGATGGCGGGAAGGAGGGAGGGGAGGGTGCGGCTGCAGCAGCAGCGAAAGGGCCAACACCAGAGCAGATCACAGCAATTAAGGTAAAGGTTCTTTCCATGTGTGAAGGTGAAAGTTTTCATGGTGAAAAAGGCATACTAGGTTTTGTGTCTTCATGGGTGATGTTCTGGGGATTTTTTTGCTGGTTTGTTTGTTTGTTTGTTTTGTTTGTTTGGTTTTTTCCTGTATACCAGTAGCATAGATTACACATGTTTTTCTTTTCTTTCTTTCTTTCTTTCCTTTCTTCTTGCCGCGTTACTCGTTTAGCTGAGTTGTCGCTTTACTTATTTAGCTGAGTTATTTAGATTAATTGGTTTCTAGGGATTCCCAAAAAAATATCCGTGCTGTTCACGCTGTCCTTTTTGTGCTTCTCGTACCCCTGCCGCCCCCTGCTCCCCCTGCTGCCCCTGCAGGCTGCAATCAGCACAGCTCAGACATTAGAGGAGGTTGCACGGCTGGAAAAGGTAGGTTGTGTTCTGGTTCGACTCCAAACACGACTCATTACACGCAGCTCAGACATTAGAGGAGGTTGCACGGCTGGAAAAGGTAGGTTGTGTTCTGGTTCGACTCCAAACACGACTCATTACACGCAGCTCAGACATTAGAGGAGGTTGCACGGCTGGAAAAGGTAGGTTGTGTTCTGGTTCGACTCCAAACACGACTCATTACACGCAGCTCAGACATTAGAGGAGGTTGCACGGCTGGAAAAGGTAGGTTGTGTTCTGGTTCGACTCCAAACACGACTCATTACACGCAGCTCAGACATTAGAGGAGGTTGCACGGCTGGAAAAGGTAGGTTGTGTTCTGGTTCGACTCCAAACACGACTCATTACACGCAGCTCAGACATTAGAGGAGGTTGGACGGCTGGAAAAGGTAGGTTGTGTTCTGATTCGACTCAAAACACGACTCATTACACGCAGCTCAGACATTAGAGGAGGTTGCACGGCTGGAAAAGGTAGGTTGTGTTTTGATTCGACTCAAAGCACGACTCATTACACGCAGCTCAGACGTTGGAAGAGGTTGCACGGCTGGAAAAGGTAGGTTGTGTTCTGATTCGACTCAAAACACGACTCATTACACGCAGCTCAGACATTAGAGGAGGTTGCACGGCTGGAAAAGGTAGGTTGTGTTTTGATTCGACTCAAAGCACGACTCATTACACGCAGCTCAGACGTTGGAAGAGGTTGCACGGCTGGAAAAGGTAGGTTGTGTTGCTTCCATGCTAACTGCTGTGCCGTCATGCCAGTTTATGAGACACGTAAAGAATGGCTCAGACGTTTCAATAGGTTGCACGGCTGGAAAAGATAAGTCGAGTTGCAGCTCATCTTGAACCGATCTGTGGTGCACTTCATTTGTTCCGCACAGCACACTACTGCCTTTTAAGAAGGCTTAGTAAGCCTTCTGCACGTCACCCCACTAGCCCATATGCCACACAGTTGTGGAGCTACCGCACCCCATTTGACTCCACCACCACCACACCATACCACTCCCCACCCCACCCCATCCCACCCCACCTTTCCCCGCCCCACCACACCTCACCACTCCATGCAATGCAAAGTTAACTTCCGTGGGGCATCAAGTTGTCATTTTGAGTGTTTGTGTTCGTCCCAAGCTTCAACCTTTTGCTTCATCACAACACAGCACAGCACGTCACCACTCCACGCCACCCAGGGCAGCGTTGATATTAATTTCCATTTTCTTGTAATACTATCTGAGGGCCTGGTCACATTCACCCTACTTCACTCCACCTCACCCCACCCAACCCCGAACCATTCCACCCCATTCCACCCCACCCCACCCCACCCCACCCCACCCCATGACACCACACCAGGCATTGCAATCTGGCCAATTGCCATCAGACATCAAGGTGCCTTCTGCAGATACAGACAAAACAAGCCAACCCATGGAGTAAGTTTTGAGGCATGCCTGCTGCTCCTGCTGCCGCTGCTACCGCTGCTCCTTCTGCTGCTGCCGTTGCTTCTGCGGCGGCTGCTGCTGCTGCTGCTGCTGTTGCTTCTGCGGCGGCTGCTGCTGCTGGTGCTGCTGCTGCTGCATGTGTTGTTCTCATCTGTCTTGCCACTTGCCGGTCATTCCAGGCCAATCCCAATTTACTTGATTGGATCCTTCAAGCCAACCCCTTAGGATCGTGCATCTCTGTGCATTGCTGTTGTTGCATTTCTGTTCACTTTATTTCCTCTTTCATGTTTTTTTTCCATTCTCATACCACCCTGTCACCTGCAGAGCCGATTAATTTCGACATTTGTCTTGTGAAACAAGCTGCCCAGATTGACCCTTCCCTACCTACACTTAAGGGCAATAGCATGGCCCTACTGCCTGCTTTCTTCATTAGTGTGTGATTTGTATTAGCTATAACGTATGTTTTCATCTAATTCTGCCAGCCAGACGGGTACTACACTAGAGTAGCACAGTATAAACAACACTGGCAGCTTGACAACTGACAATTTCACTGGAAAGAATGCACTGCCACCTGACAAGACCCTTGGACACACGAAAGCATCAACTTGATCCATGTTGGAAACAATTAACTTAAGCGCCTCTATCGTGTCGAAACACCAAGTCAGAAGCGAAGCCAAACATATCGAAGCATCAGCGAGTCAACCTTCGGAGGTTGAGCAACTGCTGGAGGTTACGCGAAAGTCAAAGGTCACTGACCTTTGACTTGACAAGTACAGCGCGACAGCAAGGACAAACAACTGACTCGCTATTGAGCAGTTGCCCGAGTCGTCACTGTATCGAACCGCAACAGCAACAGCAAAACAGTTATTAGTTATAACCCTTCATATTCCCTTGTACTCTTATAAAAGGCTTGTATCTCTTTGTGTTTAATCAATCTACTTTGCTCTCACATACCAGCGCAAGGTGGTTCACAACTCTTCATTAAACGCTTCCGCTATTACATCAGTCCTACCAGGAATTTAGTCCTGTAAAGATCCTAAGGGCTTCTTCTCAGCCCAACATGGCATGAGAGCTATCAGGACAAATTCAACTACAATCAAGACACCCACAACGTCACAAGGCATGGCAACGCAGAAGGAGAGAAACTCCTCTAACGGCTCTCCCGTTACTACTCCTACTCCACCTCCTGCCTCTGGCCTACAGACAGAGGAGGGTACGGCAACAAGACCAAGGGCAACATCTACCGAAACTCCCGCAAACCAAGCCGCGGGCTTCGACCCAAGCATGATGGAGAAGTTCTTCTCCTTCATGTCCTTCTACGAACAACACCAGCAAGGGGTACCTGCGGAGTCAAACAACAGCAACAACAACAACGACGTGACACCCATGAGTCTCGATGGCTCGTCTTACGCGCGCGGAAATCAACAGCAGCAGCCTACCTTCGCTCCGTACGAGCCCCAGCGCGGCTCCATCAGCTTTATGCCACACCCGCAGCCTGCACCTGGACAAGAGAAGACACTGGACGCACTTCAAGTTCAGTCGCAATTCGCGCACGTCCTAAAACTGCAAACGACAAGGCCTTTCGACGGAAATGACTTCTTTACCTGGTCATTCGGGTCCGAGCTGATGATGGAAGGCGCGCAGATCCTTGGCTTCTTCGACGGGTCCCTACCATATCCAACACACGGCACACAGTAGGACAAGCAGCAGTACACGTATCAGTCAATGATGGCGTACACAATCCTACTGAGAAACATCACTCCGAATCAGCAGCAGAATATACGGTCTTACCGGGGATACGACAACTCTGCAGAGCTCGCGTACAACCACCTGAAGAACTTGTATCAAGCAACAGACAGCGTCAATCAAAGTCGGTTAATGGCGCAACTGACAACAGTCGAAATGAAACCAGGCGAAAAGGGGATGGCGTATATCAGCCGCTGTCGTGAATTGCGCGATAAACTCTTTCGATGTGGAGGATCGATTTCAGAAGACGCCTTCGTCACAGTCATCATCGGCGGCCTCGGTCCTCAGTGGCGCTCCACTCGCGCCATACTCCGAGCTCATGGAAAAATATCAGAAGCAGCACTCTGCGCCGAGATCCACGCCGAGCAAGAAGATATGGACCTGCAAGAAGAACGACACAAGAGGAAGGCATCAGTGCCCGAATTCGCATTCCACACTCAACGACGCTACAACAACAACAACAATCGGCATCAACCGAAACCAGTACCTCCGTTCTGTCACCTTTGCAAACGTCAGGTCACCCCCGTACACACTGCCCAAACCGGCAGCAGTCAACGCCAACGCAGCGGCCGCTTCGCCCTTCAAGCAGTCAAGTCGCCTCAACGCAAGCGAATCCGACCACTCAAGTACAAGCCCCAACAACATCGACGGGACAACCTGCGCAAGGAACAAGAAACATCGTCAGTTGCATGGCACGGCTGACCGACTCCTGCATCACTGAATCGCCACCGCATTACTCACCAGAAGAACAACTTGAAGAAAGAACTCCTCGCCGCGAGACACTGGAGCCAAACCCAACCTACGCTGCCATCGCCCAGAGCGAGCCGTCTGGGAAAGATACGTGGTTCTTGGACAGTTGCTGCGGACAGCACATGTGCTCTTCAAGACGCTTTGTTCAACGCGAACACCAACTTCAACGCGAGGTCGTCATCACCGTCGCCAACAATCAGAATCTGCGCACACGACGACAAGGCGTAGTGCAACTTCAGTCACGAGAGACAAACGTCATCCTGCAGATGTCGAAGGTTTTAATAGCAGAAGGGCTCGGCTACAACTTACTGAGCGTCAGTCAACTGATGGCGAAGGGCATCCACCTCGAAGCAGATAGCACCACTCAGGAGTTCAAGTTGTACCACGGGAAGGGCGGTCTCTACATCGGCAAGGAAGTTCTGAAGAATAACGTCTTCGTCCTCGACTTCGTCCCAGATCTCGGCACCGCTGATAGCGACGGGATCGTCACCTTCACCTCCTGGACACACCCACCAGATCTTGACCCCGACTTCAGTCCCGAAGGCTTCTGGTACTCGCACACCATCCCTGAGGCAGAACGAACAAGAGCGTTAGCAACAATTCAACAAACATCGATAGCAGCAGAGACAACATCGGCAGCAGCAGAGACAACATCGGCAGCAGCAACTCCATCAGCAGCAGAGACAACAACGGCAGTAGCAACGGCAACATCAACACCAATCGCTGGTCTTTCAACGGCACCGATCGACTACACTTCACCAAATCCTGCGCAGCAGCTGAACCCAACTCAACGGGAAGTCCATCGAAGCGCCAACTTCACCGCCAGCTTTTACTCCAACTCCGACATATATCGGCGCTCACCCGGACATCGCGCCACCGAAGATATCTGGCACGCACGAATGGGACATCCAAGCAACACGGTGTTAAACAACACAATCAGAGCAGGCGTGCTTGATAAAGATTCACTGCTCCTAACCGACGGAAGCGAACTTCGACGAGCTCGCGGAACGTGCTTTACCTGCCCCGAAGCTGACTTACCACATCGGCCGTTCGCTTCTCATCACAATCCCAGCGCACCAGCTTACGCACCACTCGAGAAAGTGTACAGCGACATCCTGTACAACCGCGAACCTGGACAAGGAGCATACAGCTACACCATCACGTTCATCGATGCCGCTACGCGTTACGTTTGGCACCTTAACCTCCCAAGCAGGGACATGGCCTTCGAGGCCTTCATCGCTTGGCTCCCAGTAGCAGAACGAGAATCGGGCGTGAAGCTAAAAAGCTTCCAGTCAGATGGAGGAGGAGAATACACTTCACAGCGGTTCAAGCAGTACTTGGCAGAAAGAGGGATCAAAAGGCTCATCTCTCTTCCCTACGCTCACCAGCAACAAGGCGTAGCAGAAAAGATGAACAGGACTCTCCAGAACACCATGCGCAAACTGCTACGAGGCATGCGACTGCCCAACCACCAGTGGCCCGAAGCAATGGACCACGCTGTCATGCTGCACAACTTGCTCTCGTCATCATCGCTCCCGAACAACGCATCACCACATCTGCTGTGGACAGGAAAACAGGGCAGCACAAAAATGTTAAGAGTTTTCGGCTGCATGGTACAGTACCGACCCCCATCTGCACGAGCCGGTCGATTTTCCCAACGCGCACAGTGGGGACTACACCTGGGCATCGAAAGAAATTACAACGCGTGGAAGATTTTCGACGTTCACTCCAAAGAAACAGTAGCAGCACGTGATGTCATTTTCTACGAACGACTCACCCTTCCGACGTATCTTGCCAACCTGGAAGAAGATCGGGACCCCACAGGCGGCTTCCGTGGTGACCGAGCCTTCGCCTCGGCAGCAGACGAAGCTGACGGGGACGAGCAGAACGTGGATGAAGCATCGGAGGAAGCCGGACCTCTCCCTTACTGCTCCGTCGACGCCCCAATGGATGACGAAAATCCTCGCGAAAGCGCCAACGCCGAAGTATTTTACCACTTCGCCGACAACGGTTACGTTACACCTGCAGAAGTCAACACCAACGAAGCAGAACACATAGGGCCCAACTTCATACCTGACCCAGAAACAGGTGACGAAGCAGCTTATCCCGCGGACACAACTCTCCCCCGCTGCACGCAGAGTGGCCTCCAGATACTCGGCCTCGTCACCGTGGTCCACGGCACGGAGATTCATAAGGAGCCTGCTACAGTTCAGCAGGCTATGGGGGGGGAGCATAGGGAAAAATGGCGTGAAGCCATGGACAAGGAGCTGAAAGCACTGGAAGAACGAAACACCTGGAAAGTTGTTCCCATCGGCGTGGCACGAAACAAGACAGTACTCACCGGGAAGTGGGTCTTCCGTGTGAAGACAAAAGCAGAAGGCACCATCGACAAGTTTAAAGCACGGTGGGTCGTACGCGGCTTCGACCAAGAGCACGGACGCGACTTCACCGAGACATTCGCCCCAGTCAGCCGACACACCTCGCTGCGAATTCTCCTCGCGATCGCCGCCATGAAGAAGAAGAAACTGCGGCAAATTGACGTCGCCAATGCATTCCTCTACGCACCTGTCGATGCAAAAATCTTCGTCGAACTACTACATGGTTCCAATGGAGAACCTAATCACATCTGTCAGCTGCTGAAGTCGCTCTACGGCATCAAACAAGCTCCGAGATTGTGGCAGCAGTACCTATACGCTCGACTTGCTCGCATCGAATTCCGGCAGCTACCGCACGACCAAGGCATGTACCGGCTCACGAAAGGCGACGACTATATCCTACTAATTGTCTACGTAGATGATCTACTCTACATCGGGTCGATCGACAACATCACCACCTGGT